AAATACATAGAAATAACTTAATATCCAGTCATTAAAAGTTATAATTATTCAAGGTAAAAATATCAGGCAAGAACAAGATTAAATGGGAATACTTCTACTTAGCAAACCTCTATAAACCTCTATAAATATGGTGTTGTAATATTGCAAAAAAGTTGTATTCATTGTGAAAAATTGTACCGTATTTAAAAACACTTAGAGGAGTGGAAGAGTAGTAAAAATTCCTGTTGTTTATGTATGTTGGAAGGACAAAGTTAAAATGACTACTTTTAGTTCATTAAACACATATTTATTACAAGTATGGACACAGACATTTCATATAAAAGACGGAGAATTAGTTTGCAGGTATAACAATATCTATATTTACCTGTAGCTGTGTGAAGACTTGGGCGCGGTGACACTCTTCCAGACATGGAGCGACAGACGTCAGAATCTCCTCCTCACTGCCGATCATCTGTACGATTTCCTGATCGCACTCTATCCCCATTGCCTTAAAGGCTATAGCTACAGGGATGTCCTAAAACATTACATTACATATCAATGTACAGTACATAGCAGTACAGGGATGTCCTAAATTAGCATCCTACATTGTCATTCCTATAGCTACAGGGAAGTCCTTAAATAGCATCATAAGACATCACACAAATGATACATTATAATTTCTATAATTATGGTACAGGGATGTCTTAAAATTTCATGCTACATTGTATTTTCTATACATTACAGGGATGTCCTGAAATGTCATGTTACATTGTTATTTCATAAAATGTCACACTACATTGTAATCTTAGAACAATATTGTTACCTACTTTTTCTTATTTATTTTGTATTATACTGAGAAGTAGTTGGTTATTAAAAAAAATCTTTTTTCGCCTATCCTACCTTAAGCTTTATATTTAAAAGGGAATTTTAACACATTTTACAGCATATACCTCCATGACCAAAATGTATCAAGTACCCTGTAACTATGGTAACCTTACCTCGGTGAATGTGTTGTGTCGGAGGTAGTATTTCTCGTGCTTTGTGGAAACATACGTCTTACTTTTTCTTTCATGAGTGGAGCTGTCATGGGGAAAAAGAAATCACCTTAAAATACATGATGGTATTGCGGAACATATTAAGTTGGAATTTTTTGAAAAAAAAAGTTTTTGGGTTCATTTTTTCCCCCACTAACCTTGTAACTGAGCATTATATTGGGTACATGTATTTATATTTATCACTATCTTTGTAACCGAGCATTCTATTGTGTATTTATTTTTAGCACTGACCTTAAAACGGAGCATCCTATTGTGTATCTATTTTTAGCACTGACCTTGTAACCGAGCATTCTATTGATCGATTTCTCCCTATCTCGGTGTCCACCATCATTCTATTTTTAGACAGCTGCTCCTGGATTAATATGACCTTCTCTGTCCCCCGGGTGATGAAGTACCCCCCGGGGTCCATAGGACACTCGTTTAGTTTGGCCATCTCGGCCGGACTCTTACCGTTCAGTACACAGTTAGAGCTCCTCAGCATGATGGGCATTCTACATAAACAAATCACAAATACAAATGTGTTAAATTCATTAGTTTTACTGTAATTCACTACATAATTTACAAGAAATTTATTTCTCTGAGTTATTATGGAAGACACCCACTTGCAAAAATTGGCATGCATAAGTTTTGATTGGTGTAGACTATACTGAGCAATAAACAAAAACAGATGATAAATTGTACAAATAAAACAAGAATCTTTTTAAAAATTCCTATTAGTGTTATGGAAAGGTTAAGCGGAATCTGTCGGTGAGTTTATCATTACCTGCCTATGGGTAGGTTGTTCCTAACAATCCTCTGGTTTCCTCGAGTGTACTCAATATCCACGGTGATAGGAGCAGAGTAAGTCATGTCCCGCAAACGACACTGCAAATAACAACAGCAAGCTTCTTTAAAGAAAATTACAAGGGTAAAACTTCTCTCCTCATAGACTTCAAGCAAATATGTACCCAGGTTTTGAGAATATAAATTAAATGGGTTGTTTAATAGCTGAAGAGAATTACTATACATGAGATACAGGTTTGGTTGGATAAAAGTCATGTATATCTTTGAGGTGAACTTAGTTTGAAAAGATGCAAATCAAACTTATTTTTGTAAAGTGAGATGTGATACTTACCTTGTAAATCTGTGATAGATTATATGAGAGATGAGTCTGAGATAGGTGAGGTGTGAAACAAACTGACTTTATGGGCTGAGATAGGTTTCGTGAGATGTGAGACTTACTTCGTGAGGTGAGATAGGTTTCGTGAGATGTGAGACTTACTTCGTGAGGTGAGATAGGTTTTGTGAGATGTGAGACTTATTTCGTGAGATGAGATAGGTTTTGTGAGATGTGAGACTTACTTCATGAGATGAGATAGGTTTCGTGAGATGTGAGACTTACTTCATGAGGTGAGATAGGTTTCGTGAGATGTGAGACTTACTTCATGAGATGAGATAGGTTTCGTGAGATGTGAGACTTACTTCGTGAGGTGAGATAGGTTTCGTGAGATGTGAGACTTACTTCATGAGATGAGATAGGTTTCGTGAGAGGTGAGACTTACTTCGTGAGGTGAGATAGGTTTCGTGAGATGTGAGACTTACTTCGTGAGGTGAGATAGGTTTCGTGAGATGTGAGGCTTACTTCCTGAGATGAGATAGGCTTCGTGAGATGTGAGGCTTACTTCCTGAGATGAGATAGTTTTCGTGAGATGTGAGACTTACTTCGTGAGGTGAGATAGGTTTGGTGATGTTAAATCCTTCCTCCACATCTGGCATTCCAACATAAATATTCAAATACCTAACGTCACCAAAATAAAGGTCATTATAGGCTCACAAAAAACATGGGAGATTGTTAATTGGGACTCTACATAATGATTTACCACTTGACATATTAAGGTATATTGTAATACATCTTTTCATTCTGATATGATTTAATTTTTTTTAACTTCATCATGATAAAGTTACTATAAAATTTATTTGGTATAAAAAATAATTTGTACTTGTGTACTTACTTCATGTAAAAGTTTGGATCTGCATCACTTAATATTTTGTCATTGGCTTTCATTATGTTTTTAATCTAAAATTGAATAATTATATAATGGTATTTAGCAATCATGTAATGGTACACATTTAATTAAAACAGATTTTTTTTACATTCTTTTCAAGAAAAAAAAATATACACCAATCCACATGATCCAGGTACAGCAAAACCCGGTTATCAAGAAGTCACTGGGACCTATGAAACTACTTCACTACATCCATTATATAATCGTATAAGAACTTTATTAAATTTATATAGCTGGGGATCCAAGATGACTTCGCATAGCTGTAAATTTGCAATATCTGTGTTCATAATAAACGAGTTTTGCTGTATCCATTTTCTTTGTCCATCTGTCCTTAAACAGATCAGCTAACAGATTTGTCTCCCTTTGTCTGATACTCACCTCCACATTGATAAAGTAATTAAAGGAATCTATATGTTGTTTGACCAGCCCCTTCACCTTCAGAAATGCAGGCAGCAACTTCCATTTCTCCTACAAATAAAATATATTTAACATGTTTAAGGAATCACTGTCTAGTTAGTACATGTATTGTATTCCAGGGCATCAACGATAGTGGGAAACATGGGATGATTTGCATAACGGGCATTCCGGGCACAAAACCCCAAATGAAATTGTGTGACACTGCATTGTCTGAGATTAGGAAGATGTCTGTCCAAAATTTTTATCTCGACGAATCTCGCTCTCGCTCAGTTTGATTATTTATACTTCTGCTTCTGCAATGTACTGCCCACAATCAACTAGTTGATTATTATGGCATGTGTGGTGCGCATGGAGTTCCAAAATCATAAAAATTTAAAAGGTTAAAAGGTTAAAATATTAATTATGATTCATGGCATATAGGTGGTCACCTGAGACCTAAAGGTCTCAAGTGTTTTTGCCATGACAATCTCTGGTGGTAGGTGGTTCCACTCTTTGATGGTACGAGGGAAGAACGAGAATTTTCTATAGTCACTTTTACAAGATGGTAATTGGTAGGCTTCTTGGTGAGTATGTTGTGATCGACGTAGTGGTGGAATAAGTCGATCATGCTTGGTAACGGCAACATCATCATGAACGATCTTATAAAACAGGATGCTTATAAAACAGGACGAGTCTGGAAATTCGCCTACGTTCTTCCAGTGTTTGCCATTGCAGATGTTGTATCATGCTGTCCACACTTGACCTGTTTCCATGCCTATTGCTTACATAGCGTGCAGCACGTCGTTGGACCATTTCCAGATTATGGATGTCTTTTTGGGTGTAGGGGTCCCAGACAGGTGCTGCGTACTCCAACTGGGGTCTAACTAATGACTTATACGTATTCTCCTTTATTGATGTTGAGCTGATATTTAAATTTCGGCGGAGAAATCCTAAGGTCTTCTTTCCTTATATGCTTAGGTCTGTTTTTTTCTCTTTGAAGTTAACTTCTACAGTGTCAAGGAAAATATTTTACATATAGGCCTTCCAACTACTATACAACTGCATGTGTACAAAGTTTTTATATTTTTTTTTCTTTCTCTCACTTTTTTAAAACAGTCAGTGTCACAGTGACTCTACTTCTTGGGGCCCCTGTTAAAGTTAAGCCAATACCTTTATGGTCTTAATTGGCGCCGCCAATTTTTCTTTGTCCATCCGCATAATTTCTTCTATGTCCTCCATGCTTGTCTTGTTGTATTGTCTGTGTCGTGCAGCTACAAAAAATCTTACATTGCTGTTTCGTCAGTTTCACTTTTCACCAAGCATGTTTCTAGTTGAATGCCGAGCCCGAGGATTTATAATAATCATAACTTAATTATTGAAAAAGAAAACTGAAGCAGTTAAAAATGATCAAACTTCATCAGTTTGATTAAAAAATTTTGATAAAATGATTAAAAAAATTAAAAGATGTTTTTAAGGAAAAATTTCCTATTTTATTTTTTCCCATCGGGTTTGGTAGACAGAGAATTATTAACCATCTCCACATGTGGACGTAAATAAAAACTTTGGTTTGGAAAGAAAACGTTTTTTGTGAGTTAAACTGTTCACAATCCTTTGAATGATTCTTTTAAATTGGTATATAATTTTACATAATTGTAGAAACAAACGATAACATTGTGCTTTGGAGTTCACTGCTCAAGAAAATGTGATCTGCTTAAAATTCTTGCTCTACTTAGGTTCCCTCTATGTAGTGTACACAAATTGTGTTTTTTATGTACATAATTTAACATGTGCAAGATTTTTTTTTTGATAATTTGAAGTAGGTATCCACTAAAGTGAAACTAACATGATGGACGAAGAAGCAGACTTTGTAGACACGGTTAGCGCAAGCGAAGATGAGGTAAGAATTTATTTAGATAATCAGTCAAAGTCAGACTACAGTAGGGGGACAAAAGTGTTGAGAAAAAAATGGCGTCACTATAATAAATTATTGATCTGCGTGTATCAAAAGTCGTGTATTTTTGTTCAGAGTTGGAATTTTGGAAATCCCCTTGAAATATAAATAGGTCAGTACAAGTGACGTATAGCATGATGTTTATTTCGTCATCTGCTATACTTTTGTTGACAATCTATCTCGGTAACAAAATGGAGACGAAACGTCAGGAAATCTCACAACCCTTGAAACAAGTCATTGTGGAACTCTACCTAAACGGAGAAAAAATGTCAGCTATTGCAAGAAGTGACACGTCTCTGGCTTCAGTGTACCGTATTGTACGTAAATATCAAGACACAGGATCAGTGGAGAATTTGCCAAGATCGGGTCGGCCTTGTTCGATCAAAGATAGGGACTATCGGAGGCTCCAGAGGATTGTTAGGAGAAATTACAGCGCAGTTTAATGAAAACAGATCAACATCTGTGTCTCTGAAGACTGTCAAACGTAGACTTAAAGAAAATGGTTTCACTAGAGGTGTGTACATGTATAAGAAAAAAGTTGTGATAAAAAATGTAAACCGAAAGAAACTCTTGTCATGGTGTAGGGAGAAGAGATGGTGGGGTGTACAAACTCAGTGGTCCAAAGTTATATTCAGCGATGAATCTCAGATATGTGTTGGGGAAAAAAATAGCGTTTATGTTTGGAAAAAAGCAGGCGAGGGTTGGAGACCGGACTTAGTGCCACGGCAAAATGGCCACAAATTCAGTATCATGGTGTGGGGGTGCCTGTACTTCGGCGGTATCGGAACTTTGTGTCAGATGGAAGGGAACATTAATTCAGAAAAATATATTAACATCTTAGTTTCAAACCTCTGGCCAGTTATAGTCTGCCACAAGGAAGTTACCTGTTTCAAGATGATAACGCCCCCGTACATTGCTCTCGTGTTACACAGGATTTTATCGCCAGAAACCATATCAAGAACATGAGCTGGCCTGCACAGTCTCGGGACTTAAATATCATAGAAAATATATGGCTTTATATTAAAAGAAAACTCCAATCACGGATGCACAATATAAATTCCGCAGATGAACTTTTTCAAGAAACGCTTAGGATATGGCAGGACATCAACGTAAATTATGTCAGAAATCTTTATCAATCGATTCCAAGAAGAATACAATAGGTCATCAGATTAAAAGGTCATCTTACTAAGTATTAAGGTAAGTAATTTGTGATTTTGTCATAGTAAATCAGCTGTCAAGACTGTTTTCCACACGAGTTGTCTCTCTTCTGTTGGAAACGTGATGCCATTTTTTCTCAACACTTTTGTCCCCCTACTTAGGACCTCTGGTTTCTGTCAGTATACTGGTTCAAAGTAAAAGATTTTTACAAAAAAATAAATGAAATATCAGCACAGTTAAAATGTACAAGTACTCTCATATGTTAATGATTTATTCCTTTAGGATGATGAGAAAAGTCATGCGAGATTGTTGGATGCTATTTCTAGCCTTGACGGGAAAAAAGTGTGAGTCATGACAAGTTTATCTTTTTAGGTCACCTGAGTAAACTCAGGTGACCTATTGCTATCCGTTTTCGTCTGTCGTCGTTCGTCGTACGTCGTATGTCGTTCGTAAACTTTTAAACATTTTCAGCTTCTTCTCTGCAACCACTGAACTATTTTTAACCAAATTTGGCACAAAACATCTATGGGTAAAGGGGAACAAAAATTGTGAATTTCATGATCCCTTCCCCCCTGGGGCCTGAGGGGTGGGGCAAAAACCACTAAAATTAATGCAATCTTTAAAAATCTTCTTCTTTACTCCTGGACATCAAGCAGTCAAACTGTTTGCATGATTGTAATCAGCATTGAGTCCTCTACCAAAATTGTGAAATTCATGGCCCTGGGGTCAGGGGTTATAGTGCTAGGGCAGGGCTAAATATTAAGTATATAGTGAAAATGCATTATTTCTTTGAAAATCTTCTTCTCTGCTCCTGGGTATTAAATAAATCAACTAAGTAGATTGTTATGATGAGCAAGAGTGCCTCTACCAAAATTGTGAATTTTATGGCCCCAGGGTCAGGGGTTCTGGTGTTAGGGCGGGGCTCTATTGATTATATACAGTGAAAATACATGAATTGTTTGAAAATCTTCTTCTCTGCTCCTAGGTATTAAATAAACTAACTAAGTGCAGAGTTAAGATGAGCAAGAGTGCTTTTACCAAAATTGTGAATTTTAAAGTCCCAGGGTCAGGGGTTCTGGTGTTAGGGCGGGGCTCTATAGATTTTATAGTAAAAATCCATGAATTCTTTGAAAATCTTCTTCTCTGCTCCTAGGGATTAAATAAACTAACTAAGTGCATAGTTATGATGAGCAAGAGTGCTTTTACTATTGTGAATTTTATGGTCCCAGGGTCAGGGGTTTTGGTGTTTGGGGGAAGGGGGCTCTATTGATTATATAGTGAAAATACATTAAATCTTCGAAAATTTTCTTCTCTGTCTCTGGGTATGAAGCAGATGAACTACCTATATAGTTATGATGAGCAAGGGCCCTAATCTTGCAGAATTGTGGATTTCAAGACCCCAGGGTCAGGGGTGGGGGTGGGGCTCTACTTATATACTGAAAATGAATTAATTGTTTGAAATCTGCTCCTTTGTATTTATAAAACATTTATTTATTTTTTGAAAGGCGATTTTAAGGGTGCCTTTCTAAAATTTGTGCAATGTGTGGACGTAGGGTCAGGGGTTTATTTCACAGTGTTAGGCCCACTACTGATTATTGCTGAATATTACTGATTAGTTGGAATGCATTTTTGTTCCCCTACCTTGCATATGGGTATTCAGTACTACCTCTGCAAGAAGATCATGAATAATTCATGAATTTTCTTGAATTTTTCATGAATTTTATTCATGAAATGTTCATGAAACGTTCATGAAGATCCTATGAACTTATTATTGGACATTTTCAAATCAATAAACCAAGCTAAGCAACTGCTAAGTGTATTGTTATGATGATCAATGGTGCCTCTTTCAAAATTGTGAATGCTATATAGAATCTAGCTTAAAACATGAATCAAATTCAATAACTGGAAAGTTGTTGCAGAATGCTCAGGTGACCTATAAGGCCCGTGGGCCTCTTGTTTATGTGATTTTTATTCGTTTATGTGTAACCTAGTTATATTAAAATTCCACATACTTACTTATATTTACATTTGTACATATCTTATGTATAATTTATAAACTGTGAGGAAAGCTTCAGCGTATGATACACCTTAAAATCAACAGGAGGTCAAAAGGTTAAATTATAATTCTTATTTTAATGTCAGAAATGTTGAACACAGTGCAATGTTACAAGCCAAAATCCAAATTTTTGCTAGCTCACATTAAAGAGTTTAATGGATGTAGTAGAAGGATAATGCATGGATTGTAGAGTAAAAATGATAGCTTTTGTTTGAGTTGTAATAAACATAAGAATTGATCGAATTATTATTTATGGAGAGATATAGTTTCATAATTGCAATATTGCATGCAAACAAATTTTCATGATGTACTTATTTTTATAGCAACAAGAGAAGCCAGAGGACAGTGCCCTCCAATGAAGTCTCAGAATTTCACTTCAAAGCTTCGTCAGGTAAATCAGAAATAATCTTGACCTTAAGTTAATAAATTGATATAAATTTTGTTAAAAAGGTTCTGAACTGAAACTCCTTTATTTTCATTATACATGAGCATTAAGTGACATACATTGTACATGTTATTATTTTATTTGTGATTTTTCAGTTTTAAATCCATCTATCATTTTGTGATATGGAGATATTCTCCATTGATTTATATATAATTATTATTCGGATGTAAACGAAAAACACAGAGCTCACTGATTAACTGTAAGTTATATGTTTGATTTTTCCTAGATGACTCCAAAGTTAAGTTACACGAGCTGATGGGGACTCTGAAGACCTCGGCCAGACATGGTTCTTTAAAGACCAAACTCAACAAGGTCCAGAACCAGAAGGTGGTGCCGGTACCACTCCCCAAACACCAGAAAGAGAAGGTGAGCTGGCACTGCTAAGGTACACTGTAAATGGCTTTAAAAGAAGGTGCATCATGTAATTCCTTAAAAAAACACATTATTTAATTTCATTACTTCCACAAAAATAATAGAATTTTTTTAAAATATTTTTTTTTATTTCATTGTATATATCTTATGACCAAGCATTCCTGGCATCGATGATTTATTTCTGTTGTATTGAGTAATGGACATTCAGGATCTTATAGATTAATTCCCTGAAATTAAATGAATCATAATATTATCTGATAAATGAATATTACAGAATACATTGGTGTGTTTCAGATTGAGAGAGGAGTTGCCTATAGCAAGACAGCCAAAGAGATTTCTAAGTGGGACCCAGTAGTCAGGTCTAACAGAGAGGTAGGTAATTATAATGATAACTATCTGAGAAAAAAAAAACCCAAAAGGAATGTGTTTGAGTCTGAACTCAATATTTCATTTATCTCTTAAATTTCTCTAACGTAGAAAATGTTTTGACTGAAGTAGCATGTTAATGTCAGTGTAAATTAAAAAAAATTTAACACAACATGTGATATTTTGCTTTTATGTGAATTAATGGTTACAAACAGACTTTTGATTTCTAATTTCTGCTGAAGTGATGGTTGTATGATTTTGGGATTTATTTTCAGGCAGAGCAGCTGCAGTTTCCACTACAGAAAACAGAGATCCACCTACACAATAACACGGGGAAATTCAGTCATTTCAAAGTAAGTCAAATTCAGTCAAATTCAGTCATTTCAAATTCAGTCAAATTCAGTCATTTCAAAGTAAGTCAAATTCAGTCATTTCAAAGTAAGTCAAATTCAGTCATTTCAAAGTAAGTCAAATTCAGTCATTTCAAAGTAAGGCTTTTAGAAAACGGACAAATCTACGCAACACACAGAAAAATTCAGTCATTTCAAAGTAAGGATTGATGTGATTCATCAATCTTAATGTATACTATACAGGATTGTTTTCACTTTATCCTAATGGCAAACATTTCTACCCAGTTAAATATGTTTTGATATCACGATTAATAACAAGGGCCAGAATTTCCCTTATTTCACTATCTGAAGTAAGCTATACTTTTATTCTTTCCCCATTTTGGAAATTGCATTATGACAAACAAAAGTAATTGTTTAAGTAAATAAACCGTTTCATGTTTTGAATATTATTTCTTAGCCCCGTACCCCACTAGAGATGGAGATAGCTGCCGTCCTACACGGAAATAAAGACGACCTGCCAACCCAAAATAAAGAACTGACACCTGCTGAGGAGAGGATAATAGCAGCCATGAGCCTAGAGGAGGTAGGGCAAGTCTAAGGTTCAGGATTTGTTGGAGGATGTATTTTATCTGACAGTATATTAACCCTCTGGCTGCGGGAAGGACATATATGTCCTTTTACCGCTGGCTGCGGGAGGGACATATATGTCCCTGGCGACGTCATAAAGTTTGAGACGTCTTTTCACTTTCTTAATTGAAATTTATTTATAATAATACTTAAATTTGACTGCAGTTTTTGCTGAAATAAAAGCATAAGAATTTGGAAACAACTATCGATTAATGCAAGTTAAAAGTTAAAAGAATTATTTTATAATAATTCATGCATGTTTTATGCATTTATTTGCAAGTTTAAAATGCGCAAACAAAATTGTTAACACTGTAAAAAATGAGTATTTAGTTAAAGTCACTGAGAAAACTAGTGAATTTAACTGTCCATATAATCACTACCTTAATTAAAAGTAGTTTTACTAGGTACATGTATTGGGTATATTTATTAGTAAGATAACATTAAAGTGAATCTAGAATTTATAGGCAACTTTCAGTCGGTCGGTATCTAAGTGTCAATTCGACCCTAGCTCCACAATTCACTTTCTTAACTGAAAACTTTCAATTCACGACAAAGGATTTACAAAGTTCACTTGTTAAATTCACTAAGATTTTATTTTAGTGAAAACCTTTTCGCAATTCAGTTCTAAATATAAAAATTTAGAAATATTTCAAAAAAAGTTTACAATGTTCAATTTTATTCATTTACACATTTTTTCTAAGATTTAAAAAAGATTGCCTCTAAAAATGATAATGATTTTTAAGTTTAAGTAGGAAACTGACTGCGGAAATGATGTTCATCTGCCTTCGGGTCAAATTTGTAGAAGTAGCTAGGACATGCGAATATAAGTCGCACTCTATAGCAAACCATTTTCTCGATCGACCTAGGACTCTGTTAAACATAGCTGCAGATCTGTAGCTCTCCGAAAAAAATATATTGATAAACCGGAGAGCTACAGTGCCACCCATTGAAAAAAACTGTATATTTATTGCGCACAAAAAAGTGCGCTCGGTTCTTGATTAATTCTTCCAAATTCTTACCTCAATTGCAAAAAAGGACGATTTGAACAATTTCTTTCTCCTCTATCAAGTACAATCGTAGTTGAGATCTGAACGAAGCATATTGGACTGAATTATCTTTGAAACCAAAATGGCAGTATAAATAAGCGAAATGTTCTATGATTACAATATCAGGGTCAGGAGGACTATAAACAACAATTATGAGGAATGTTTGGTTGTGGAAACAGCAAAAAAATATGTTAGGAACATACGGTTAGTAATATTTTGAGATCACAGTTTTAAAAACATTGAAAAATAAATCGAGATCCGGGCGCACTTTTTTGTGCGCAATAAATATACAGTTTTTCATTTTTCAATGGATGGCTCTGTAACTCTCCGGTCTATCAATATATTTTTTTTTTCGGAGAGCTACAGAACTGCAGCTATGTTAAACCCAACTTTTATCGAAGAATCCAAGTCAAATGTTCGAATAATTGATAGATTATCGGTACCTGATCAATTTAAAAGCTTTATAAACTTTCTTGGAAGAGGAAACAAGTCGTTTTACAGAGCTGAGCAGGTTCTATTTTCGCAACATGACCACAAACTCAATTCAAGTAGCGTTTCTCCATTGCAATGACTCCATGCGAGACCCCTCGGCATGTCCAAACTCACCAGTCTATTAAATTTTATTTATACATCATATTCTACATTTCTATTTCCTCTAGCTAAAAAAAAACTGAAATATCGGAGTTAGCATCGTACTCTATATATACATTCGTTTTAGAAAATCCTGAAAATTTTGCCCCCCCCTGTTTTTCCTGAGTATATATTGTATTTTTGCTTTATTAAATTTTCCTGTCGGGTTCCCCCGCCTTCTTCCTCATTTTTTGTTGTCGTAAGGTCTGTAAATTTCAAGACATTGACATTTTTTTTTTTGCTGACTAAACCTTCATTTTATCGTAGTGTAAACCTCTGAAGTCATTGCTATATCATTAACACAAGCACACAAAATTTTTATGCATTGTCGATATCTAAGCTTTCAAAATTTACGTAACCCACACATCCCAAACCTTGACAACAATTCTACTATAAAAATTAATTTAGATCCAATCTATATACCGGAAGACAATATTTCATTGTAAAAATGATTGAATATAGACATGACAACTATGTAAAATAAATGAATTTTGCAATCCATATGCCCCCGCCCCCGTTGAGAGTTAAGCGATTAATCTCAATGATATTTCAGATGTACTTATCCATTAAAAAATTGAAACACTGTACCCAAGTGAAATCAGGTGATATGGTTTGTAAATACGACCCCGGGGTTGGGATGCGGAGGGGGGGGGGGGGTAATCGGTGTATGGTTGTTGTTCGCCCTTCTGTGTCCTTAATATGGACGTTTATTATTTCGACTTTTTCCAATTTCAGATATAAACCCTGAACACACGATTGAACATCGTGTAAACAAACATGCACGATCTTGTGATATATTCTCTAACATATCAATATACAATGCTTTTTTTCTGTTATGCCTGCTTGAAATTATCGTAAAACCGTGATCAAAACATTTATTAGACCCCATGTAAGAAGCAATACACTGACATTTTGCAGGAAGAATAAAAATGCGCTTGTAAAATAAATTCTTTTTACAAGACACTACGAATAGCAGCTTTTCACTTTTAAAAATATATTCCATTCATTATGATTATGGCAAAGATAACATATATTCTCAAATCTTCAGATATTATATTTAGTTTTGAATTATCATAATCCCGTCAAGTTCTCTGATAACATAGAACAGTACTTGTTTGTTTTCTACATCATCATTTAAACTCAACTGAAAATTAATTTTTATTTTAAAAAATCAAAATGAAAAGATGTAGAGAATGGGATCCCTTAGGTCAATGATTAGCCTTGTCGACTTGTCCGAAATAAAAAAATAGATAAACCCCAGAAAAGTAAGGAAATCCTCATTAAATATTGACTGCTGAATTTTGCTTCTAATAAACTGAAAACACGAGTACTTTTTTTCTAATTCATGTAAAAAAGACAAATGGATTTAATGTTTCTGATGGTCTACATATTTTGCGACTAAAGATTTTTAATCAAAAAAAAAAAAAAATTCCCTATTTCACCAAAGATGTTTTGTTTGAAAACGTCTTTTAGCCAATGTCAATATGCAAACTTATAACAAACTTATAAGCACGGGGCTTTGTACCAGTATGAGTCAGGTATTTTTTTTTTCTCCTAATTTTGCCGAACTAAATATTAGACCGGAAAGTAAATTTTCCGTAAATATCGACATTAAATAAGCAACTTGTCGGTAGTAAATCTTCTTCATAATTCTTGGATTATTTATCAGCAATGGTTTGTTGAAGCATTTAAAGTCATCATTTAATGTCTACTAGAACAAATGAAATATTTAAACAACTTTTAAAAGAATTTATAGAATTATTTCGATACATTTTAATTTGAATTCTAATGCAATTGTTTTGTAAAACACTTTTTGATTGGCTAATGCACTGATGTTTGAAGCAGTAAAACGAGCATTAACGAGCGTGAAAGCTTTTTCATTGTGACGTCATAATAGAGCGACGCAAAAATACAATGCTCCGTGACGAATTTCATGTAACAAAATTCAACAAAATAAGACGTAAACAACAAACAAAAGGCGTGGATTGCATTAGAATGGGAATAACTAAACTTCTAATTTGGTATTTGCGACCGTTAATGCTGATTTAACGGTCGCAAACATCCGTTTTACCAGCTCCGCTTACGCGTCGCCGGTAAAACTCAGTTTGCGACCGTTAAATCAGCATTAACGGTCGCAAATTCCAAATTAGAAGATAGTTATTCCCTAATTCATCGTTTAAAATTGTTATATTAGGAATTTTTTTCTTTAAAGATATAAACAATTTTTTTTTTTTTTTGATAATTTAATTTTGGTATTTATTCAATTTTTGAAGAAAGCGATGAATCTGTGCGCCGAGAAACGGAATCAAATATTTGAATTTCGATTATATTTTTGTCAGACTGCACAACGTTAGAAATTGCAATGCATGCAGATGGAGAATACATGAAAATCAAGAATATAAATATTATTATACGCCCGTCTTAAGACGGGACGTATTATGTTATAGGCTTCATGTCCGTCCGTCCGTCCGTCCGTCTGTCTGTCCATTCCTGTCCGGCTCATAACTTCAATACTATTAGGCCTAGGATTATCAAACTTTGTCAACTGATACTTCTTGGGTAGACGGTGTGTCGCGCGCAAAAAGTAGGTCGCTATGACCTTTAATTAAGATGCTATGGCCAAATATGGAAAAATCCTGTCCGGCTCATAACTAGTAAACTATTAGACCTAGAACTATCAAACTTGGGAAATGTATACATCTTGGGTAGAAGGTGTGTCGCGACCTATTTCAAGGTCACTGTGACCTTTAATTTAAGTGAATTTTTATAAAAAACTAAGTTTTTTAAATTTTGAATTTCATAATCCTAAAAAATGTAAAGATATAGTTGTATCCTTATTAAAAAAGTGTTAAATCAAGAAAATACTTATTTTTTTCAGCATATACTTGACAGCAATCTATAACAAATATATTAATGTATGTTAGAGAAATCCCATGTCTCCCATGAGTGTAATTATCAAGCATTGGTCAAGAATTTTGATAACAGAAAGTTGCATGTCAAATTAGAGAGAAATTAATGAGTTTAGTGTGAGGAGCTAATTGGAGAGCATCGGTGTTATATATATCCCTTTGGGAATTAAGGCAGATGGGTAATCCTGTTGGATTAAAAATACCTCGTGTTGGCTAGCCAAAGTTTTAAAATGAATTTGATGAAAAGTAATTTACACTAATTTGATTTTGCATAATAAACTGATATGATGTATAATATTATTAATTTAAAGAACTAATTTCATAGGATTGGAGTCAGCATGTCCATTTTCCATAGAAATCGCATATTAAAATCTTTCTGACATTAAATGTAAAAAAAAAAAATCATTGAGTATTTTATATATTTTTAAAAATATTTTATGGCAGAGAGTTCAGATTCATTCATCTATAGTAATGAGTAGACGAGCATCCAGTCAAAGATTAATTAATGAGTTCAATTTAGGAAGGCTAGCCAGCATCTTCTTATCTGTTACCCTTTGGGAATTAGACAGAAGAACTGCTGGTCAGTTGAAATAGCATATGTCATTTGATGGCCAGCCTTTTATTTTCAGAATTAATTTGGGATAGATTAAGTTGTTAAGACTACCGGTAATTTGATATTGTTTAATATGATGGGCATTTGACAAGGTCTAATACAACCAGTATAGAAATCTATCAATGATGCTATGATTAATGCCTACACCACAGGGGATGGATAAACAAATATTTTAAGGAATAGAAAAAATTATGGAAATTTTAGAATCAAGGTTGACATGATTTTCTTGCACTCTAAACCATTTAAGTTAATTTTAATTTTTTGACGGGCGTATCATGCTGTGGCGTGGCACTTTATTATTGGTCTATACTATTTTCATTTTTATTAAATTTCAATTACAATTACTTTTAAAAAGTTTAAAAATAATGATAATCATTGTATATCAAACTGTTTTTAATTTGCGTCTGATTTTGATGTATATTCTCGCAATAGTCTATCAGTTTTGCTTGATTGGGATAACAATAAACAATTAATTAAAAAGATGTAAATATAATAATTAGAATTTACGCAAATTGTATAAATAAAAAACTTCTTCATAGTTTTGTTGATATATCGCATATGAATTAATTCCCCTGTACACATTCCTGTAAATAACGCGCACTTAGCGTTAACCCAAAATATTGAAAAGCCCGCAAAATAATGTCAAAGAAATTGTGACGTCTTTTTAATCTCGCAGTGACGTTATAATTTCTGTACACTGACGTCGCAGCCAGAGGGTTAAATAATCTGCAAAAATTGTGTGATTCTTAATAGACATTGCTTATGATTGTGGATTCATACAGGTCCTTGTTCAGCAACTAAAAAAGAATAATGAATTTGGATGGCATTAGAATAGGTTGATTATTTCAACAAGGCTTGAATTTTGTTTCTATGAGATATAACATCCTTTGTTATTTTGTAGGCCAAAGAAAGAAGAGCAGAACTTCAGAAATTCCGAGCCCTAATGTCATATAAAGAGGCCAAGGCCAAGAGACAGAAGAGAATCAAAAGCAAAAAGTAAACTCATTAGAGCTATCAGATATCACCGAATTCATGTAGCATGTATCTCAGGGATCACATGTCAATACATTATAGTTATCCCTTGTCAAAGCTAAAATGTCAACTTACTAATAGAGAGTCCATCCTCTGAATTCAACTGACACAGTCACTCATTTTCAAGCTAAATTTGCATGTATTTAATTAAAGTAAGGATAATTTAATGTTTTGTGATTGGCTATACAGATTCCATCGAATAATGAAGAAAGACAAGCTAAAGCAGGAGAAGAGAGCGTTTGAAGAGCTACAGAAGAATGACCCCGAGGCTTATAATGAGAAACTGGAGGAGGCCGAGAGGCAGAGGATAGAGGTAAGTGTAACTAAAACTAAAGATAACTAAAACTAAAGATAACTAAAACTAAAGATAAGAGCTACAGAAGAATGACCCCGAGGCTTATAATGAGAAACTAGAGGAGGCAGAGAGACAGAGGATAGAGGTTAGTATAACTAAAACTAAAGGTAACTAAAACTAAAGATAACTAAAACTAAAGATAACTAAAACTAAAGATAGGAGCTACAGAAGAATGACCCCGAGGCTTATAATGAGAAACTGGAGGAGGCCGAGAGGCAGAGGATAGAGGTAAGTGTAACTAAAACTAAAGATAACTAAAACTAAAGATAGGAGCTACAGAAGAATGACCCTGAGGCTTATAATGAGAAACTAGAGGAGGCAGAGAGACAGAGGATAGAGGTAAGTGTAACTAAAACTAAAGATAACTAAAACTAAAGATAGGAGCTACAGAAGAATGACCCTGAGGCTTATAATGAGAAACTAGAGGAGGCAGAGAGACAGAGGATAGAGGTAAGTGTAACTAAAACTAAAGGTAACTAAAACTAAAGATAGGAGCTACAGAAAAATGACCCTGAGGCTTATAATGAGAAACTGGAGGAGGCCGAGAGGCAGAGGATAGAGTTGAGTGTAACTACATGTAAAACTAAAGGTAACTAAAACTAAAGGTAACTAAAACTAAAGGTAACTAAAACTAAAGGTAACTAAAACTAAAGGTAACTAAAACTAAAGATTGGAGCTACAGAAAAATGACCCCGAGGCTTACAGTGAGAAACAGGAGGAGGCAGAGAGACAGAGGATAGAGGTTAGTGTAACCAAACAGGATACTAATGAAAGAGATCAGAGATGTAAAATTCAAGATGAGAAAGAGGTTGGTGTGACTAAAACAGAGGAGAGAAGTTGAAAGGTTAGTTAACATCAAGATTTACATAAAGAACTTTATTCGGTAATAACCAATATTTGCCCCCCAAATCAAACTTTGATGGAGATATATTTAAGTTCTTAAACGGGCGAGTATATGCTGACTTCAAAGCACTTTATATTTTCATAAGTAATGACGTCATATGTACATAATGACGCCACAAACATGACGTAACTTTCAGTTTTTTATGAATTTTACAGAAAAATGTACATATTTTGTCGATATTTTGAGTAAAAGTCACCGAGGGCATGTGTGTTCAGGATCAATATTTTGTTATAATGTGTAGAATGATATCAATGAAATATGTCAATATTGTTCCTGAACAAACTTGCGCTCTATAAATTCCAAAGCTAAAATTGTTGAAATTTTGTCCATTTTGTCCTCTTTCTGAAAAAGGATATAAAATCGGACTAGTTTGTGACGTCATTAAAACAAAAAATGTGAATACACTGCTTTGAAACTATAATATTTTCAGTTAATTTAGATTTCTCTTACAATAAATTAAACTTCAGTCATTTCAAGAAATTTTCAAAATAAGAAGGTAGAATTATGCAATATACCGCATATAGTCCTTTGTTAAACTCTTTACACTTGCACTGCCATGAAAACAAACCAGTAGAGCTGTAGACACCTCAGGGACTTATTACGTAGTGATCAATTTTTATGTACATTTTTGATGTAGTTTTAATACATGCACATGTAAATGAATGCTATTTAATTTTATTTAGGAGCGAATGAGTTTGAAGCATAGAGGAGGCAGCAAATATGCCAAGAAACAAATGCTGTATGCCAAGTTTGATGATCAGGTCAGGTCAATCTTCATTTTGTACCAATAATTTTGATATCTCTTTTTGTCTATTTTCATGCCACTTCAGTTAAGTTTAAGGGGGGATCCTCTTCCCCAAAGAGATGTAGAAATAAAATCAGCATTTTAAAATTCAGATAAATTCATTTCAATTCCCTTTTCTGGAAGCTGAAAATTAGCTGTCAGATATGCTGAAATAGGGGGTTCACACCTGGCCCCAACCAGGGCTTAGCTTTGAACCTATTGAGGGCATCAAAGAGGCACCCAAACACCCTGCCTTTATTTTCTTCCAAAACAAGTGCCCTAACTTCCTCTAGCTATTCCACAAGCTTTGTTGAGACCCTGACAATGAATACATGTAGGGTGAGTTCACCATGCATCGGACACATACCTTGCTTCGGACAACTTTAGGCAATAAACTCTCTTTCAACTTAAGAGTTCTGTGTATTTATTTGTTTCTGTCATAAAGACGAAGATTTAAATTTTTTAATGATACCGATTGTGTTTATCATGTTGTGATAAAAATACCCCGCAAATGGCCTTGAAGTTACGTCATATTTTACATCATCAAAGGGGAATAACCCGAAATTTATGATTTTGCAATTTTTAGAGTTATCGTTCTTTTAAATTCGACTTCCACGGAACGAGTCGGACTTTGGTGAATTTTGTCAGGGATTGGTAATTTTACATGAATTATAATTAAATTTCACTTCAATGTTTGTTTAATTCTTATTAGAGCTTGTTTTTACTAGTATGCTATTTTCACCGTACATCGGACACAAAGTAACCATGCATCGGACACTTTTCGATGCAAAGGTAATCACTACCATTTTCATACAGAACCCAGCTGACAGCTGTTTTTTGCGGAAAAAGAAAATACAAACTCTATATTTTCGGTCAAATTAAAAGTTATCGATATATGACGTCTGGAATTTTACTCAATTTATTTCTACAAACCAGAGTATGATAAACCATGAGAAAAAGGCGCGAATTACGGCATTATAAGCATTTTAAAGCATTTCTAAGGCAGAATGAGGTCTCGAGAATCATTCTACATTTGTGCAATAATATCGTCGATTAAATTAAAGTTGAGGGTTATATCTTAGATAAAAGATGAAAATATATCCATATCAAGCATTTTAAAGCAGTGTGATAAAGGGTTGATATTTTTCCGGTCTATATACTGTCTGTCCGATGCATGGTGAACAATGTCCGATCCATGGTGAATTTTCATTTTTTTCTAAAAACTCGATTTTGGGGGATATTTTCTCAATAAACGGCATATAATTGTGTCCTAAATTGTTATTTTATTCACAAACTAAATGTTAAACTCCATTTTGATAATTTTCCGTCGGTAGCGATATCCCTAGAACTTGTTGAAGTACAAGGGTATCCGATGCATGGTGAATTCACCCTATGTTTATCTTTTAATTTTTTTTTTTGTATAGGCAAGACAGAGGGTTCAGGACATGTTACAGAAGAGTCGAGAACTGACTCAGAAGGTGGTCCCTGTCAGCGACAGTGAAGAAGAGGAGGAGGCTCAGATTGACTCAGAGGAAGAAATGATGAAGAGGGAGTTAGCTGCCCTTTCTTCTAATCCATGGATGAAGGTTCAGACACCAGCAGCTCCGACAAAGTCCGAGTTTTCTCGCCCGGAGGTCATGCTCAACAGCGAAGGTCAGGAGGAGGACAGAGAGAGTGAGAGAAGTGAGTCTGAGGAAGAAGGGGATGTGCTGAAGAAGATGGGGAGGGAGCTTAAGAAGAAGAAGCAGCAGATTCAGGAGGTCAGTCAGATGGTTAGTAATGTGGAGGAGGGAATCGACGAAATCTTCCAGAAACTGGAGGATAAAGCACAGGATGAAGAGAAGAAGGTGGAAGTGTTTGTGATGGAAGACGCAAAGGGAAGTAAGAGGAAGAAAAAAAGGAGGAAGAAGAAAAATAAGGAGGAGAAATTGAAGGATGAGGGAGAGAAGGAAGAGGTGGAAGATGTTCCTTTGATCAGTGAAGGATTAAAGAGGAAGAAGACTCTGGAAGATTTGGAGGAAGACGATGCAGAGTCAGAAGAGGATATCCCTATATATTCCAGGACAGCTGTACCAAACACAGACAGTATCTCCAGTGAAGATACCAAAACGGGGGAGGTGAATATAGATCCTAAAAAGATAATCACATTAGAGACTAAGTTATCAGACGTCGCGAATCCAGACGTCACCACTGGCGATAATGAGGAAGAATCTGATGAAGAGGAGACGCAGCGATCACTCATCGCCCAGGCCTTCGCTGAGGACGACGTTGTCGACGAGTTCGTAAAGGAGAAGAACGCCATCATTGACCGAGACAAACCCAAGGACCTGGACCTGTTTCTCCCGGGGTGGGGAAGCTGGGGAGGGGAGGGGGTAAAAGTGTCCAAGAAGAAACGCAAAAAGTTAGTGTTTATATCCATGAATTTATACACTATATCTTTATATTTGTAGAATCCACTACAACAAAAAATTTATATCTTATTTTTGTTAATTCATAATACATGAATAGTAAGGCAGTGTGAATTATTCTTGTGTAAATCACAAAGACTTGAATGTATGCCTATTTATCATAAGATATGTCTTGTCAACATATCCATGAAATTTACACACAAATTAAAAAAACTTAACATTTCAAATAATGCAATCTGGTCTACATGCTTAGTATTAATTTCTTTCTTCCCTACAATTGTTACAGGTTCTTGATAAAAGCCCCTGAGGGACCACCACGGAGGGACGATAAACTGGGTAACGTGATCATCAGCGAGAAAAAAGATAAAGCCATCAGTAAACATCAGGTCAGACTGCATTCATATGAATTATTATTTTCACAGCATATTTATAAAAAAATCTTTTTTATAATGGAATTCAGGACTGTTAAAAAATTTGACTGAAGGATTGGTAAAAGGGAGAAATATAACCTGCAAATTCAAAATAGTGCATAATTGGGTTTAGTTCAAAGAACACAATAATAACCCCTTGCTGAAGATTAGAGAGGTGTATGTGCAGCTTTTCAACCTCTTACATGTACAAGTTTAAAACAGAAATGGGAAATATTGAAAAAAGAATCATTCTAAATCACATAAAATTGAGATAGACTTACTGTCATACACTGTCGCAAAATTTAATCTGTAGAAACACCTCCTATGAAGGAGGATGCCGAGACTTGTAGAAATATTAATAGCAGTATCTAACGAAGGATGTCTAAGTGTCCTATTTGGTTTTTGTGATTTAGAAAAAATATACACTTTTGTAATTTCTCATTTGTTGGATATTTTGATAACCGAATTTTTTTATACAGTATCATAAAAATGGCATCAAATATTTAAGAAGTTTGTTGTGATTTTAAGGTATCAAAGATATGTTACTCATTAGGGCATAATGTAATCTGAAAACAAAAAGAAATTGTTTTAGGAATGATTTAAAATTATCATGACATCAAAGATGACCTGCATTGTAAACAATCTTGTATGATGTTATTTCAGGTGAGTGATCTACCCTTCCCGTACGTATCTGTGGATCAGTATGAGCAGTCAATACGAGCTCCCATCGGAAAAACTTGGAACCCAGAGACGGCGGTCAGGGAACTAGTCAAACCAAAAGTGGTCACGAAACTCGGCAGCATCATAGAGCCCATCAACAAGGCGGACGTGTTTAAAAACGATAACAAGAAACGTAAACCTGATATGAGTGTTAACGAACCTTCTGTAGGAAAACATAAGAAACGGAAAAAGTAATAGACATTGAGAAATTAAAAATTTAAAATTCTAATAATGTATTGTAAATAATATCGGTGATTTAATTCTTATGAATAAAATGATTATATATAAATGTTGTTTTCAATTCTTTTTGAAATTCCATTTCATTCAATTAACAAAGCAGACAAATTTAATATTTTTTTTTTTGTTAATGAGAGGAAAGAAATGCAAAATATATGCAGATTCAAAGATCAAATAAACATTAGTAAGAAAAATTATGTAGCAATGTGATTTAATTTGTAGTAAAATATGGTGTTATTAAAACTCATTTGTTGATTATAATATTGCAATATACTAAAGATATTATATAGCTAAAAAATATTTCTGGTGGAAAGAGGCTCAAATGATGATACAACAGAGTAGGTATCGGATCGGAAACCCTTGGCTAGCGAAGATGATATTCTTAGAGAGTGATGGAAATGCGTAAAGGGGAACAACTCCTGCATGGTTGCTTTAGAAAAACAAGAAAATATTAAAAGTATACTTTATGCACAGATATATGATTTTTTTTTGTACATATATTATAAAAATGTATGAAATGCTATGGTTTTATAATAAAATTCTTTCTTAAGGTCAAGATCTAGTAAATACCTTGACTAATTTTTTGGTAAAGATCCATTATATAGTCATAATCAATTTCAACTTTCATTTTGTGGTAACTTTACGGCTTTAGCAGAATTATTAGAAAATAGGGTATTTTCATGTCATTCAATTTGAAATCATATGAAAAGAGAGATACCTATATTAAATTTGATATTGATTTAAAGAAGAGGCCATGAACATACCAATTGCCGTTTTCAGAGAGACTGTAGGCAATCTTGATACATTTCCAAAACGAAAAAAACTCCCATATTCATGACTGGTTTTCTTAATTTTTCATTGAAAATGACATATATACAATTTTTTCTTGTTTACCTACAAATTATAAACATCTTATTTGATCAATGCTAAAGTTGTAAAGCACCAATAAAGGAATTCATTTCTCAAGTTTGATAAACTGTGGGCACCTTTCTTTGTATCTTGACCTTAAAACTTGGTATCTTTGTATTCAGAAATTGCATGAAATTTTTTCTATGATCAATGTGTTATAATATACCAGAAATATTTTACGTAAGTCTTTTGCTTCTGCCATTTCCTTCTTTTAAGTTAAGTATATAATCAAATTTAAATCATTAATTCAAACTTGGAAAAAAAATCAGCAAATGAAAATAATACTTTTTCGTAAAAAATAAGTCCACACAAAACACATTTTTTCTTTTATACCGACTATTGACAAAATGGCGTTCTAACAGCAGTTTTCATTGGGTGTCGCTATGTCACGTGATGTCAACAAACTAGAAAAAATGTTCGCGAGTTTGGTACATATAGGGCATTTTATATAAAACATGGAATTTCTGCGGCATAAAATCTGGACACAGCAATGAACAGGTAAGTTTTAATTCCAAAATCTTTTAAAAACGAGCTTTAAAGCATTTGTAACATTAACAAGCGGCGGAAATTAAAGGTAGGCCTACAGATCGAGAGAGCGGTGTGATTATGCACAGGTGTAAAATTAACGTGGCTATCGCCTGATGTAACACATTGTACAGGTCATTTAAAAACCGGAGCAGTGTGTGACTGATACTTTGCATTGTGTAAACCTTTTGAAACCTGCATTTGAATAACGGCATTAATAAACTATTACGATTCACAAGTGCGTCACTGGGAATATGAATTTTCCCTTGAACTATTGCCATCTTGCTATACTGTTAACTGAAGTCCCGGTATTTTACGACTTTAAAACTTCAAACTTAAAAGGGATATTTCTTCATGGTAGTTCTGAAGGATATTAGCTGACAGAAGCATGCGATTTAAAGATATCACTCCTTCACACTTATCGTGTTTGCCGATGTAGATAATGTATGTATAGAAAAAGATGGCACTGCCAGAGTTTTATTTCAGTTGAAATCACTTATACCTTGAAAGTCACCATGACTCATATATCTCATCTGTAAATTCCTGGAATCAAATATAGGCATTATATGTGGTCTTTCCATTTAATCATGATAGAGGCAATAAATTATAGTTAAAAGCTCTGATATCCGGATTGAATATTCAGAATTGAATCAAATTGCAACAAAAAAAAAATGTTTTTCCAACTCTTTTAAATGTAGAGAATTGCATTTAAAAAAAAAAACATTCACACCGTGAAATACATTTTTTTCAGATCTGAAGTAGTTGGGACTTGTGCTTCTCCCTACCACAGATAATTTGGAGAATAGGATGTCCGAGAGGCCAAGGGCGATCGTCTTCAGAATAAATGACCATGGACAAGGACCGGAGCTTCTTCGTCAGGTTTTCCTGGAGCGTGGGTGGATCGAGTTTGACGAGGATTCTCAGGAGGATTACGACTGGAACATTTGGTGGAGAACCTCCAGGTTCCGTAACTGTGATTACGACAACATCCAGAAATGGCAGCGACTGAACCACTACCCCAAGTCAACAGGGATCACCAAAAAGGACTGTCTGGCACGGAACCTGAAGCGAATGAAGGGGGTCCACGGAGCGGGCGTTTACAACTTCTGTCCCATGACCTTTAATCTGCCCAACGACTACACACGCTTTGTGGCGGAGTACAGTAAACTGAAACAGAAACAGAATGACTCCAAAACTCTGTACTGGATTTGTAAACCAGCTGACATGTCCAGGGGGAGGGGGATTTTCATTTTCAGTGACATATCAGATCTACAATACGACTGCAATGCGGTTCTTCAGCGATACATATCCAATCCTCTTTTGATTGGGGGATACAAGTTTGACGTTCGAATTTATGTGGCAGTGCCGTCATTTCACCCTCTGACAATTTACATATATGAAGAAGGAATTGTGAGATTTGGAACAGAAAAGTTTGACTTGTCTGCTCTACACAATGTCTTTGCTCATCTTACCAACACATCTATAAATAAACACAGTCCAGCCTACACGACGGACAAGGAGCGAATTGGTCCAGGGTGCAAATGGACTCTGACACAACTTCGCTATTATTTCCACCAGAACCACATTGACGACAGTGTTCTCTGGATCCGAGTCATGAATCTTATCATCCTAACCGTTCTAGTTCAGGCTCCACAAGTTCCTAAGGTAGAGAATTGTTTTGAGCTGTATGGATTTGACGTTCTCATCGACGAGAATCTTAAACCCTGGCTACTGGAGGTGAACTTTAGTCCTTCTCTCAGCTCCGATTGTCAGTCTGACATCATAGTGAAAAAGCCATTACTACATGATCTGATGGATCTCATGCATTTCAAGGAGCAGGACAAGGAGAGAGGGGGAGAGGCCTTCAGACAGATGACCAGCAGGTCCAAGGCCCTGGAAACTGACCGATACTCCTCGGTCAGCAGGACTGGCAGAAACTCGGCCATGCACAGAAGTACATCCAACTTCCAAAAAAGTTTGAGTGCTCTCAGCAAGCAACAGTCAACAGTGAAAGAGAGTACTTCTTACATAGAGCAAGACAACGAAGCAGAAAAGCAAAGAGAGGCTGAAAGGATGTGCTTTGGACTGCCATTGGTCAATCCAACAGAGGATGAAAAAAGGCCGGGCAGTGCCAGCTCTGGTGTTTCCAGTGCAGGAAGTGAAAAATTGGAGGAAGTGGAAAAGGATCTGAAACCTCGCATTCCCAAAAGTGCCAGTGCAGGCCAGCTTCATAGAGAGAAGAGTCGGACGTCTGTGACTTTCAGTATAGGACCGCCCAGTGCTAGGTCAGTGGTGAAGACTCCGAGTCTCACTGATGTAAATAATAACCACCCCACTAGTCAATCAGTGATTCACACGACAATTGGTCCCGTACAGACTGTGTTTGTGCGAAGGTCCAGCACACTTTCCTCTAATTCCAAGTCCCAGAGGGCAGAAAAAGCGTCCATAAAAAGCTCCGCTACCTCGGACAGTGCAATATCCAGTCTCTACTCAGGCTCAGGGAGCGAAAACTCCGATCTGGTGTCGCTACCAGAGGACTCACGACGACGACCCAAAAACATGGTGTCCAGTCAACGGAGACCCAGCTACACGTACGGACAGACCAATGACAGCATAACAAATCTAAAGAGTAATAAACCCTCAGAACCAAAGAGCACTTTACCTTCATCATCTAGTCAACCTTCATCTGGTATCAAGTCACTGCGGCCAAATGGAAACTCTAATGCCTTGAGAAAAATTTCTTCCTCTGGGACTGTTACCCCAAAGCCAAGTTTGCACCCCCAGAGGACATTAAGTCGAGTGCAGCAGATGAATTATGATGTCCCTTCATCACAACGAGAGGCTCGATCCTCCTTAAACCAAATCAATCCACAACGAAACCAACCCCGGCGATTCACACCAGCCAACGAATCTCAGGCACCTTTTGCCAAGGTGTCTTTACGAAAATCCCAGGTTAGTAGGATGGGAGAGCAGGAAGGAGGTCACCCGACACGTAGAAGCATTAACGGGTCACGTATGAGCATCCGTAACCGCACCCAACTTAACAGTCAGCAGGGGAGATCCAAAATCAAAGGTCCCCCGTCCCGGGTCGGCAGCTTCTACCTCGCATTTCCCTTCAATGAGGTCACCTACAAGACAGCCAATGGAACGCTGGACGCTCACGTTGTGATCCGCGAGTCACAGAAGATTCTCAGGGAAGTCTTACATAATGTGGACAAGGCTAAGGGAGAGAAGAAGTCGGGGGGATACCTGCCATTTGGTGCCAAAGAGGATTCCGAGCAGGAACGACTCTGGCCCCCGGTCAAACCCCCGCCAGAAGTCACATGATCAGGTCAGCATCTTATCTCCTTTGTACTTTTTGATCATAATCTTTGATGTGGATACAGTTATGGTATGGGTATAAGGGAAACAGCAAATTTATGGTTCCCCAAGGGAGGAAAGTATTTCCAGAGGAGGGGAAGCATATATTGATAGCAAACTGACCTACAGTAACTGTAAAACTTGCTTCAAGTTGCTTGTAATGAAGTGTCAGGGACAGTTGTTCTGAGTTAAATTTGTTGTGTTCATAAATAGTTGAACAGTCATTGTTTTTTTAAAGGCTATCAAAAAAAAAATCCCTTCCCTGTAAGAGTCAGTTCATAACAAGCATATTTGATATAGCGTGTTTTACTTTAACAGTATGTTGGATTCATTTTACTAAGCCATGCTTTAGTTCATAGTATTCAATAATTAGGTGAATTTCAATACTGTATAAACTTAGTATTATGTCCAGATAAGGAAGCCAGAAATAATGGCTGCATATCTTGAATTTACTGTAGTCAGTCTGAACTTCTTCTGAATAAACATTAATTTAATATACAACGTACATCAAATGTTTATTAAAGCTAAAAGTAACTTTATAGATTGAAAACATTGGGTTTTCAAAAAAATAAGCAAAGTTGTTTTTTTTTAATCGTTCAGTCCCTAGCTCCCTATGGCACAGAATCTTTTTCTTCGCACCTTAAACTCTTACGATAATTAATTCAAACAAGTCGGGATTTTACAACATTGTATGAACAAATATCTTTGCCTTGGGAGCCTTGTATCCAGACTTGTAGCATTAATTCCTGACGTAAAAATCTATAGAGCCTTACCTAACACATTAAAGCGTTATTGATGTATTTTATATAGTTATGTTTATAAAGCACTTAAATATTGAGATCGGAACAAGATGGGCATTATTTCCCAATTGGCGTTATGTAATACTTAAGCTATGTATCGATAGTAATGTTACCCTTTATATTAATGTTGTATACCTGGTAATGACTCATCTTTTCTATCACTATAAGAGTGCTCTGTCTTTGCTAAAATTTAGTGCATTTAAGGCCAACAAATCCAAAAAATAGGACAGTGAGAAGTTCAGGATCTGGCTCCGGGGCCATAAAACTTAGACAAGCTTTGGGTTACTTTTGATCTCAGTCTCACTTTTACACTAATCTATATATTCCTTTGGAAAAAGTGAGACTGAGCTCAAAAGTGAGCTGATGTTTTATTGGGAATTAAATAAAGTTATGGTTTGTGAATTAATGTTATTTTTTCCAAAATCTGTCACAACACTTCACACTGTACAGTGCTAAATAAAGACTTGGTTGTGTTTGATTAATAATGTGGAATTTGCTGCAACATTTGATAAATCGATCTGGAAGGTGTCTTGTTCCTGTTAATTGTTTTAATTAACTATATGGGGAACATCATCATCTTTATAAAAATTTAATTATTTTATTAATATCATATTTGATTTAAAACCATCTTTGGAACACTCAATAATTAGAAAAATATATGCAGTACCCGGTAATTTTTAGCTTAATCATGCACTGCAAGGCTAAGTATTTGGTATACATGTTACATATTAATGTTTTGAAATAAAATTAAATTCTAAAATAAACTTATAAGTCTATATAATTAAATAAATTAAATTAAAGGTAAATTTAAATTATTTTAAATTGATTATGAACAGACAGGTTATAAAAGACACACTTGACAAGGATATCTTAAGATTCAAACTGCACTGCCAAAAAATGCATTTATTAAGGAATGACCAACTAGGATATTAAAGCTGCATGTATGTGTCATTAAATGTGCCTGTAAGTCTGAAGGGGGTTTATCTTCTGTCAATATTGCGGTGTATTTGTTGGCTGGCTATTGCTACACTGTGTTTAAATGTTGAGTGGTTTACCCTCTGTTACGCGATTGTGTAGGAGATATAGGGTTTTAACAGCTCCGTAGACCCGCATATTTCTCTCAGTTGGACTGACCATTTGGCACAGTAACAAGGTTCTATTTTATAGCTCCACCGGCTTATCACACTAGAGGGGGGTCAGGTACCTTAATCTCTAGGACTTGCTTTTTATCCCATATACTACTTAAATACTACATCCCTTCCTTATTGTGTCAGTTTCAATTGTTTCTTGCTCTATGACCCTCCCCTCCCTTCCTCTTTTCTTAAGTAGGAGGAGGGGGTATGAATATCATTCATTTTTAATTTGTTACATTGAAAATAAAATAACTCTAAAGAAAATTGTGATTGTATTTTTTAAAATTTGTGTGTTTTGGTCAGTGAATTATGGAAAACCTTTCCTTTAAATCTATAATAATATTAATCTTCATTCATTATGCCCCAGCATTCAAAAATTGGGGGATATTTAGTTTTTGCCCTGTCTGTCTCTTTATCTGTTTCTCCTTGAAAGCTGTAGCTTGTTCTAAATTAAAGCTTGCCTATTACTGTGAATGAATTCTGTACCCAGGAAAATATATATCTTTATGCATCAGACATTCTTATGATGGATCTGCCTGCAGCTGCCAAAAAGTTATGAAGAGCATATATAGGCATCGAAACCATGGGGCTAGTAAGCTCCCCCCTCCTCCCCACTTTTTTGGCAAATATATACATAATATAGGCATTAAAATTGGGGTTTACCTTTTTTTTGGTGGTTTAGCCCCCACTCCCCACTTTCATTTAGCAACCCCCTCCCCCACTTTCAATTTGCTTCCGACACCTATGAAGAGGTTAAATTAGAAACTTGCATCCATGAATTCAAAATATTTTGATTGAGAGGTAGAAATTGATAATCTTTTTAGTTAATGAGGTGAATATACACTTGTTAAATGCATTGGACCTGCAGCTAGAGGTTAAAAAAACTAAATAACCTACTAAATAAGCCATTTAGAACATTATGTCCAGGGGTCTTAGGATTAGGTGGCAGAAAAATGTAGTCCATTGTCATGTATTAATCTTATAACACTTAATTCTCATTTTACAATTCTTAAAGGGGGCCAAAGCTGGAGCTTTATAACGTAATCTTGTATCCAATAATTATTATCCTTTCATTCATAGATGTTATGAACCAAGAATTATGTGATAGTTATACAACTTTGTGATATGGTATATTTTACAGCCTTTGATTATAATATATATAGTGTTTAATTGGTTGAGGGAAACATTTTTTGAAAATAAATTTTGTATTGTTTTATGGACTTTTAATTTTGAATAATGTTCGATATCTCCATATTATGTTTAATAAAGCCATAATGCCATGTTTGCAGTATGATAAAATTACTAGACATTTTCCTTTTTACATTTGTTTAAAAAAATTGTGTTTCAAACATGCAATAACTTCATTTTATATTTATTTAGAATTAAAAGAAGAAATCAAAATTGAATTCAAACCTTCTATAATTTGTTTTCCCCCTCAAAATATTTGTAATAAATTTAATCATGTGACAATTATTACAGATTTTTGAAAACAAGAGTACCACAAATCTCTACCAAAGAGAATACCAATATGATAAGGCAACATCCCGATGTAAATTACGTCACTTGTTTACACACAAACACAAAATATGTTACTTTTATATTTCTCTACCAATAAAATAAGGCAGCATGCCGATGTAAATTATGTCACTTGTTTACACACAAACACAAAATATCTTACTATATACCCCCGGGTCCATCTCTGTTGTGAGGGGATAATTATTCGGTAATGAATTCAAAATATTTAAATTAATGTTTAATATTTAAATTTCCTCTTCGTCTAGATTTTATATCTTTAAGAGAGCCAAAACTGATCAATGGAGCTATTAAACAGACTTCTTTTTCCTTATTTCTTTTGGGTACAGCATTTTATCTATAATCTTTTAGTCAACTATATCTCTCCCCCTCAATAAAAAAGGTAAAATTATAGTCTGTAATATATTTTGGGGGGGAGTCTTGGTATAAATGTACACTTTTCAATTAAGGGTTTGTTTTACTTTGAATTTCTCCTTTCATCTCAGGCAGAGGCTATAGGTATATATGCACTTATTAAGACTGCTAACATAATAAATTATTTACTCTACAAACTTGACCTTACTTTCTACATTTTACAGAGATTTTATACAGCTTTTTAAACACATTTAGCACTTTTCCAAAGAACGATCTCTTAAATAACAGATTTTCATTATACCTAGAAGTGGTCCGATCATTTGAACTCTTTATTTCGCAGAAAAAATATTTGAATATGGAGCTGCTCTATGGTTTGCAGATTTTCTTATCTTCTAAGGTAGTGGGACCAAGGCCCGAGTTTTTTCATTAAATGTTTGACAAAAGTCTCATTCTTTAGTATTGTACAACACTTGATATGCGACTGACAATTTAATCTAATGAAAACAGGAAAATTGCTTATACATGGTCGTTAGCAAACATTTATGGAAAGAAAAAAAAGAAAAAAAAAAAACAGATATACATCAGTTATTGAGTGCATGGAGTTGACCCTAAAAACTAGAGTTCAATGCTACGAAATCTTACTCATAGGAAGTGATCGGGGCTATAGAATTTATTCAAGGACAGTGCATTTCACATCCAAGAATTCGGCAAATGTTAAATACTTCTGCTAAAAAAATTTCAGCTTATATTGCATTAGAATAAATCTGATTTAGAAATATGTTTAATGTAATTTAATTTGTTAAATAGACAGATTACAATTATTTAACAAATTGTCACTGCACAAAAAATAACAATTTACAAAGAATTGAATTGCATAATAGGTACCTTACTGTTATAATTATGATAGAGGTTAACAATATTGATAGTGGGACATTTAAACACACAATAAAACGGGGATCTAAGAAGGTACATTAAGTGTGAAAAAGCACATGGATTACAGATGTTAGAGATATCAATTTAAACTTTGCTGAATAATCAAAATTAAAAAAAAATGCATTTTATATTGAAATTCACTCAAAACATATTCTAAACTTATGCAATTAAATATAACTTTAATTTAATTTTACTATTTTAAAATATGTTTTAAATAAACCCCCTCCACACACAAAATCAAATTAATTTGAGAAAGAAAAATACATTTTGATTTGAAGGAAAAAGGATTAAGTTACATTGAATAAATTGTCTGGAAGTGTACAATGTCATGTATTCATTTTCTCTGAAATATAGTCTGTCAATTTGAAAAGGCCCAGTGCAGAGATTAAATCTTACAAAGATTTATCATACCTAAAGCTGTGCATTTGTTAGGTTTGATTTGTAAGACTGTAAAAAAAAAATGAATTATTGATGAGACAGACTTTAAGTATTGTTTTATTGATTTTTACCAATATCGTTGGAGACAAAAAGGCATAAATCATTCCACCTTCATGTACTAGTTGTTTATTTTAACAGCTTTTAAATGAACTTGAGTTTTTGAAGGCAGCTTTGAAACCAAGTATGATCAGCTGTTTGATTTACTGTAACAGACCGATACAAGCACTTATTTGCTAGTTCATTCTTTGTAACATACAGTATATATAATTATCAATTGAAAATAAGAGTTTGTGAAAAGACGAAATTTTACAATGTCATGTACATCTTAAACAGGGTACATTTGTACCATCTTTGGTAATTTTAATATCAATATCAATACAGTGTAATGTATACTGTATTGCATGCACTGTTGTGGCATTTACATTAATTTACGTTCAACATTGTAATTCCTTCTCTTGATCATTTTAGATTCTGATGAGGAAAATAGAGAATCCATGAAAGAGAAGGAATACTCCCCCTTCATACTACAGCTGCCCTCTGCTTCTGTCCCGAGAACCAAAGGCCGGGGTCTACTAAATAAAGTGTCTGTTTGTGTTTGTCAAAAATATTCCTTAAGACCATAAATCTCCTTTTCACTTATTATGTAATTATAAGAAAGTAAAATCACTGATTAAAGCCAGTGCAGTTTTTGGATAATAAAAAAAAAAAAAGAGAAAAATTAAAATCTTGCAACTTCAGTGCCTGAAAAAAAGTCAGTTTGTTAGAAATTAATAATTATGTATTACATGTACAAAGTGTATTTTATGCAATTTACACTGGTGCAAATATTTAATCAACGAATTTAAAGTATCTTAGATATTAATTGCTCAATCATCAATTTTTGAATGAAAAATAAGCACACAATGGTCAAAAGAATTCATGTAATTTTGTCATCTTATCGTTTAATCTTGACAGGAGTTGTTCCCCTTTTTGCAGCGTGTTTGATGAACACATATTTTTATTTAATATACATTGTAATGATGTTATTTTTGTACAAATAAGAATAGAAAAAAATCCAAACTCAAGCACTATAGATGTTGACATGCTTTAGGTCTTGAAATCAGTGCTTTTAACTTTGTTAATATTTATTAGCTAAAATGAAATAAATTGGATAGTGTACCTAAAATATTGACCAATCCATTGTATAATTTTCTGTTATTTGTAATTTATTACATTCAAAAGAAATAACTGTTCTTAGAAGACAGAGTCATAGATAATAATCATTAATGGAAGGTCATGAACCCTATAGCTGTAATTCCGTGTATTGTTTTGTCATATTTTGTATGAAGTTGTTAATATAGTGGCAATTATTTTTGTAGTCATTCTGTTTCTATGTGTTGTTTCTCCTTCTGATGGTGCTGTGTTTATTTTTCCTATGTATCCCCCATTTTTTTTTTTTTTTGTTAACTGTTTTTCATTTTAATTTGTTTTTCCAATTTATGTGTGAAGCATGATTATGAATTCAGCATTACTGACTGTAAAGAAAGGTAGCAATATATTTTTTGCTGAGTTAAAAATATGTTTTAATTTCTTGTTTAGAAAAAATATTTGTATGAATTCAACAAAAAATTGATTGGAAAACAATGTATGGTCATTTATCTTTAAATCACTGCATTTATTTGCATGTATTTTTTGTAAAAATCTGGTCTCCTTGACTACAGACCTTATATGAGTTCCTTCATTTAAAATGTTACACATGCCATATTTTTGAAAGCATTTAGGTTTTTAATTACCATGAGCTTAACTGTGATACATGTTTGTGATAGCAATAGAATTTCAGCATAACCATAGCCTGATAAATATAAATCATTTTTACAGTAAAACAAATCATTTCTGCAATTTATGAAAAAGAATTCAGATTTCAAATATCTTCAATGCTAGATTTGCTTACTGTTTGGCTTAATAACAAAACAGCATTTTTATATTTAAGAAATTTGAATGCTGCAGAAATCTTTTGTTTTACATTTTAAAATTTTCTTTTTCCAAGGTCCACTGTATATCGATATTACAAAATCGTAGTGTGTTTGTATTGGAAATACATTTATTGTCAATTTGTAAGAATGAATTATAAATTGCTGCCGTCAAAGCAAAGCTGTGATAACAAATCGAATGACTTTAGGTCAGTCAGAATATCATTTTATTTTTCTAAATCACACATTTTTCAGCATTATGATCATCCTGTCTACATTTTTACAAATTCAGCCATGGGTTTTAGAAAAAATTAATTCAAATTGTTGTGTAAACTTAGAAAACCAATCCATGACTTTCTGACATATGTGTATATTGTATGAACTGTTATTTATTTGGAATATTATATCTGTGTTTCTTTAGTGGTTTGTTATTATTATAATAGTGTTTAAAATTTTGAGGATTTAAATGTCTGTATTTTATTGAAACAAGTTATGCTGAATCTGAATGGAAGTCCAGGCCCAAAAATTATGAAGCAGCCTTAGACTTAATTAGTAATAGGTTTAGAATCATTTAACATGTTAAAATGAATATTTAAACTACACTGATTGAAGGGGAGACAACTTCTTATAACTTTTCAAATTTTATGTTTTCTAAATTATAAAAGTTTTAGATGATTTAAAAATTATAAAACTGCTTCATGATCATGCGACCAGATACTATGACTGTATTCAAGATTCTAGTGGCTTACATAGATGCTAAAATCATGAATTACTTTGCTAGCCTATGAGAGTCAAAACAAGTGTTTGAATATCATACAGTGTAGCCTAGCAGCTAAGGCTAGCTACTACAATCTTGAATGCAGCCCCCTCTGTGATGTTTTAGTGCTTATTTAGGAACCTTAATCAGTGGTTACAAATATCTCAGGCATTGTGTGATTGTGTGCTCAATTAGATTACCGGGTATACATTCCCATTCCTTGGTCTATAAGCTTTAAGACCAGCTCTATATTTATTTATTTATACTTTTAGTTGTTATAATCATGTTGTTTTACTCCTCTTATGTTGTCTTCTGCTTGTTTGACAAATAAATTATTTTCTGGAAAAAAAAAATTGTTTTAATATCATGTTGAATAGTTTTTGAGTAAAGTTGGAGATTTGCTGATTGGAAAAAACCTATTTCTTTCTTTTTGCAGCAAAGACAGTGCATACAGAAAACATCAAGAAGATAAGTCATAATAAATATTTCACATATCCAAGTAACTATGATGGACAGGTACTCCTTCACAAACTGAATGTGCTGAATGAGATCTTCAGCAGAGACATACTGTAAACGTATTACATTTGGCATTGTGTATTCTATTTAGCGCTTTTGGCAGAGAGAAACTTCCGCTAATTCAAGCATTATGCTACATGTAAATGTCTTGCACACATAAACATAAATAAAAACACACTGAGAAATGCACTAAATCAAATCTTTGCTAACTTGTAAACAAAATCAATTTCTGCCAAATATTGTACATCCTAAATATAATACATTTACAGTATATGTCTACGATTTCACCATGCAAAAAAAAATTCATCTTGGAAAACATTTTGAGGGAGACAATCACAAAAAAAACCAGAAAATCTGCAATGTGATCATTGGAATTTGAAAACCAAACTGAAGCTAATGATATCAAATATTTAAATCAGAAATAAGACTTGAAAAATTCTCCTGGACTACAAAAGCATTTATTTTGGAATGACTCATTAAATGGTCCATCAGGTCACAAAATCTCACTTTTTTGTTATATGCAAAGTTGTTAATAAATGAAATAGAAAAAAAAATAAAGACAAATATACACAAAAAATGCAAGACGTAAATTAGTTCAAATGAGAACTTGGTTTATAATAATGATTCAGTCTTTTTTCAATAATTTTGGATGGAAATGACTAGAAAACATACCCTTACATCTGCCTCTCATACTTGTACAACATTCACCTCTTTACATGTATACATAACACATCTTATACCTCACAACACATACATCTCACTTACTTTTGATCATAATAGGACAACGAACGGGGAAACAAACTTCTACAACATTTATAATGACAGTAATATTAATGATTCATTAAGAAAAATACTGTATAGATTAGCTGTCAGCAGTACATCATCACAGTTTTATGTCGGTTTGCATTAAATAAAAAAAAAATCTTTAAAAAATGTTTATCACAGGGAAATCACAAGCTACATCTGATGTTTAAGTTATCTGAAAATACGATGAAAAAACATTAATTCTCATTGCACAAAAAAAGTTGTATGCAATCTACTTTGCTGTTTTAAAAATTACTACAGCCAGTAAAATTCATAAGCTTGCTGTTCATAAATTTTTTTTTGAACAGTCAGCATGATTATCATCCATACATGTAACGTAATTGAAAGTAAATGCTTTCATATAAAATATGAAGAATTCAGTATGACCTCCATTCACACAACCCATGGCTAGGATATTTTGAAAAGGTAAGATCATTTTTTCACTCGTAAATGTAACACAGCGTTGGGTGTGAGTCCAGCTTCCTGTAGCGTGATTTTCTCGTCGTCGAAGGTCTTACTGGGGTACGCTGAGACGATGTTGTATGAGGCGGAATTGGATGGCCTGTAAAGATAACAAAGGGCAATAACTCTTGGGTCAGGATCTATTCATAACCAAATTTATTGCACAACTCTATATTATACACATACCTACAGTTAAAAATATTGCATTTTTTTATTCTTAATGAATTAGTTTGGTCCTTGATAATGTTGGCAAATCGGACGATTTTTAGTAACCGGTTACTTGCTTCATCTTCCGATCGAGTACCTAGTTAGGCCATATAAAATTGAAATCTTGGTTCTCAGGCCCGTGCGCATCCGTTTTGAGGTAGCCGCATTGCCGATTTTATTGTACTTTTGATAAAATAAAAAGTTGGTGTTGCGGAGACCAATCAGGGAAAAAAATTCTGACCTCATTTGTTTCGTAGTTTAGTATTCAAATATCACTTCCGGTAGCCATTTACAATGAGATTTTGGCTACTTCGTTTGAAAATACATTCGAGGACATTACCTACGATGTTTACACGCTGTTAAGCAATAGATAAAGCAGAAATTTTGACCAGAAATGGAAAGTATATCTGTGATTAAAAAAATTATCTTTATGTTAAAGAAAATTCGGAAATTAGAATTAAAAAAAATACCTCCCTCATCTACTTTATTGCCAATAAAATGAAAAATAAAATGCCGCCCTCCCGCATCTGTTTTGGAGAAAATTGGCCTGAGAACCAGGGAATAAAATTTATATAGCCTTACTCGGATGATTTTTGGTAAAAGTATCAATATCTTTTATTTATCTTATTCTATACTTATCGGTAGTAGTTATGCAAAATACACTGTATAGGGACATTATAATTACAATACACACATACGATATCGCCACATTTTTACGATTTTAAAATAAAGAAAATTAATAGGGAATTCGACACACGAAGAAGACAAATAAATAAGTCATCCTCAATCACTATTTTACACTTTCCTTTTTAGACCCCGCAATATGTCGCAATCAACTAGAATAATTTACATACTCCATAATTAATAGTTGCATATGTAATATGTGGAGTGTCCAGTAAATCGCTGGTTTCCGAATATTTTAAGCTTAGGTGATTTAACAGATTTTGAATCAGCTGTTCTTTTGTTACAACTCCAAGCTTATTATGTCTGCGGTGGCATCTCGTTAAATTATCAAATGAGGTAATTATAACTCAGGCCTTCAAAATATCTATACCCCAAGCAATCAATGCTATCAATTATATAAACTGTGAAAACTAATCAAAACAATTTGATCCACTACAACCATGCACTAGATCAAGTCTAACGGTACCTAAAATTAAGGAAATGTGTAAGTTAGTATACATTTTAAATTATAAAAAAATTCATTTTCTATGCCTTTAATATGTAGAATTTATTTTATCCGAGTAACCGAATAGCAGTTTTACTAACCGATACTCGCATCGTTCGACGGTTAACCGGGTACTCGTTGCCAACACTAGTCCTTGATAAAAATCAAAGAGAGAGAAGTGTAATCTATTATGTGAGTGCACCTATTTCTTATCTCCAATCTCAACTTTCTGTGACAAAGTAAGTATTATATCTCCTTACCTTTGTAGATCTATATATTTTCGTACATCTCCTATCGTCTCATGGAATTTCATTTTCAGTATATACGTGTGATTCCCCGTGTCTGACTTGACGCGTAGCGTCGTGATGTTTCGTGGCGTCATTGGTCGACTGCCTTCATCTTCGTCAAGTCTGAAAACAAAGCATATAAAGTCAAATTAAGTATTTGTTATCATTTCATTCCATCAAAACAGAGTTATAATCACGTCTATAAAACTCCTCGTGTAAAACCCTTAATGCTTCAGACCTGCGTTAACTCTAACGGCACATGTACATGTAATAGCTTTTAAAGTCCATTACAAAACTCTTCTCAAATAGCTTCCACATAAAACTTTCCAGCTTTTCAAATTTCAACTGTATGTTACTAAAACAAGGGTGTTCACTGATAGATAAACAAGTGTGGTCAGGTCAGCCTGGTTCAGTCACCGGTGGCCAGATAGCTCAGTTGGTAGAGCACCTGACCAGAGTATCAGGGGGGCCGGGTTCGAATCCCAGGCTTGTTACACAGCAATGAGTTTCTTAAGAATTTTAATACAGAAGAAATCTTGAGTGAACGTAAATATATATTTATGATATCTGTTGACTAATTTACCTCTTTTTGATGTCCTTGACTGTATCTGTCTCAACCACTGTGACTCCTTGACTACTTCTGGCATCCTGTGGAATAAAACAAGTGTTATATACATTATCATGCTCAAGCTTAAGTTAAAGCGAATTATATTTTATATTATGCCAAAATGTTTTCTGTAAAAAATAATCCTATTTCTTCATTGAATAAAGAATACTGGAAAAAATTTCATATACAATACATTAAAATTACAATCAAACTTGGTTATCTTGATCTCAACAAGCAGAAGAGAACAAAGTTAACATATCTGATGATTCATGATATTAAAATCCTTTTCTTAATTACAGACTGGTTGCTACAGCTGTACCTTAAAGTTTTCCCCTATAGAGTTCCCTATATCAATGATTTACCTTAAAGTTTTCCCTTACAAAGTTCTGTTCCGCATTTATATCAATGATTTACTGTAAACCAACTTTTATTGACGTGCGAGAAGTTTTTGGAGTTTCGCGAGAGCCTCAACATAACGAATATTTCTCGCAGCGAACCGATCTTTAAAGTCTCTTAGTCTATCAACAACATATACAAAAAAGATTTCATTGCAAAAATAAATCTTGAGATCTAGTTTACCCCCAGTAAATCGCGAAAAAAAGTTGTCCTGAATAAAAGTTGGTTTACGATATCTTAAACCTTTTTCCCCTATAGAGTTTCATATATCGATAATTTACCCTAAACTTTTCCCCACAGAGTTCTGTTTATCAATGATTTACCTTAAAGTTTTCCCCTACAGCATTCCGTATATCAATGACTTTCCCATCTTTTATCACAGACTTGGGTAATTTCTGCAGGAACTGGCCCACGGTCATTTTCTTCCCTGTAACCAAACAAGTCACCACAGACTGTATTAAGTACTGCATATGATTAATTAGACTACAAGTTCATATTCATGAGCAGTTAAAACATGTTCATTTATGTTAGCCAACGGTTTTTGGTCCACTAGCTCTCATCCATTTTTATGGTGAGTGGATTGTATACTTAAACCTTTGCTTAGCAAAGATGATACATGTCATTTTTTGGTAAATGACACTTTAAAATTTTTTGAGCATGGCTCTGTTAAAAATAGGATAAATTTTATAACTGAATATGTAACTTTAAAAAAATGAAAAAAATATTGTACAAATTATTTTTAGGTCATAAATATGGTTTTAATGAAAAAATTTCTTAATAAATTTTTATGTTTTATAAAACAAACATCCCTCCTTACCTGGTAGCTCTGTAGCTATTTTGAGATGAGTGTTTTCTGGTGTGTTATTACGAGCGTGTGGTGTCTTACTTACCTGGTAGCTCTGTAGCTATTTTGAGATGTGTGTTTTCTGGTGTGTTATTACGAGCGTGTGGTGTCTTACTTACCTGGTAGCTCTGTAGCTATTTTGAGATGAGTGTTTTCTGGTGTGTTATTACGAGCGTGTGGTGTCTTACTAACCTGGTAGCTCTGTAGCTATTTTGAGATGAGTGTTTTCTGGTGTGTTATTACGAGCGTGTGGTGTCTTACTTACCTGGTAGCTCTGTAGCTATTTTGAGATGTGTGTTTTCTGGCGTGTTATTACGAGCGTGTGGTGTCTTACTTACCTGGTAGCTCTGTAGCTATTTTGAGATGAGTGTTTTCTGGTGTGTTATTACGAGCGTGTGGTGTCTTACTTACCTGGTAGCTCTGTAGCTATTTTGAGATGAGTGTTTTCTGGTGTGTTATTAGGAGCTGCGTGGTGTCTTACTTACCTGGTAGCTCTGTAGCTATTTTGAGATGAGTGTTTTCTGGTGTTATTACGAGCGTGTGGTGTCTTACTTACCTGGTAGCTCTGTAGCTATTTTGAGATGTGTGTTTTCTGGCGTGTTATTACGAGCGTGTGGTGTCTTACTTACCTGGTAGCTCTGTAGCTATTTTGAGATGAGTGTTTTCTGGTGTGTTATTAGGAGCTGCGTGGTGGCTTTTCTCTGATGTTTTGGATTCGGGGACCAGTCTAGATGGCCTGGTCTCCCCTCCCAGAACCTGACCGGTGCCATGAAACACCTCTCGTCTGGTATCCTTGAAGTACACTTCTCTGTAATCTGTGATCTGTAAGGACAAAAAATACTATTTATTGCTTGTATTTAAAAAAATGGAAATATATCTACCTGTATTCAGAATTGTTTGTGACTCAGTATATGTAGCCTTTTACCGGTAGTTTGGGTTTGATTAACTGGACAAACGTCCTGCAATTAATTTTCTTTACTCTCAGAATAAATTTAAACAATATTGAAGAAAATGTATTACTTTGCATTTTGGAAGGTTGTGATAAAATATAATGTCAGTTCTGACTTCAAACTGAAATTCAGTCTCATAGAAAATATTTTTACATCATGGGCTGAAGGTGTTGTTTTTTTAACTTTAAAAAATCTCTAAAATGATCAGATACTATCCTACAGATTTATCTAAGATGCTACAAGTATTATATCCAGGCTGCATTCAAGATCAAAAAGGTTTGCATGTAGGTGTATGTATTATTGTTCTCTTGAAGGATATGATACCTCATGTAGCTAGCCACTAAAGAGGTATAACCAATGCCATTTTATACAGTAGATTCAATAGATGACTGCATAGTTCCAACTCCTAAAGAGTATTCAGTAGACATAACAGTTAAGCTGCAAGGCTAGATATATCTATGATCTTGAACCTAGGACTGCAGAGACAAACAACTTACAACAAAAGGGACTCCATCTGGAAACTTGTTCTGTAACTCTGAAGGGAAGTATCCATCATGGATGTCCTGAATGCACTGTTGTGTGACGGGGTCAGTGAAAGGTCGAAACGGTCCACTGAACAGCATGATTCCATTAGCATACAGAACCAGGGGAACAGGGTCAGGAAGCTGATATAAAAATTTGGAAATTATATTTTTTTGACTGATTTTTTGTCCATCGCATTTAAAGAATATGCAATTAACTATATGAATGGTAGTAAAACTTGAATTCTTTTATTAAAAAGTGTCAATGATTTTAATCAATCCTAAGCCTCATGAGGTTTAGATGTCTTGACTTTTACCAGTTCTTTTCCGTAATGTAGTTAAAAAAAATTAACAAAAGAAAAAAATAAGATTCTGTACCCTCAGTCTAGCCCCATCACTGGTGTGCTGGATCTTGGACACCCCCTCGCCTGCCAGTACATTCAGGTCTTTGATGTTTTCTATGATTTTGTCATAGTCCACCTTGAATTCTGATTGGACGGTGTCAGATCTAGTAGCAGTAGTGGTCACTGGGGCAGGGACAGTGTGGGACAGAGAGGATTCTAAAACAAAAAGGAAGTATAATCAAATTGATAATTTATCAACATGCTAATAATAAAGATTATTTTCAAGTTCAGCACAATGCTAAAGGGGAACAACTCTTACTGTGGACTGAAATGCTCATTCCTCCAACATTAAATGAAACTTTTTTATTCCACTCAGAAAAATTTTAATTTACTACTCAAAAAGTAAACTATTTTTCATGCAAATGAACATTTTCAATTTTAGAACGATACTAAAGCAGAAACAAATCTTACTGCAACCAGAAATGCTTATCCCCCCCTACTAAGAATTATTCTGATTTACTATGTATTTCTACACACACAATAATACAATACAATCCCTGGGGTACCATACCGGGCCTCCAGAACTTGTTATAACCGAGTTTTACTGTACAATCCTGAGGGTACCATACCTGGCCTCCAGAGCTCCTCCTCCCCATCACTCTCGCTGTCAGCTGACGACTTGTCATTGTAGTAGACAGAGCTTGTGTCAATCTTCTCCCACACCCACACCATACCGTAGTCAGCCAGAAACGCCTATAATCAGAAAACTAGATATAAATAAAAAACTCAGGGAGAGAGAGGGAAAGAAGAGTGCTTATGTCAATCCTCTCCCCCACCCACATCATTCTGTAGTCAGCTAAAAGTGCCTGTAACCAGAAAACTAGATATAAATCTAGGAGAAAGACAGAGGGGTAGGAGAGGGGGGTTGTACCAATCACCCACACTTTAGCTTAATTCACCAAAAAATGCTGTATTCAAAAAATCTAATTTAAAATAAAAACCAAAACACAGAAATAGTCAGAAAGGGCATTTATTAGCTTTAATGATATATATTTGAAAGTCCATGTCTTAAAACAATGTAAACAAAAAACATGTACACATGTTTACATTGCTATCTAAAAATTTCTTTTTGAAACATTTCTATGTAAAGGGAAGGTATAAAGCTAACCTCCATTTCATGAACTTGTTGCTGAAGCAGCAGACATTTCTTCTCCAGTTCTCGAGACTCACGAGGGGACATGTCTCCTGCAATCAAAAATTTATTTATAAGATATGTTTCATTTGAAAAATTATGTTAAAGCACAATGTAATGTGTGAGGAACCTTAATTGTTTACCCTGAGCTTTCTTCATTATGTTTACTTTGTCCTCCAATATCTTTATTTTCTTGTCCTAAGTAAAACAATTAATACATGTTAATCATTCATTATACTTAAAGTGTGTGTGTGGACTTAAATTTGAACAAATCTTTTGTAAGTTCTTTTCTGGATCTTAATCTTGTCAGTTGGCTTTCCATTCCTTGCTGCTGTCTTGAGTTTGTCCTTATCTCTGTTGACATTCTTGTGCTTTGACTAAATCTTTCATCTTCCTTAGGTTTAACCTTAACTTTTCTGCAAGATCTTTTATCTGGGTTTGACCTTACCTTTTCCTTAAGTTCTTTGGTCTAGGTCTGATGTTACTTTTCCTATAAATTCTTTTGCTGGGATCTGCCCTAAGCTTTTCTATATAAGTTCTTTAACCTAACTTTGACCTTACCTTTTCTGTGAGTTCTTTTGCCTTGGTTTGACCCTTACTTTTCTGTATGTTCTTTTGCCTTGGTTTGACTTAACCTTTTCTGTGAGTTCTTTTGCCTTGGTTTGACTTAACTTTTTCTGTGAGTTCTTTTGCCTTGGTTTGACTTAACCTTTTCTGTGAGTTCTTTTGCCTTAGTTTGACTTAACCTTTTCTGCGAGTTCTTTTGCCTTGGTTTGACTTAACCTTTTCTGTGAGTTCTTTTGCCTTGGTTTGACTCTAACTTTTCTGTGAGTTCTTTTGCCATGGTTTGACTCTAACTTTTCTGTGAGTTCTTTTGCCTTGGTTTGACTCTATATTTTCTGTGAGTTCCTTTGCCTTGGTTTGACTTAACCTTTTCCGTGAGTTCTTTTGCCATGGTTTGACTCAACCTTTTCTGTGAGTTCTTTTGCCTTGGTTTAACTATTACTTTTCTGTGAGTTCTTTTGCCTTGGTTTGACTTAACCTTTTCTGTGAGTTCTTTTGCCTTGGTTTGACTCTATATTTTCTGTGAGTTCCTTTGCCTTGGTTTGACTTAACCTTTTCTGTGAGTTCTTTTGCCATGGTTTGACTCAACCTTTTCTGTGAGTTCTTTTGCCTTGGTTTAACTCTTACTTTTCTGTGAGTTCTTTTGCCTTGGTTTGACTTAACCTTTTCTGTGAGTTCTTTTGCCTTGGTTTGACTTAACCTTTTCTGTGAGTTCTTTTGCCTTGGTTTGACTTAACTTTTTCTGTGAGTTCTTTTGCCTTGGTTTGACTTAACCTTTTCTGTGAGTTCTATTGCCTTGGTTTGACTCTTACTTTTCTGTGAGTTCTTTTGCCTTGGTTTGACTTAACCTTTCTGTGAGTTCTTTTGCCTTCGTTTGACTTAACCTTTTCTGTGAGTTCTTTTGCCTTGGTTTGACTTAACCTTTTCTGTGAGTTCTTTTGCCTTGGTTTGACTCTTACTTTTCTGTGAGTTCTTTTGCCTTGGTTTGACCCTTACTTTTCTGTGAGTTCTTTTGCCTTGGTTTGACCTAACCTTTTCTCTAAATTCTTTTGCCTTGGTTTGACTTAACCTTTTCTGTGAGTTCTGTCATGGTTTGACTTAACCTTTTCTCTAAATTCTTTTGCTTTGGTTTGACTTAACCTTTTCTGTGAGTTCTTTTGCCTTGGTTTGACTCTAACTTTTCTGTGAGTTCTTTTGCCTTAGTTTGACCCTTACTTTTCTGTGATTTTTACCGGTCACGGTAGCCTAGTGGTAGAGTGTTCGCTTCGTGATCAGGAGGCCCGGGTTCGATTCTCGATCGCGGCGCCGCGTCACACCTAAGACGTAAACAAAGGTAGTGACTGTTCCTTCGCCAAGCGCTCGGCACTTGAAGTGAAAGTCACGGGTCTTTCGGATATGACCTTAAAAACGTAGGTCCCGTGTCACGGTAGGCGTTGGCACGATAAAGAACCCTCACTGCTCAATGGCCCTGAGTGCCGAGTATAGGTCTAAATTTGAAGCCCTTCACCGGCATCGGTGACGTCTCCATATGAGTGAAAAATTCTCAAGAGGGACGTTAAACAATATACAATCAATCAATCTGTGATTTTTTGCCTTGGTTTGACTTCACCTTTTCTGTGAGTTCTTTTGCCTTGGTTTGACTTAACCTTTTCTGTGAGTTCTTTTGCCATGGCTTGACTTAACTTTTTCTGTGAGTTCTTTTGCCATGGTTTGACTTAACTTTTCTGTGAGTTCCTTTGCCTAGGTTTGACTTAACCTTTTCTGTGAGTTCTTTTGCCTTAGTTTGACTTAACCTTTTCTGTGAGTTCTTTTGCCTTGGTTTGTCTTAACCTTTTCTGTGAGTTCTTTTGCCTTGGTTTGACTCTAACTTTTCTGTGAGTTCTTTTGCCTTGGTATGACCCTTCGTTTACTGTGAGTTCTTTTGCCTTGGTTTGACTCTAACTTTTCTGTGAGTTCTTATGCCTCGGTTTGACTTAACCTTTTCTGTGAGTTCTTTTGCCATGGTTTGACTTAACTTTTTCTGTTAGTTCTTTTGCCTTGGTTTGACTTAACCTTTTCTGTGAGTTCTTTTGCCTTGGTTTGACTTAACTTTTTCTGTGAGTTCTTTTGCCTTGGTTTGACTTCACCTTTTCTGTGAGTTCTTTTGCCTTGGTTTGACTCTAACTTTTCTGTGAGTTCTTTTGCCTTGGTTTGACTTAACCTTTTCTGTGAGTTCTTTTGCCTTGGTTTGACTCTTACTTTTCTGTGAGTTCTTTTGCTTTGGTTTGACCCTTACTTTTCTGTGAGTTCTTTTGCCTTGGTTTGACCTAACCTTTTCTCTAAATTCTTTTGCCTTGGTTTGACTTAACCTTTTCTGTGAGTTCTGTCATGGTTTGACTTAACCTTTTCTCTAAATTCTTTTGCTTTGGTTTGACTTAACCTTTTCTGTGAGTTCTTTTGCCTTGGTTTGACTCTAACTTTTCTGTGAGTTCTTTTGCCTTGGTTTGACCCTTACTTTTCTGTGATTTTTTGCCTTGGTTTGACTTCACCTTTTCTGTGAGTTCTTTTGCCTTGGTTTGACTTCACCTTTTCTGTGAGTTCTTTTGCCTTGGTTTGACTCTAACTTTTCTGTGAGTTCTTTTGCCTTGGTATGACCCTTACTTTCCTGTGAGTTCTTTTGCCATGGTTTGACTCTAACTTTTCTGTGGGTTCTTATGCCTTGGTCTGACTTTATCCTTTTCTGTAAGTTTCTTTGCCATGGTTTGACTTAACCTTTTCTCTAAGTTCTTTTGCTTTGGTTTGACTTAACCTTTTTCTGTGAGTTCTTTTGCCTTGGTTTGACCCTTACTTTTCTGTGATTTTTTGCCTTGGTTTGACTTCACCTTTCTGTGAGTTCTTTTGGTTTGGTTTGACTTAACATTTTCTGTATGTTCTTTTGCCTTGGTTTGACTTAACCTTTTTCTGTGAGTTCTTTTGCCTTGGTTAGACCCTTACTTTTCTGTGAGTTCTTTTGCCATTGTTTGACTCTAACTTTTCTGTGAGTTCTTTTGCCTTGGTTTGACTTAACCTTTTCTGTGAGTTCTTTTGCCTTGGTTTGACTCTATATTTTCTGTGAGTTCCTTTGCCTTGGTTTGACTTAACCTTTTCTGTGAGTTCATTTGCCTTAGTATGACTTAACCTTTTCTGTGAGTTCTTTTGCCTTGGTTTGACTCCAACTTTTCTGTGAGTTCTTTTGCCTTGGTTTGTCCCTTACTTTTCTGTGAGTTCTTTTGCCATGGTTTGACTCTAACTTTTCTGTGAGTTCTTATGCCTTGGTCTGACTTTATCCTTTTCTGTAAGTTTCTTTGCCATGGTTTGACTTAACCTTTTCTCTAAGTTCTTTTGCTTTGGTTTGACTTAACCTTTTTCTGTGAGTTCTTTTGCCTTGGTTTGACCCTTACTTTTCTGTGATTTTTTGCCTTGGTTTGACTTCACCTTTCTGTGAGTTCTTTTGGTTTGGTTTGACTTAACATTTTCTGTATGTTCTTTTGCCTTGGTTTGACTTAACCTTTTCTGTGAGTTCATTTGCCTTGGTTTGACTTCACATTTTCTTTGAGTTTCTTTGCCTTGGCTTGACTTAACATTTTCTGTGAGTTCATTTGCCTTAGTATGACTTAACCTTTTCTGTGAGTTCTTTTGCCTTGGTTTGACTCCAACTTTTCTGTGAGTTCTTTTGCCTTGGTTTGTCCCTTACTTTTCTGTGAGTTCTTTTGCCATGGTTTGACTCTAACTTTTCTGTGAGTTCTTATGCCTTGGTCTGACTTTATCCTTTTCTGTAAGTTTCTTTGCCATGGTTTGACTTAACCTTTTCTCTAAGTTCTTTTGCTTTGGTTTGACTTAACCTTTTTCTGTGAGTTCTTTTGCCTTGGTTTGACCCTTACTTTTCTGTGATTTTTTGCCTTGGTTTGACTTCACCTTTCTGTGAGTTCTTTTGGTTTGGTTTGACTTAACATTTTCTGTATGTTCTTTTGCCTTGGTTTGACTTAACCTTTTCTGTGAGTTCATTTGCCTTGGTTTGACTTCACATTTTCTTTGAGTTTCTTTGCCTTGGCTTGACTTAACATTTTCTGTGAGTTCCTCTTTCTTAATTTGACTATATTTTCTGTGAGTTCTTTAGCTGGGTCTGGATCTTACTTTTTCTGTGAGTTTCTTTGCCTGGGTTTGGCACTGAGTTTCTTTGCCTTGGTCTAGATCTTACCTTTTCTATGAGTTCTTTACTCTGAGTCTGACCTACCTTTTCTGTGAGTTCTTTACTCTGAGTCTGACCTACCTTTTCTATGAGTTCTTTACTCTGAGTCTGACCTACCTTTTCTATGAGTTCTTTACTCTGAGTCTGACCTACCTTTTCCGTGAGTTCTTTACTCTGAGTCTGAACCTTCTGCTCCAGTATACTGATCCGTGCCATCATGGAGGACATCAATTCCTGGTCACTAGGGGGCGCTGTAAACAATCAGAACAAAAATGTGTAATACATTCAAATATGTATAACATGTAATGCAGTCATATACATGTAACATGTAAAACAGTCAAATACATGTAACATGTAATACAGTCAAATACATGTAACATGTAATACAGTCAAATACATGTAACATGTAATACAGTCAAATACATGTAACATGTAATACAGTCAAACATGTGCAATATGTAATACAGTCAAATAAATGTAACATGTAAAACAGTCAAATATGTGTTACATGTAATACAGTCAAATATGTGTAACATGTAATACAGTCAAATATGTGTAACATGTAATACAGTCAAATACGTGTAATATGTAATACAGTCAAATACATGTAACACGTAATACAATCAAATACCTGTAACATGTAACACAGTTCAATACGTGTAGCATGTAATACAGTCAAATACCTGTAACATGTAATACAGTCAAAGATATGGAACGTGTAATACAGTCAAACAAATGTTACATAAAACAATTTCTTCTTGAATTTGAATGGATGAGCTATCAGATCTATTGCCATTTATGATGCTTTTAGTTTTTTAAAAGATGCAGTTTAAGTTGTATACACTTATTGTCAATAGAAATTGATTGCCTGTTTAATCAACTTCTCCCTGAAAATAATTGTTGTTAATGGTTTTCAATTTTTTTTTAAAACAGACTAAGTACTGAAACAGTCTTAAGAAAGCATGTTCAAGCTCAATGCCCCTGGCTTCTTTAAAGATGGACAGATCTAACTTCATCTGGAATGTACAGTATTAGAAATCCAGATTCTTCATGAAGAATCATGCACATTGAAGACATAATGATTTTGCCTCAGATTTATTCTCTCTTTCATACTAATTATCATTTTTCAATTTAATACATCAATATGGCAACACAATGTAAGAGATTTCAAATTTAAATATCCTAGCAAATTTTACAGCAAGAATTAAAGCCTTAACACACATCAAACAAAATCAATTACGACAGATAACAAACATTATTAGAACATTACATCAATTTAAAACAAGCAAGTCGTCATTACCTTGAATTGTTCACTTATTCATACTCTTGTCTAATACATGGTTAGTATGAAATTAAATCCTACACCATGTAGTATGAAAATAAACTTACATTGTACTTTCATCTTGTAGTTGATATTACCTGAATTTCAGTATACATGTATTCTATAATAACTTCTTTGATAATTGAGTAAGATAATAAGTATGAGATACTTTAAACAAGAGGCCCAGGGGCCACAGCGCTCACCTGAGCACATCGGGCTTGAATTTCACCCCCCCCAGGCATTCATCATTTGAACAAACTAGAATCTACACTACCTGAGGATGATTCCATATAAATATGAGCGCATTGGGCTTGAATTTCAACCCCCCCCCCAGGCATTCATCATTTAAACAAACTAGAATCTACACTACCTGAGGATGATTCCATATAAATATCACTAGTCATAGCTTTGAAGTACTTGAAAAGAAGATTTTAAAAGATTTCCCTATATATCCCTATGTAAAATTTGGGTTGGCCATTTTGGCCCCACCCTAGCTCCGGGGGTCATGATTTGAACAAACTTGAATCTACACTACCTGAGGATGATTCCACATGAGTTTCATCTTTCCTGGCCCAGTGGTTCTTGAGAAGAAGATTTTTAAAGATTTTTCCTATATATTCCTATGTAAAACTTGGGTCGGCCATTTTGGCCCCACCCTAGCCCCGGGGGTCATGATTTAAACAAACTTGAATCTACACTACCTGAGAATGATTCCACATGAGTTTCATCTTTCCTGGCCCAGTGGTTCTTGAGAAGAAGATTTTTTTTAAAGATTTTTCCTATATATTCCTATGTAAAACTTGGGTCGGCCATTTTGGTCCCACCCTAGCCCCAGGGGTCATGATTTGAACAAACTTGAATCTACACTACCTGAGAATGATTCCACATGAGTTTCATCTTTCCTGGCCCAGTGGTTCTTGAGAAGAAGATTTTTAAAGATTTTTCCTATATATTCCTATGTAAAACTTGGGTCGGCCATTTTGGCCCCACCCTAGCCCCGGGGATCATGATTTAAACAAACTAGAATCTAAACTACCTGAGGATGATTCCACATGAGTTTCATCTTTCCTGGCCCAGTGGTTCTTGAGAAGAAGATTTTTAAAGATTTTTCCTATATATTCCTATGTAAAACTTGGGTCGGCCATTTTGGCCCCACCCTAGCCCCGGGGGTCATGATTTGAACAAACTTGAATCTACACTACCTGAGAATGATTCCACATGAGTTTCATCTTTCCTGGCCCAGTGGTTCTTAAGAAGAAGATTTTTTAAAAATGCCATTAATTTTTAACAAATTCATAATTATCTCCCCTTGGAAAAGGGCATGGCCCTTCATTTGAACAAACTTGAATCCCCTTCACCCAAGGATACTTTGTGCCAAGTTTGATTGAAATTGGCCCAGTGGTTCTTGAGAAGAAGTCGAAAATGTGAAAAGTTTACAGACAGACGGACAGACAGACAGACGGACAGACAGACAGACGGACAGACAGACAGACAGACGGACGCCGGACAAAATGTGATCAGAAAAGCTCACTTGAGCCTTCGGCTCAGGTGAGCTAAAAATGAATAAGAATCCCAAACTAAGTACTGCACAGTTATAAAAGGGTTAGTATATCATATACATGTGTACCTATATATTTTAATAGATAAAAGAAAATTTGAAAGCAATGGCAGGAGAATTCAACAATAGACACATTGGAAAAGGTACATGTATTTATATTATATAAAATTTGTCAGGAAAGAATATGAAAGGTCGGGAAAAAATTCTGATAGCAGCATTATAAACCAAGAACCATTATGATTGATTGAGGTAGAAGAATTTTTATATCAGACAAAAGTAAATACATAAATGTAAAGGAATCTAAAGTAAGCATTTAAATAAAAGGGATCCTGATTCAAAGAAGAAATCTGGTGAGTGGAGCCCCAGTAACTTTGCGATGTACATGTACATATAATGATAAAATAAACAAATTAATCTGAAGGGAGAAAAAAATTATACATGATAGTATGATAGTATGATATTGAAAAGTCCAGATCTACAAAGAATAGCTTATGATGGAAGATAGCGCTATAGAGTATATAAAAGTCTAGACCATAGCCACACCCATAAAGGGGTTGATTGATACCTGTCAAAAACGTAGCATTATCAGGGGGCGTGTCATCAATAAATGACGACGAGGATTTCAATCTCTCTGTAAAGAAGGACATCAATCAATATTTTATCTTTTTTTTTTAAATCTCAGTAGAACTTTAACTATATCAACACAATTTATATTATTATACTTTCATGTTAAATACTAAAATCTGATTGGTTTAGACGCAGTTAACAATCTGTTCTATTACCCTCAGCCTTAGCAACACACGTGACAACGGGTAACACAACGGTAATGCCTAATGCGCGTACGGTTCACAGTAGAATTCTCAAAACGTCATTTGCGCGTTTGAAAGAACCAGAATAAACTTGACGTCAATAAAAGCTTGCGTCCGATGAAGCTTACTTGAAAACAACAAACGACAGACGAAACATGCTTGTGAGTGCAGAAATAACGAAACTTTAGATGATAAAGGACATGTAGAGTATCAAATAAACAATAAAGAGGTCATCAAATCTTTTTCGAAGTAGCGGGGAGTTTGAAAGCTTTCTAAACGTGAACGAAAAGGCGATCGACGATTTGTATTGCTGACAGAGTAAATCAAGAAGACATTCAGTATATAATAAAATAAATGGTGCCTGTTTTGGAATTTTGAAATTGACACCCCTCGGAAAACTATTGTCAACCTCCGCTGACGCGTCAGTTGACAATGGTTTTCCTTGGGGTGTCAATTTCAATTATTACCTAACCTACTATATAAATTAATTAAGGCATTAATCAGGCATTTTGAACTGTTTCATGGTTTACTTTATGTTTTTGCGTGGTCATGAAACAGTGAACTGTTGACCGGTCCACAGAATGAACTGTTGACTGTTTAATTAGCGTCATCGTGATATTCAAGCGTTTTGATGATCACGACATCACTATTTACCTGCTTTATAATTAATCAAATTTAAATAAAACACACAAACAATCCATTTATTAAGTATTACTTTAAATTAAAAATATTAATTCAATCTTTATATTATGTGTTCAGCTAATTAATAGCCATTCTCTGTAACCACTTAAACTTCGTTGCCACGCATTGTCACCGATTTTGATGAAACTTCACCCATGCTTAGTACTTGACACCAGAAACAAATATCAAACAAAATTTCGTTGCTATGTGTCTCGGTTGCTATGGCAACAGCCGGAAAAGTTTGAAAAATCAAGATTTTCAGCCACTTTAAATCTTGACTGTGGCTTAATAAAAACTAGAAAAAGCAAACAAGTCATTCTCACAAAAACATGACACCTTGATGTCACTTATATTGTAAAGAAAATGTTTAGAATATATCTCTAAGTAAGTGGTAACCAAGGATACATTTGGAATACATTTAAAATGCTGAAATATGCTGTAAAACACTCCGTATTCACTAATGGTAGGTGTTACATGCTCAAACTCAATCAACGACTTAAGAAAAACAATGAAAATGTTTGACCATAAGTATATAAGTATAAGCAATATTATTCTATAAATAACCTTTATGGTTGCCATGGTAACATAGTGTTACCATGCAAAACCAGTAACTAAGTTTGGGTTAATGCTACTGTCTTGAGGAGAAACATGAAAATTCAAGATTGGCAAAATATGCATCCTTAGGACCTTACAACACCAAAACCATAAGAAAAATTGGGTATAGTTGCTACTTTGCAGTGTTACCATGGAAACAAAGTACCAGTGCTTAAAAGTGAATTATTTTTCACTGCATTAAGAATTAAATTGCCATATAACCAAGAAACAAATTAAATGACTCAGCTTGAATCATACTTATCTGTTAGAACTGAAGTTGAATATCATATATTGATAAAATTTGATGAAGAAAACAACACTGTTGCTATGGTTACCAAGAAGGGAAAATGTTCGAATTTGTGAACTTTATATCAATATTAAACCCTGTGTGCCAACTTCTTGCATCCACTTAGAGATTGGATGATAGTCAAAATTAAAAGTCAGGTAAGCTGTTAATAAATATTAATCATAAAAGTTTTGGGAATCTACATTTAAGGGTACGTATCCAAGGACAGAAAATATTTTTCAGGTATTTAAGCATATATTTTCTGCTTATTTCCATAGCAACGCTCTATTTAAAGAATCTAAACTGAATTTTTTCAAATGGGAAAACTAGGAGCACACCAACATCTTCAAAAATTGATCATCAGTTATGAGAAAATGCGCTTTTTTAAAAGATATGATCAGATTGAAACATACAGAGTGTTACTTTGAAGGCTCTCTGTGGTATAAAAACCTTGGCAACCACTGCCAACCAAAATGAAATATCATATTTTGTTCTTGGTATATGTTTCAAGGCTCTTTTTTCTATTATTTGGTCACATTTCATCCTATAATTGCTTTTTATTTTTACGTGTATGACTTTATAAAATTCAATGAATATTATTTTTACTTTTGAATAGTTTGTTACCATAGTAACGTATGTAATAGTTAATTTACCAAACATGTTTATCATGCATTTGAGACATCTGACTTTCAACTTTTGGAAACTTTGCCGCAAATGTTAACTATGGGGCTCTAAACATGTTAAAAAATGCCATTTTTCGAACTTTAAGACATGTTGCCATGGTAACTGTAAATCATAGCAACCAATTTTTGCCTGATTTCAGTTTAGGGTATCAAAGACTTTTATCGTAGAGAGTTTGGAGAAATTCTGAGACTATGCGTGCCACAGCTCCTATATAAAAGTTCAAGTCATTACAGAGAATGGCTCTTAATAGACAAGTATAGTATGTGAATAAACAGTTGTGAAAATGTTTTATTGATTGTTTGTGTGCTTTTATTCCAATTTAATTAAGTATAGTAGGTTAGGTAATAAAACACTTATTCAATGACTACTCGGTGAAACAGTCAAAATGTTGTCCCTCGGTAGTGGGGGAGACCTGGGAAACTGTTGCCCGAGGCCTTCGGCCTCGGGCAACAGTTTCCCAGGTCTCCCCCACTACCTCGGGACAACATTTTGACTGTTTACCTTGTAGTCATTAAATAAGTTATACTGTTACCCTCCAAAACAGGCACCATTTATATAATAGATACACACCCAGTGGGGGGTTGTTGATCCTGGGGACAGGTGTACTGTGGGTGACGTGCGGTCGGGAGGTGTCCAGTTTGGGCAGCCCCCCGTGGAAGGGGTCAGCTCTGGTGTGGCTCCCCTTCAGCCGACTGGCCGCCATGTTGGTGGTGATTTCATCAAGTAAACGACTCTCATCCTCTGCAAAAAATGCAAGTTCTTGAAGGAAAGACAAAAAATAAGGATACATGTGGTATTCCCTTGAGTTTTCTTTGAATAAATGACAGATTATATTTTTGATCTTGGGAGATTTTCATATTTGCTGAGACAAAAATTATGAAACTGCAGAGAGCTCATTATTATTTTCAAAGAGAGGACTGATGTAAAGAAGGGACTTTGAAGAAGAAAGAACAATAATCTGTTATCAAAGCACATAACTCAATTGCAAACAATGTGCTGTACTGCTATAAACATATTTAACAATGTCATGTAATGCAATACCTTTGTATGAATTGGAACAGATACCCCCCCCCCCACCCCTTTCCATCCTCACCTAAAAAAAAGACACTTACCAATAAAAAGTTGAACTCTCCAAGGCAAGAAATGACAAGACATGGTCAATAAGTTGCTGACAATTAAAAATTAAAGGCAAAACACAAAGTCCAGCACTAAAATAATCCCCTTCTAAGATAGCTTACAGTGTATATTACATATAATTAAATGGCCTAACTGTAACCTTTAAACCTGGAATTCATATAAAATAGCTTCTAAACTAACAAAGGGAGTTGATATTAAACCCCCTAATAAGGACAAGCTTTTGATAGAAGATTTATAAAGAATATTTATCCTGAGGTAAAGCCACGGACATGTGCACTGCAGATGTCATCAATTGAAATTCAGCCATCTACATCATTCTATTCATATGTACTAACCTTGAAAGTTTTTATCAGGGATTTAAATTGATTTTATTTATTGATTTCTTTTGATACTTAATAGTTCATTTTGCAACCTCATAACTTATGTTGTTGCCCGCTACTTATTATGCTTATAGACATTTAAGAAAGCTAAAAAAAATGGCAATCAGTCTTAAGGACCCTCTCGACACAAGTGCAAAATATTTTTTGGACATTGAGAAAAATATATTGTATAAAGGAGTTGATATTGTGCTTATTTATTCAATTTTTACTATATGGTGCGTGGCATTTACCCCCAGGAGAAAAGTTCAAAGACAACACAGTATCAGTGAATAGAAATCAATGTTAAATACTTCAATTGATTGATTGATAGTATATTGTTTAATGTCCCTCTCAAGAATTTTTCACTCAATATGGAGACGTCACCGTATGCCGATGAAGGGCTTCAAATTTTGACCTTTACTCGGCACTCAGGGCCATTTAGCACTGAGGGATCTTTATCGTGCCAACCCCTGCCGCTGACATGGGGTCTCGGTTTTTAAGGTCTCATCCGAAGGACCCGCAACTTTCACTTCAAAGTGCCGAGCGCATGGCGAAGGAACAGTTGCTACCCATTTTAACGACTAGGTCAGTTGCGGCCGAGATACGAACTCACGACCTCCCGATTACTTCATTTGAGAAAATACATGTAAATAACACATTCAGTTAATCTATCTTGGCCTTTTAAAATGACAAAAATACTTTAATTAATTACAAATTGAGTAATATATTGTAAATTTCTATTTTTTTTTGAATTTAGATCAAAGGGCAGATCACTCTAACTGCAGAAAAATACCTTAGAATCAGCACTCTTTAGTGTGCAGTGTAGAGAGGGTTCTTAAAACAGTTCTAAGGTCAACCTGAATATTTTACAGAAATTACGCTAATAATATAATAAATGAAAAAAATGCCTTAATCTAATTATAAAACTATCAGAAACGGTAAATCTATTTATATTTAAATGGAATCCACAGGTTACTGTAAATGTATTATATTTAGCGTGCACGATATTTGGCGGAAATTGATTTTTGAACGAGTTAGCGTAGATTTGATTTAGCGCATTTCTCAATGTTCTTATTTATGTATATATGTGCAAGACATTTAGCGTTGTACTTGAATTAGCGGAAGTTCCTTTCCGCCAAAAGCGCTAAAAAGAATACACCGCCAAATGTAATACGTTTACAGTATATTTATATTTTTCCCTCAGTTATAATGAGGATTGAGACTATTTAGTTTGAGTGTATCTCAATCAATGGGTACACAGTGAGTACACAGTCATTGGCATAGAAGCATGACATAAATCACCATCAGTGTATATGTCTAGAATACTAACGACACTTACCAGAGTAGGCAGGGCTCCTAAAGGGCATACTCCTGGAACTGAAATAAATTATCATAATTATCATATATATATTGTTTATATATATTATTATATATGATTTAGTGTTATGCATCTTAATTAGCATTAAGGTAAGAAGTTATCAATATACAAATTTACTTTTCACATGCATGCAATTCAGTTGTCAATACATAAAAATAGCTATTGTAAAATCACCTATTTTCGAGGGGTCAAATTTCCGTGGTTTGAGGAAAATATATTGGTTCATGGGGATTTGATTTTTCCTTATTGAAGAAGTCTGTTCAGTAGTATTTTATGTGTAAAATTGCATTTTGTGGTGGACATAAATTTTCGGTTCTTTTCATTCCTTGAAAACCATGAAAATTAACCCCCTATGAAAATAAGTGATTTCACAATATTTATTACTCTTTTTGCATTTTTAAAATGGCTAGCAAATAATTTTGCCACTTTCCTAATGAAAAAGCAAAAAGAGCGATGTACATGTACTTTTTATGCCATATTCAGACATATTATCTGAATTAAATTTACCTTGAACCTATTACCTTGAATTAAATAATTGAATTGTGTGTATGTCTAAAAAGTGTCTCACAAACAAAATGCAATTTATGTAGTGGTACTTTCCATTACCAATAAGTGACAGTGTGGTATCATTAAGTAAAACTTTATTTTCTTTTCAGATTAAAACAAAAGCTATTCAATCACACTATGTTTAGATGTACATATCTTTGCAAATTAAAAGTCACAAAAAATTGCAGTGAAATTCTTTACAGTGTATTCCCAACCTGAGTTGTAAAAGCTGACTTAATCCCAACTGCTTTGTAATGTATATTTTTTAAAACTGTTTTTAAAAGCTTGTCAATGGTCATGATGGTTGTCATTTAAAATTGTCAATGATAATTTTAGATGTTTCACAGCAAATACAAACACATTCAGATTAAAGACATCAAATTCCAGACCCTTTTCTTCAGACAATATTATGTCACACACCATTAAACTCTGAATGTAAAACACCTCTACCTTTCCTTGGAGCCTGGGTTACTCAAATCATCATGTCTTCTGGAGGAATATTTAGTTAAATTATAATAAATACAATCATACAGCTGAACTTTGCATTCTCAAACTCAAATAATAAATCAAAAAAATATACCATGGATAGTCATAATTTTTACTGAATTTAGCCTCAATATCTTTAACTCTAGCTGCAGATCTGTAGCTTTATGGTTTTATATGGTCAAGACTACTATATAAACCATAATGCTACAGATCTGCAACTACTTGAACTCTTGGTTACCTCAACATTTTTTTTTAATTACATTGAGTTCAAGATAAAAGTTTGACTGAAGCTGATATTTGACTCTGAGTCACTAATTTAAATTATAATATTATAACCATTTTTCTTTTGTAGGACAAAAACTCAATACTGTTTTGTCAGTAAAAATATACATACATGTGTACTACCAGCTCTGGGTAATGGGCATTATCATAACCTTAGTCTAAAAAAGCACCTGTCTCAATTCTTCGTGATGACTACAATTAACCAAATTCTTGGAAACTTTCTTACCCAGTTTAGGTATTGATAGGTGGATAAGCAATTTCAATCATAAAAAAAAAATATATACAGGTAACTCTCGAAACCTCGAAGTCTGCGGGACCGAAGAAAAACTTCGAGAGATCAAGAGTTCGAGTTTTAAAATTAGTCATACCGGATGTAATGATTTTCATGCAGTTCTTACCTTTTACACGTGGTTTTTAGAAAATAAAGATATGTTTTCGTATTTTAAGTGAATATTTATTAAACTGAGTAAAGCAAAAAATGTGCATCATCTTTTCGTGTTTTTTTTTTTTAAATATCATACGGATATCATTCTACTCGTTCGTTACATGAAAACGGCATAGACCAGTGTCGCGTGGTACATAGCATTGATTTCTGACTTTTCCAATTATGCGCATTGAACGAAATTCTGTTTGTACAAAAAAGTCGTCATATTGACAGCGAGGCTGTTTCTGAATTTTCATATTTCGTTAAACTTTGAAACTGGTTCGAAATAAAAATTTAATTCATTGATTGTTTCGTCTCGTAATCTGCAATTACAATTTCTCATCGACACTACGTTTCTGAATTATCATAATACAGACAATGATAATTATTTTGATAGCATATAGGCACCATAAGATTAATTATAAATCAATTATCACCTTGCAGATTAAGTGTCACCTGAATAAACATCCTGTTTCACGAGACCCGCATCTTCTGCCTGGGGTCATTAAATGTCCAGGTAAAGTTGCTAATTATGTAACTCTGTATACACAAAGCCACTTCGAGGTATCAAGGGTGAATTTCAATAGAATATGCACAGCGGAACTGCAATTTTACTTCGAGAGATCAAGGGTTTCGAGAGATCAAGAGTTCGAGAAATCAAGAGTAAATTTGCTTAGTTATATAGGGAAAAATTTCGGGACCGGAGACTCACTTCAAGCGATCAAGAACTTCGAGAGATCGAAGTTCGAGCCATCAAGAGTTACCTGTAGTTTGTAATATTAACCATAGAATGTTAGAGTATTCCAAGTCCATTTATTCAGAGGCCATGTTCATCATCCTAAATAATAATGTACATCACTACACGCACATGTTTCAGGGCTCGACATTAACTTTTTTTCCTACTTGTCCATTCGGACAAGTGACCAAGACATTTACTTGTCCGAATTTCAACTTCACCTGTCCGAAAATTTTCAATAAAGTTCGATAGTTTCAACTTGAAAATTATAATTCAATCCATTTATTTACACGTCATGCACTTTATTGATTCTAGATATATACATGTATATTATTGATAAATACAATATTAAACACATAAAACGAAAATTTAATCTAGGCTTTCTGTCCTGACAATAACATAAATGTCATCAAGTGAACCTGTCAACATCAAACAATATTCACACTTCGTTTCGTATCTTCCATGATTTTTCAGTAATGTATTATGCAATTAGTGAATTTCGATCCCGATCGAATGTGAACTCAATATTAATATAGTGATATAAATCGGGATCAAAGTTTGGATTTTATGTACAGCTTCCGTCTTGAGACTACCGATTTAGCTTTCAACAGTCGGTGTTTTTATTATTTAGAGACCCCTTTACGTTAAAATGCACTTGTCCAATCGGACAAGTGCCCAGCAATATTCACTTGTCCGAATTTATTTTTCATTGGTACCGGACAAGCGGACAAGCGTTAATGTCGAGCCCTGTGTTTCAACCAACAGTATAGATTTTTATATATATTTACTTGACACAACTGTCACTAAACTGTGTTTTACAAGAAGAATGTACAACAATATCAATTTTGTTATGTTTGTCAGGGTTTTTTCACATAATTTCTCTCCCCCCTCCCCTCCAACACACATACACCCTCCCTCCCTGAGATCATTAAAAATCCAATGGCAGGAAAAGAGTTCAAAAAATGTAGTTAAAATATTGATCACATATATTGTCTTTTTGGTGAATTAGTAACAAGTTTAACCATACTGTAAAAACAGGCTGAAGTACTTATTTTTGAAATGTGTAATGCAGAAACCAGCCAACATTAATGAAAACTTACCCTAAAAGAAGCGGATTTTTATGCGGTTTCTTTAGACTTGAAAGCGGGGAACTCATTTTAAACTGCTGTGAGAATAATGACTAAGCCGGGCAGTCTGAAATATCAATATAATAGACATAAATTTTTAACTAAAGTCACGTATTCGTTTACATCTAAGGACGCCATCATACCGGAAATACTAAATACTAACATATGAAACCCAACATGATCATATTCCGGAAAACTTGCTTTAGTTAGTAAGTAAAATTGTTATATTTAGTAAAAAGTTTATACAATGACTTTTTTGTATTAGTTCGTTAAAATAATTCTACAAAGTCTGAACTGCAACTTTGTGTAATTACGTTAATTAAAAGTTCGTATTAACAGGGACATATATACTAACGGGATAGGCAACTACCGCAAGTCTCACGATATCTCGTAAGTCGCGGGATTTCGTTAGTCAACTTTAATTAATTATATCTCTAATGATATCGCGTATTATAGATCAAAACCTTTAATTATCTGTCAAAAAATCATTCAAGATTTGTTTTTAACATGGATTATACTCCTTATCTTCGTAGTAATTTTGTTATATTTAAAATCAACACATGCCCCGATCGGCCATATTTCCAAGAAATCGCCGATTTCGATGTTTGTTTTCTTTATATTTAATTTATATTATTATCAATGATTTAAAATTTATTAAAAATCAATTCCAATACATAAAAGGAATAAATGATATTAATCAGAAAACACCCTATTTACTGGGATAAAACGTAGTTTGAAAAACTTGTAGTGTTGTGCGTGATGTTTTGGGTAAATAAACATGGCGATGAAGGAGTTGCCTATCCCGTTAGTATTTTAGGTCCCTGGTATTAACGAAGTTCGAAGTCGTTTTTTATAGGGAGGGGTCATCCTATCAGGAATCTCCATAGGATAATGAGTACGCCCACCTTTTATACAGGCTTAATACATAGTCAGCGCATGTTTGTCTATTGTTCTCCTTTTTATGGTAGTTGTATATTTATATATATATTTACATCCACTGAATATTTTCTCCTTTATGCTACGTTTACACTATGTTCCCGGCAGCCACGGCAGCCCTGTTTGCCCGAAACGTAGTGCGCCGTGAGATTTTGGTTATTTTCTCCTCTATATCCAAGTCTTGACAAGTTCTTTTGCGGTCTTCTACGGATCCGTGATAGGCCGTAGGAAGAAGTTGCCGTGGAGTGCCGGAGGCTCCACGGCGCACTACGGTTCTGCCACGTATGCCAGCACGTTCCCCCCAGGCCTCTTACGTTCTGATAGGTCCCCTCTCGTTTCTCGCCTTCTTATGAAGTTCTTATACGTTTCTCACGTTCTGTCAAGTCTTTCTACGTATGAAACATGGACGCCGAGAAACTATGGATCACGTTTGTATCAGAGAAGGTCTCCAAACCAGAAACAATCATTGTATCATGACCCTTCGAAGATAAAACATCATGAATTCCGAAGACGAAGATTTTATTTTTGCGTGTTTGCTGGGTGCATACCTAAAATCACTTCGTCAAAATGAAGAGAACCAGCATCAGTTACAGAGAGGGGAGGCAGGAGTGCAGCAACTAGGAATGAGACGAATAAGAAGGATGAAAAGGCGGAGATCTATATGGATCCATACTGAAACTTCTCTGCAGTGTCCGGCTTTTATATGCTTCCTCTCAGACCGCGTGCGCCGTGTCAGACCGTAGTAGAACGCAACGCACCGGGACCATAAACCGTAACATGCCGGGACGAACCGCGATTGAACGCGAGGAAACGGCTACCATACACCCTAGTTTGCCGTGAGGACAGTGATGAAACGTGGCAGAACGTGATAAAACGGACAACAACCGTGAACTAGCCGTGAAGGAACGCGGACTAAACTCAGCAAAACGTCTCAAAACGTGAATGGTCCATGAGATGAATGGAAATATACATTACCCCACCTCTGTCGATTTTTCCGTGAAATCCTGGCTTACGATTGGTTGAAGTCTGTCACGTGAAGACGGTGGATTACTTATACCCGGTCAGTTGTAAATCCATACCCGGTCAGTAAATCTATACCCGGTCGATGTATTACGTCACAAACACAAATGTGACGTCATAATAGGCACAGTATAAGCGCGATGAAGCATTTAGCAGAGAAAAACATTTATAAACTACAGATAATTAAGCATTGAATTCATATTTTTGGCTGTCTTCGGTCCTATAACACACCTGGCCGTGCCGACAAATTGAATACCGCGCGTTAGCGCGGTATGATAAATTTGTCGGCACGGCCAGGTGTGTTATAGGACCGAAGACAGCCAAAAATATGAATTCAATGCTTATATTTACATTCTCTAATTTTCCTTCTTCATAATTGCTTATTTCGTTAACATTTAATGTGAATTTTGCGCCCTTCAAAACTAACTTGGTTAAAAGACGTAAGAGCCGTTTGTGACGTCAGATGATGTTAAGTGACGTTGCAAAGTTAAATTACGCAAACAAACATTGCGATTAAAAAAGTGACAAATTAATTCTTAACGCACATTACGTTAATTTCTACGTTAATTTTTCAGGGTTGTAGTTTTTCATTAAATTGAAATAAAACATTTTACATTTTGGTGTTTCTCGAGTATTGAAAATGCATATAGTTCCTACTGTGTATTCTAACGCGCGGTGACAAGGTTCCGCGTGTGTTATAGAAATTTGAACGTCGTGGATTTCTGATGGATTTGATAAGGAAAATTATACTGAATGTAAATATAACGTAAATGTTTCATCGGTGGGGTAAATTCGTTACACAGTCTTTTAGTGACAGGGTATGGGATGATACCTGGTTAGTAAATTTCATACCTGACTCGGCTCCGCTTCGCCAGGTATGAAATTTACTAACCAGGTATCATCCCATACCCTGTCACTAAAAGACTATGTAACTTATATTCTCCCGTCCCACTGCGGACTGCCTCCAAGTTCTGTTACGGTCTATTACGTGCTGTCGCGTTTTGTTGCGTTTATTTCGTTTTACTACGACCTACTAAGTTTCACATCTGCAACGTGGCCGCCGTGGCAAATTTTTTGACAGTTTAAAAATCTGGCACGGCATCCACGGCAATCGCGATGAGTTACGTATGCCCATCCCGTTGCCCCAAGTTTTCTCACGCCCGTCCCGTTTTTTCCACGGTGGCCTGAAACGTGATTGCCGTGGTTGCCGGGAACATAGTGTAAACGTAGCATTATTTCTTAAGAAACCCCATTGCGTTCATCACTGCATAAACTGCAGTAAGCAGGTCGCCTGTACAGATTTCTTAATCAGTGGCTGTTCCATCAATGAAACATATAAAGACGTTAGCATCATTAATACAATATAATAATTAATCTTTTTAATCCTACTTTAATTGATTATTTAAACAGAAGCGGTTTATAAGAAAGCGTAAACTGCCCCAAGTTTTGTTATATCGGATAACAAGTTGAAATTAGCTTCATTCCTTATAATTTAATTTCAGAGTAGACGCTTACGCGGGTTAATATTTCCTCCGGAAAAAGGCTTCAAATTGAGAATTATTCTAAAAGTAACGTCAAGCGGAGTAATACGTTTTTATTGTTGTGACGTAGGCAAGTTATGTTGTCCAAAATATTATATGTTCCTCTGAATGATTCAGCCAATGAAATTGCTTGATACAAGTGAAATTAAATTATTTATTTTTGACTTGATTATCTATTCAAAAATTGTTTCACCCTTATTAAAGTGTAAACTTCAAATATAAAAAAAAATTTATAAAAAAGATTTTTACAAATTTCTTTTAATGCTTTTCCCTTGCCAGATGTATAGAGCAAAATTAGAGCTAGTTATTGTGGCCAAGTGTGATGATCCGCTCCTCTCCTACAGTAAGAGATTGTCAATATAGAAACGTGGGATACGCAGCAAAGTTAATTAATGAAATATTCAGCTTTATAGAAAAGTTAAAATACCCTTTCTTCAAAACTATTCATCACAATTCAATTTTAATAACATATTTAAATTCAACAATGTATATTTTGCATGTTCATATGTCAAAAATAAGACTGAATGTTGAAATTTATTCAAATTTAAAAAAATAAATATGTTTATTGAAATATCATTCTAGCAGAAAATTCTGCAAATCAAAATTTTTATATATGTACATAAACATCTACACATACTTTTACTTGTTATATTTTAAAGAGTTATGATATGCCAGAATATTTAATATAGGTCTTTAATTTAATTTATATTTTTAGAATAATTTTACACTTTTTTTCAACAAAATTTGCTGAGAAATGAAGATATGTAAAAAAAAAAAAAGTATGATAAAATTTATATGTAAGTTTATCTCCTGAAAATCACACGTTATTGACCAATATTTCAAAATTAACATCATGACCCCAACTTTTTCTTCCATTACTTTAAAAAAAAACTTGTGATGATCAGCAAAAGTTTGTAAAAAGCTTGATACAAGAAAATTTTTTATTGCCTATTCAGATTTTTAATACCCCCAAAATGTTACTTTTTTAGTGCAAAAAGGTCACACAATAATTATGCGCATTAATTTGCAACATTTGTTCAATGATAAATATTATTCAAACTATTTTACGTAAAATAAGATTATATTTATTGCCATAATTACCTCTAATAAAATATTATAAAGGTTAAAGTAATTAACCGAAGAGTTAAATTCTAAGTGCAAAAGGGTCAATTTATTATTCATTCTTGTTGTTTTTGAGTAAGATGCACACTGACCCCTTATTTTCTCTGCTATCTTGAGTCATACATTATGAGTACTTATCTAATATATATTGATCTCAAAAAATCCTTGATTTTACAAATTTCACGAGTGACTTACCTTAAGGTTAAAGTAAGGAGGCGGGGCCTAATTTGCACTGGAAATGTTTACTATGACGTCACACATAATTTTACCAGGTATAAGGTCTTCAAAATACCACAAAATGAAATAATTTGCTATTTCAAACAGCTGGATAGATGAATATACATACAAACTTACTATCACATGCAGTTTTGAGGTTTGTTGAATCCCACACAATAGTATATATAAACAATGCATCGATCGGAATGCACTTTTCAATGTGACGTCCTCTTGCAAAAATGACACAGTTTGTACACAGTAAGATTTGCTGATCAAGTCACATTTTGTATAATGAAAAATGTCTTTTGTTCTGAAATAAAATATCATTTGCAATTAAATAAAAGGCAGTTTACTTGGATGCCAACCTGTATATATTTAGGAAAAGCAATATACACTTTATTTATGACAAGCGAACATGTCGACATATAATATTTAATCTCTTAAGATGCAAAATAAAGGGAATATATCAATTTGTTGCAAGGGCATAATCCTCAATGTATCTCGAGCAAGTTATTACACATAAAATAAAGAAGCCTTTAAGATATTTGCAACAAAAGGTACAAAAAATATGAAATCATTAGAATTAACAAAATAGCTGTATTTCAATATTTTACCAGCAAAATCTTCAACCTGTTTTCCAACAAATTGAATTTTGTTTTCCACAATATGGAAATCACACTGACAAGTCCATATCATGACTACATAAAGTCATTAGAGAAATATAAATTAAATGATTTCTTGGTTATGCCCTTGCAGTATACTGGAATTGACAGGTGAACTCTAAACTGACGTATATATAATGGCTAAAATCAGTTGACGTCGACATCACGTGACAAGTCTGGGAGCCATAAAACTTAAATGCTCACTTTTGATTTGAAACCACATTATATATAGGAATATATATCAGTGGATAAAAAGATTCAGATCAAAAAGTATGTATATTTTATCTTAAAAAATGGGTACATGTATATTTCATTTGTATCGCTTTCTGGTAACTGGAATGAAATTTTGTTGCATTTTGTGTTTGCATTTATTTGTACTGATCTGACCTGTAAAACTGATATATGCCATGATATTTATTTGGTAACCTTTTCTGTCATGGAGTACGCCTGCACTGGTTTTGTTTCTACCAGATATTTCTCATGATCATTGGTAATGTAGGGTCTGTCCATACAGGTGAGACCTGAACATGCTAAAATATATGTACCACAATACACAGTTTGTATAGGGGCTCCACATATAACAGAAAGGGAAGAATAATGTGGCAGACAATACTTGGAATACATACATACATGTGTATTACTTTCAGCTTTAATAAGCAACACATTCTTCATTTTTCATATCTTTTGTAAATTTATAAATAAACATTTTATATCTAAATTTTTGGAGTTTACAATGAAAAAAAATGAACTTTAATAATTCATGCATTTATTAAGCTGCTAAATGATTTTTGTTTTGCACCCTTCTTAATTATTACAATCAAACATCTTCACACACAGTGCAGAAGCAAGTGCACATGCACTTGGATCTTTCTTCAATCAAAATTTTATTCACAGTTGTGATGATGAAAATTATTCTCTTTGATTTTGAAAGATCTGTTGACATTGCTGACGAATGCTTGGGAATGTCAAGCCTCCGGAAGATAAAGAAAGAAAGGAAATTGTCCAACTTTATGATTAGTTCCATTCAGCCCATGAGTGTTCGGCAGAAACTTAAATTTGACACCATTTTCCTGTACTTCAGGTAAACCTTGAACCCCATAAAAGGTTGTTCCTTGAATGTCAAGGTTTAAAACCATATCATACTTCCTTCCTGCTCGAATGTCTAAAGGCGGGTTAATAAAAAGAATTAGTCGTAGGTTTATTCACCAATCTTGTTATATTACTAGCAAATTAATCATTTAATAAGCTCCAAATTACCATTTTCTAAAATTTTGAAATCAACTTTATACTGCACTGGGTTTTGATGGCTGGCATAAATGTATACTCCATGTAAACTTATGTTTTTTGAAACACTGAATGTGACCGAGTCAGGGCATTTTTGGGGATAGGATTTACCTGCCAGCGTGGTATGAAATCGATAGAGAATGCATTTATTCCGGGGTGCCTTGAACCAATAGGGCAGTGGAACTGTCCGTGAGTCATTCATGTCTATTACTTCGGACATGGACAGGGTACCTGATGTGACATTCACATGGGGACCAGGGGGGTGAGGGGTGGCAGAATTTTCTGGCGGAACTGTCCACTCTACATCTGAATCTGAGTCGCTAGAATCTGGAATAATGATGGTGTTAGTCTGTGACGCCGGTGTACGATGAGCGACCAAGTGCTGGTAAACCTTTATAATATCGTCCACATTCAAAACCCTCTGCGCTGCCACCTGGTTGTTAAAAAACTCCACGGACATGTTTGTGTATTTGATTTTCTTGAGAATGTCACCAAGAACTGCCCTCTTGTTTTCTGGAGTGGGATCTTTGGACTGTAGTGCACACTGACACTCGGACCACTGAATGACGGCTGTGTATATAGCCTCCTGTGAGAGGTTGATCTTATTGGTGACCAGGAGCTCCAGCACACATTCTCTGGGAAGTTTTATGAAGCCTTTCATGAATTCCCTTGACTCGGACAGGAGGTGAGAGTGAGCGTAGAAGAAATTAAGGGCGTTGCGTTTTGTCCTGTCATTGTTATGATCGTAGGCGTACTTCAAGGCTTTACACACGTTCTGTACGGTCAGCTGTTTCTTTGGACCACTGCAAGCATGAAGAACAAGAAATATTTAATAATATCAAGATTTGTTTATTATTCACAGGATTGACAGTCACATGTAAAATTTATTTGACTAAAGCCAGTCCTTACAATTTCACCTCATTTTGATTATAGGTGAAACACTTTTTCAATATGGGGAATTGCTTTAGTAACTAAGAAAGACTAGTATTAATGCTTGTTAAACCTTCGGATAAATCTTGGTTAATTCTTTAAATTATAGACCTCTACTCATACTCCAAAGTATCTGACGTTTTTCAGGCCAGGAAAACCTGACACTTTTAAAATGTCAAAATCGTGAAAGCCTGGAAAACCTCTCATCTTTAAAAACGAAAGTAGACTAAGTAACTGTACATGAACCATTGAATAAGACAACAAAAACCTATTCAAAACTAAAGTAAATCACCATTCAATGTTATACTGTCATGTTTTAGGATTATTTACCTGTCATTTGAAGACATTGCTTTTGAAATGGTTTCAGACTTTAAATTTATACGGAATTTTCATGAAAACTTCGTTATTTGAGGAACCAAAGAATATAATCTCTATAATTTACATTAAATTGTGAATTTTAATAAATGAAAGCAAAAATGCCTTTTTGTGACATTTTCATGAAAAAAAATTCCTGTCCACAGGTAATATGGACTGTCATTTAACAAATTTATGTAAAAATCTTTAAACAAAACTTTTACCTAAAATTCTTAAGACAAAAAACGAAAAAAATGCTGATTTTTCGCAAATTTTAAAGCTATTTACAACTAAATAATTGTATTCTATTGATTTATATATGTTTTATTTATTCACGTAAAACATAAGAAAAGATATGAGATACATTTTATGATATTTAAAACTATTTCAAAATATGGTGATGCTTGAAAGTTCGATTTCACCAGAAAATATCCCTCCCCCCTTTTTTCAAGAGCTGGAATTTGATAACTTTTACTATCTAGCGCTGGAAATAAAATGATTAATCAATTACCACAGACCTGATCTTTGTATTAAATTAATTTAATGGATATATTGCCATTAAAACTGAATTTAATGGTTGCAAAATGTAGTTTGCGGGAATCAAGAGTTTTTTTTTTTGTTTCTTGATCACACCCGTGAAAGGTACACAGCTCTTGTAAACAGGGCATGAACTCTATTAGACTGGCTTGCCTGTCTGATCCTCGATATACAGTCGTTTCGTACGAATGAGACAAGGACTGCCAGTCTAGAGCTTGTTTGTTAAATTGTTTACATTTATACCGTCATTTTAATAAATGACATTTTTCATCAACATCAAAGTGTTTTATTTGACTTTTACAAAATTAGCAAAAACAAGCTGCGGTGATCTTGCTATATAGCATTAAAGACATAAATTAAAGTTTTGATAACTTTTAAACGAAATATTAAGATTTTTCATATATTTTTGTGTGAAATGCTATTAAAATATATAACTCGTAATATAATACAGAAAGTACTTCAAATCTGTGTCTATGCATCTTTAAGGGCCATAACCCGGAGGATATGTCACAACCCAATTTTTTTAATATACCTAATCAATCTCATACACATTCATAATTTTTTCATATATTCAATTGATTCAATTCATTTTATTGACAACACCATATACACTGGCATATAGTCATGAATACAACAATTAACATACATAAAATTAAATATCAATGAAAGCATATCAGGTTTGTTGAAGGTTTTCTTTCCTAATTTCAAAGCACTTTTTCAAAAAGTTACAAACTCTCCTAGCAGTTCTAATACTTGTAGGATTGATAATGTCATTAATAGGGTTTTCCTTCATGTAACAACTTCATTGTGCATTGAATATATCGTAATATTGTAATCTACATTGATCATAACTAGGACAATAAAGTACAAAATGGTTTTCATTTTCAATAAAAAATTTACAGAAATACATACACGTTTTTTCTAGGAATAGGTGGTCCTCAAAAATTTTAAAAGTTACGCCTATATCTTGTTCGATCCGCGTGGTTACGACCCGATTCCTTGTTGCACGTGCGTGGTTTCGACCCGCGTGGTTTTGCCGAGTGGTTTCGTTCCGAATAAATATTAATTAACAATTTCAATAGTCTAATTTTTCCTATGCCTTATAGTTCCAATAATTCGGCTTTTTTGAATCGACCATAACTGTTTATAATTAATAATATTTATAACTAGAGCAAAGCTCGTTGCAAAGCAACGAGTAGGTCTTCCGTCCGGTTTTGACCGGAAGTGCCGGAAGTGACATCAAAAAAGAAAAGCAATCAGCTATGTCGTCTCCAAAAATGTATAAAGTGACTATATAATTTCAATTTTGCATCAAAAACCTTCAAAATTAGCTATTTTTGGCTACTTCCGGTTTGACCGGAAGTGACGCTGACGGACGAAAAGTTAATTTTTATGCTCCCAGAGACATATGTTATCCAAAAACTTTTCAAGAACGGCAAAAATACGCGTTTTCCGACTACTTCCGGTTTGGCCGGAAGTGACCGACGCCGGACGTATATTGACGACAGCGGTGGATTAAGCTTGACATTTTGAACAAGTTTGCTTCTTTGACGTATTACAAATTCTCAATACTTTTTGAGATATAAAGAAAAAACTTTTGGCCCCTCTAGGCCCCTCATTTTAGGGGCCAGCCCCTTTTGCAAGATATCATTTGAAAGATCTTGGAATTCTACATTTCTTTTGTTCTATATATTTTAACAAAATGTTTCCAGGTAAAAAGATATCGTAGAAAAGGTGTTAAAAAATTTGAAATTCGCGATACGACTATTTTCGGGCCATAGCGAGCGCCGACGTGCGGCACTTCCGATAAAAATGAAACACGTTATACATATCTATAGACTTTGGTCTATCATACCTGAAAGTTTCATGTTTCTATCTTAAGCCATTATTGAGAAAGTCTGGAGACAACATGACCCTTCAAAAATCATAAAATCGACCATATCTCCAAACCGGAAGTGACGTCATCAAATCGGAAAAAAATGCATGAGGTTCAAGTTATGTTATATAAGTCCTGAAAGTTTCATGGAAATCCATCAAGCCGTTTTCGAGAAATCGCGTGCACAAAATCGGTAAGAAAAAAAAGAATAATAACTAGAGCAAAGCTCGTTGCAAAGCAACGAGTAGGTCTTCCGTCCGGTTTTGACCGGAAGTGCCGGAAGTGACATCAAAAAAGAAAAGCAATCAGCTATGTCGTCTCCAGTGACTATATAATTTCAATTTTGCATCAAAAACCTTCAAAATTAGCTATTTTTGGCTACTTCTGGTTTGACCGGAAGTGACGCTGACGGACGAAAAGTTAATTTTTATGCTCCCAGAGACATATGTTATCCAAAAACTTTTCAAGAACGGCAAAAATACGCGTTTTCCGACTACTTCCGGTTTGGCCGGAAGTACCGACGCCGGACGTATATTGACGACAGCGGTAGATAGAGCTTGACATTTTGAACAAGTTTGCTTCTTTGACGTATTACAAATTCTCAATACTTTTTGAGATATAAAGAAAAAACTTTTGGCCCCTCTAGGCCCCTCGTTTTAGGGGCCAGCCCCTTTTGCAAGATATCATTTGAAAGATCTTGGAATTCTACATTTCTTTTGTTCTATATATTTTAACAAAATGTTTCCAGGTAAAAAGATATCGTAGAAAAGGTGTTAAAAAATTTGAAATTCGCGATACGACTATTTTCGGGCCAAAGCGAGCGCCGACGTGCGGCACTTCCGATAAAAATGAAATACTTTATACATATCTATAGACTTTGGCCTATCATACCTGAAAGTTTCATGTTTCTATCTTAAGCCATTATTGAGAAAGTCTGGAGACAACATGACCCTTCAAAAATCATAAAATCGACCATATCTCCAAACCGGAAGTGACGTCATCAAATCGGAAAAAAATGCATGAGGTTCAAGTTATGTTATATAAGTCCTGAAAGTTTCATGGAAATCCATCAAGCCGTTTTCGAGAAATCGCGTGCACAAAATCGGTAAGAAAAAAAAGAATAATAATAATAAAAGTGAAAAAGAAACCTAAGAATAACAAGAAGGTCTTCCGCTGAAGACGGAAGACCTTAATAATAAAAGTGAAAAAGAAACCTAAGAATAACAAGAAGGTCTTCCGCTGAAGACGGAAGACCTTAATTATGATGTTTTTGGAAAAACATGCACTGTTTACCCTCTGTTTATACAGTACAGGTACCCGATACAATTTTGTACTGTTTATACAGTACATCACTACATGAACACGGTGCAATTAAAATCAGCTAGATGAAGGTCCAACAATGAAGACGCATTTGAAAAAGTATTTGATCTTCAAAGAAGGCTGTAATGGTGAGTATCTCCCCATTTCAATATGTAGTGTATGAGCACTAATTCTTAGTTTTGTTAGGATTGTTCTTTCAGATTTCTTCAATGGTAATTCAAGATAGTTTTGTAATTTATATTCATTTAAATCAATTATATTACTATAAAAAGTTAATTTCCCAGAATTTGATTTAGAAATGTTCTTTAATTGTTCACTGATTTTGTTTCTATAATGTTCCTCTAATTTATATTTTAGAGTTTTATGTGATATGTCCAATGAAGATAAAGACAATTTCTGTTGTAGAGTGTAAAGATATTCTAGACCCCAGTGTTTTATCTTCCTTAAATGCAGACACCACTAATTGGTCATTATGATCATTTTCTCTCTCTAAGTTTTTCAGTCTTAAATAAAATTTATACATATTTTCATAACACAAATAAAATAGTGGGAACTGTCCCAACTCATATAGAACAGCAATATTAGATGATTTTCTATGAACACCCAAAATGTCTTTAAAAATCTGGAGTTGTATTTTTTCAAATGGGAAATGATCCGAGGATAATAAATCACATTTGTAGTCTGCTAGCCAAACTTCGGAACCATAAGTTAAGATTGGAGTAATCATAGATCTATAAAGTTTAAGCATTGTCTTGACAGAAAAATTTGTATTAGCTGGAAAATATTAAATTAAAATCCGTGATATTCATTTGAACGACATCCGAGGTTTTTGCAGAAAATGACTCTCAAGTACCTTTAATTTGACCCATTGACCTACATTTAAAAACCTTAACATTGGAGTGAAGTACAGGCCGGGGGTGATACATGAAGGTTCTCAAAAATTTATGATTTTTCAATCACATTTTTTTCTTGGGCTATAAGCCATTTTGCGGTACACTCTTGGAGTGTTTTGCCAACGTAATACAAAGAAATCACATTCTCTTATATATTTGCTATAGATACAGGTAAAGATATATGTGTCGATCCTGTTTTTTACTGATTAAACATTTTGTTTGATTTTAGCAAAAATCAAGTCGATATTATTCCTTTTACATTTGTTTCATCTATGTATTTCCTGTAAAACTACAGGAAAGCCTTTCTTAAAATTTTGAATAAAAAAGTTTTGCAAATTTGAAATCGGAATGAAATCTGTACATACCTCATTCCCAGAATTCCTTTACTCTTATACCCAATGTACTTTGCGCGAATGAATAAATAAATAATAACATAAAGGCTTTCAGTTTTTAGAAATCTTTAAAATAATCAAAAAATCTCTGCAATGTTTTTCGACCAAAATTGCACTAGGTCTATAGGTCTATAGATTCAACCAGACTCTTAGCTGTCTCCGTTAGCCTGGTTCCCTGTCGCTGTTTTGCTTCATATACTCCGCCTTGGCAAGGATGAGACCGTAAGCTCAGACGAGCTGCTTGACGTCATAGCTAGTCGAGATGTCTCGTGCAGCTTGATGTTTGAAGTGGCTGATCAATTTTTCGAATGTTTTTGATCGTACAACTGCGCTCGCCCCAGCGGTCACACCATAAAACATATTACCACCTGAGGATGCCTATAAATATGACCAATCATGGCTCTGATGTTCTTGAGAAGATTTTTAATGATGTTAAGATTTCTTTGTTATATTCCTATGCAAACCCTTGATTGACAATTGTGGCCCAACCCTATCTCTGGGGGTCATTATTTGTACAAACTTGAATCTACACCATCTGCAGATGGTTCGACATAAATATGACCAATAATGACTTCACTGTTCTTGAGAAGAACATTTTTAAATATTTGTTTCCTAAATATTCCTATGTAAAACTTTGATCAGCCATTGCTTGAAACTTGAATCTACACCACCTGATATGCATCCGTAAAAATATCACCAATCATGGCTTTGCTAATCATGAGAAGAAGATTTTAAAATTTTTCCCTACATAATCCTATGTAAAAACAGCCACTGTAGCCCCGCCCTACCCCCGGGGGTCATGATGTCTGAACAAACTTGAATTTGCACTTCACGAAGATAATTTCACATGAGTTTTATTATTCCTGGCCCAGTGGTTCTTGAGAGGAAGATTTTTAAAAGATAACATTAATTTTTACACTAATTCATAATTACATGTTCGGCTCAGGTGAGCTAAAAGTCGTTTAAATTTTTGTTAAACGATATTTATCATTACATCTATTGAAAAGTATCCTTCCCAAAGATATTGTTCTATTGCGCATGAACTCAAATTAATAACAGATCTAGATTTTGCAAAAACCTATGACATCAGATGGAATGGAAATACCTTAAGACGGAAAACACAAATAAACAAACTGTTTAAAGAGAGACTAGTGTCTCCTGAATAATGAGATAAAAATATTATTGTTAGATAACTACAAGTACATATGTAACATGAAATACTCAGTATGTGGAGAAAACAAACAGTATTCGAGCTCATAATTCAAATAAACATTACAAAAAAGGAGCAGAGCAAACACAGACCTCCTAAATACATGTATCAGAAGTGGGATCATGTTCCATGGAGGAATGAACATCCCCTGTCGACCGGTCACTCATGCCGTGTGCTGAATGAATAAAACATATTTTAAACTATGCTGTGTGCTCCTTGTAGAGTTTGGAAAAAAACCCCGGAAAAATCACAATTCAGTGTGTAAATAGTGGAATAAGAATCAGTCATTCAGTATTTGACTAAACCATAGACTGTACTTGAATTGCTGACAAGGTCATTGTTTCGACCATAGAACCTACGAAATGATGACGTTAAACAAACCTGCTGATATTCCTCCTTCATCAAATTGTTTGTCAATAACTAACCTTGTTGTAGAAATTGTTCTTACTTACAAAATGCTATAACGAATCGAATCCACTGAGAGACATAAATCAGGTGATGAAGGTATATTGCTGCGTAAGCAAGAAAAGTTGGCGATTGAAGAGTTAAAGTCATCACGTTTATCATAAAGCTTTGTTGTTAGATTACCATTGACATTCTCTTCAAGTAAAATATCCAAATATGAAACAGATGTGTCAGACTCTGAGGTATCTTTTTTTTTAAAAAAGCTCACTGGAATATGTTGTTTCGATACTGTCAATCAGATACTCTAGCATAAACTACGGTATATCATTTTATGGAGGTAAAAACTCGTGAACACGATAGCTTATTACAGTAATTAATATAAAAAGATGCCTAACTCGTCGATACGTTTTATTAAGATATGAGTACTCAATGGTTACAATTAAAAAAAAAGAATTAAGGGGGCCGACTATAGTTTTATTGTGTGAAAACTATAGTAGCGAAACTCTTCATTTAAATACCATATAAAACTTACATTATCCTCAGTGTACATGCAGAGTTTGTGGGATATCTACCGTCTAGGTATTTTCGAGGGACCGTCTCAAAATACAGGTACATTTACTATAGGATTCTATAGGAAAATGCCAATTTTCAGCACTTTAAAGCAAATTATACAAATACTACAATAGAGATTTTGTTCAATCCATAATATTTGATGAGTAATACTATATTACACAATATATGTAAGAAACACAAAATTCTACCGTCTTTGTTACCAGAAGGGGCATCTCAAAATGCAAAAAATTAGCAAATTTTACTATTTTTATAGAGTACAACAAAATATGACGTACACAATGGATTCACATGAAAGCATACTAAAAATATTGGAGATATTCTAAAATTTCTATGTTTTAAATTTCAAGGGCATATATGTTTATTACTTTTTCTTTAATAATATTCATATTTATCCTTTCTTTAAGAGGTACAGATTAACATAACGTCAAAAACACACTGCAACGACTTCAACCTACCTATCAATTGCAAACTCGGTTAAAAAATCAGCTACATCAGATTTTGTAACATTTTTATACCTATAATTTCTTAGTTTTGTTTAATTTTAATAATTAAGCGAAAAAAGTTTCATTAAAACAATAATACGCTTCATTTTACTAAGATGCGCGAAATATTGCGCAATGAAAACTATAGTCGGCCCCCTTTAATAGACTTTTGAATTCGACTTGCCCATACAGACTTTGTCCAGAACTGATTAACCTTAGCCTTCAGCCTCGGTTAATCAATACCTCAACGGCTTTACATTATCATATGTACAGGGGTAGTCCTCATCAAAATTTAATATTTTTTTAATAACCAGATTGCTGTATTTTTTTTTAAATTGTCAGAAATTATACTGTGCAGTTGTGTTGCAGATACTGGTCATGATACAAAATAATCAGGAATTTGCCAAAAAAAAAAAAAAAAGTGAAGACCCAAGAGCTTCAGTAGGTCACTAGCATAACAAGTAGGTAATTAATTAACCCTTTGAGAATGAAAAAATAAGTACTTCAGTCATGCATAAGTCAGGTAAATTTCATTTCCTTAAGTAAAGTAGAATGTTTTTGCCTAGAAGACACGGATTTTTATTGAGGAATTGCTACATACTGATTCTATTTAAAATGCATTTTTTTCTATGTGTACAATTTCTATTGCTATGGATATATTAACCAAAAAAATATTTTTGAAAACCTGGTTTGACAATGCTGATCCCAATAGCAATAGCAATAAAACTTCTAAAAATCAAATGATCTTTTTAAAAAAAACTTTGATAAATACCCCGTGCTAAAAATAACTTTCAATGATTCGTTGCAAAGAAAAATTTACTGTTGCCATGGAGTTTTTTTTGTAAAATAGTCATTGGTATGAAACGAAGAATATTTTATATTTAATCATTCAAAAATTTGTTTTTGGTACTTAATGATTAAAATTTCTATGATTTTTCTACCAAATGCTTTACATTTTCCCAATTATTAATTTATCAAACCATTCAATTTTGTTGCTTAGCCACAGATAATAATTTTCAAATTTGTAAAACTTGTTATTCTAAATTTAAGGAAACCATTTCTTGTAGCTTTTCAAGAAATAGATGAAACAACTGTATTAAGATGTTACAACGAATGATATCGACACTTATTTCTAAAATTAATAGTATCATGAGTATTGTCTGTTCTCCATAGTTTTCACCTTCTGCTTAATAAACTGTATTATACGTATAATATGTTTTATATATTACTGTACCTAATGTACCATTTACATGGTTTTGAGTGAATAAATTGAATTGAATTGGTAACTGACACGTTATTTAAGATCTACTAGTTTGATCATTACTGATGAGCAATTTAAAAGTGCTCAAAAATACCAAAAGTACTAATTCAATGTCCTCCAGGTACTGAGCTTATAGACAATTATAACAAAGACTTTCATACATACGATGTAATGTGTAAATTGTACAGATTAAAGAGTAAGTTTTACAGATTTCAGTGTAAGTTTTACAAATTTAAGTGTAAAATGTACAGATTAATGTGTATAATTTACAGATTAATGAGTAAATTTTACAGATGAAAGGCTAAAATTTACAGATTAAATTATAAAATTTACAGATTAAATAGAAATTGGACAAGTGGCACTTACGTAATTTATAAATTTTATCAAGGTAAAGTTGTTGAAAAGATCATTAACATGTAATGTATTAAATAAAATGTAAATTGTGTATGAAACTCGTTTGTCCTAATATTTTATCTATTCAGCAATAAATTTATTTGAAAAAGAGAATTCTGATGATCAAACATGTATTGAGAAAAAGCAGTGTTTCTTTTCATTTTACATAAAATAAAACAGGAAAGCTGTGTTAATTAGCACATAAGCATATATACAATGCATGTTTTCAATTTTCAGGATAATATTTTTATGACTGCTCTCGTTACCAGTTTCATTAAATTAATATATGTATACCTCTGAATTCACAAAAATTTAGTTTCTGCTAAAGATATAAGACTATTTTTGATTTGACGCAAAACCAGTTAGTTATTATAACCTAGTTCAAAATTTGCACAGCTTTCTGAATAGGCATCAATGCTGTCGAGTAACCGTCATTTCCGTCTCCCCTCTATGAAGAACTTTGTACTAATTTTCTGGAGTGCGCTTTCTTTCTTCTGGTAACGTCTCATAGGTATTAGTTGTCGACGATTGGTTTTGGCTTGTGTCACTAGATATCGGAATATCTCTCTCTTCTCCACGAAGTCCCTGATACTGGTTTTCTGGAATACGATTTCCTTCTTCTGGTAACGTCTCGTAGGAAAAAGTAGTCGACGATTGGGTTTGGCTTGCGTCACTAGATATCGGAATGTCTGTCTCCTCTTTAAGAAGTCCCTGATACTGGTTTTCTGGAATGCGATTTCTTCCTTCTGATATTGTCTCGTAGGAAAAAGTAGTCGACGATTGGGTTTGGTTATCTTTACTAGATATTGGAATTTCTGTTTCCTCTTCTAGAAGTTCCAGATACTGGTTTTCTGGAATGTGATTTCTTTCTTCTGGTAACGTCTCGTAGGAAAAAGTAGTCGACGATTGGGTTTGGTTTTCTTTACTAGATTTTGGAATTTCTGTTTCCTCTTTAAGAAGTCCCTGATACTGGTTTTCTGGAATGTGATTTCTTCCTTCTGGTATTGTCTCGTAGGAAAAAGTAGTCGACGATTGGGTTTCATTTGCGTTACTAGATTTTGGAACTTCTGTTTCCTCTTTAAGAAGTACCTGATACTGGTTTTCTGGAATGTGATTTCTTCCTTCTGGTATTGTCTCGTAGGAAAAACTAGTCGACGACTGGGTTTCATTTGCGTTACTAGATTTTGGAATTTCTGTTTCCTCTTCAAGAGGTTCCAGATACTGGTTTTCTTGAGTGTGATTCCCAAGTACTCCTGTCTTGTAGGAAGAAGCCATACTGCGTAACCAGATGTCGACATTTTTGTCTCCCCTCCACGAAGTCCCTGGTTTTGGTTTGCTTTCCTCTGGTATTGTCTCGTAGATATTTGCAGTCGACGATTGGTTTTGGCTTGCGACACCAGTTATCTGTGGTTTGGCCTCCCACTTGTGAAGGCAATTGGACCTGTTTTCTGGAGTGCGATTTCTTTCTTCCGGTATGGTCTCGTAGATAGTAGCAGTTGATGACTGGTTTTGGCTTACTCCATTAGTGATTGGTGTTTTTGTCTCCCCATTATTAAGACATTGGTTCTGGGTTTGTGTAATGCAATTTCTTTCTTCAGGTATTGTTTCATAGGTACACTCTTTTTGACATGTATCACTTTTAATAGACCTTCCCGTCTCTAGTCTTTGATGTCCTTGGTTTTGGTTTTCTTCAGACCCATTTCTCTCTTCTGGTATTGTTTCGTAGGTAGCAGTCGCTGGAGGTTGCTTCTGGTTTTCGTTTGTAACTGATCTTTCTCTTCTCCTTTTTTCTTCCAGCATCTTCTTGTATGAAATGCCCAACATGGTGTCATTTTGGCTAGATGTAACATATACATTACGTATGTTGAAATTTGGTATCAATTACATTTAATAAACATGCATTAATCAAGTTTTTAAAATGAGAAACATTTATTAAACATAATGAATATAACTGAGATAAGCCAGTCAGTTTTTACATACGCTTTAAAAGTAACTTTAAGGTTACCGACCTAGCCGTGTAATGTATGTTTCAATCGCTGTTATCATCATATATAGGAAGCTGACAGTGTGTACATTTTTTCTGTTTGTACATTTATCAAATATTGAACAGTTCTTTAAGTTTTTCAGATAATTTTACTTGTTAACCTGAGTTTAAATAGACAGGAATAAATTTCACAATCTGTCTAAATAATCCTACTTTTGTGTGATACTTACGACCTTCTTCTTTTAATTAGGATAATTATAATGGATGCAGGTCCAATAGCTGTTATCGTGTAAAGGTAATAGTATTTTTTCTTAGAGTTAAATTCGTGTGGATAAATATCATCTGTAGTGTTACGACATGCTAAAACAAATTAAAATTTAAATATAATTAATGCAGTGGACATAAAAAAAACCTACAAGAGTGTACCAATTAAAATTACGCACACTTTCTTTGGCTCCATTGGTATTGATGAATTTTTGGACTGCATATCCGACAAGTATCATTTTGAGCAGTCTCTCCTTCATCAATGCATTTTCGGTCAATAAAACAATAATCATTCTAAAATAAAAATTGGAGTCTTTATAATATGAAAAACATAACCAAAAAATTGTATGGATTGTAATTTATTCTTGCGTAAAACTTTTTTTACCTTCAATTTAAACACCATTTCTCCATCTTGTTCTTGGAATGTCTGACACCGTGATTGGTATGTGTACTTTGTCCTTATTTCTGTAAAACGGATTTCGTCGTTTGTGACCATAAACGTAAAGCCAGAAGCTAATATATTTAGAGAACTGCTTTGATGAAGTGGACAGTCCCCACTAAACAGTCTGAACTACCAAATTAATTTTAAGAAAGTCCATAATTTTCGTGTAATTTGGTAATATCTGTAAAAGATGAATAAAATGCTGTTTATATTAAAATAGAGAAATACATCGTATTTTATGTCATCAAGGCTTCAAACATTTAAAAGGTGATCTCTCTGTGTTATTAAACAATCAATAGATTTTTTTCTATTTTGTGAGTTCTATGGTCGATACAATGACCTTGTCAGCTATCCCTGCTGACTGACATTTCTCGAACTAATAGTAAGGCCATTTTAACAATTGAATTGTCGACGGAATTTAGCCGGGCTTTGCTGATAACAAAGTCCGGGCTCTAGGCATCATGATCGACTGTCTTTCTATAAATAGCACAGTAACCCCCCTCCCCCCCCCAAAAAAAAACAAAACAAAAAAACAAACAAACAAACAAACAGTGTCAAAGCAGACACTTCAAATTCCGATAAACAAAATAGTCCCATTGCGAGACGATATTCATACAAATATCATTAACATCCTAATCGTTAGAAAAGTTAATGATAAATATTTTTGCTGAAGAATTAAACTGGAGGAGAAAATAGATATTTTGCTTCATTGAAATAATCTTGATATAAGAATTTGTGCACATATGCTGCTGAGTGCATATTGTAAGCAAACTATTTTCAATAGCGCGGGCTTTTTGAAATGTTGAAATTGTTGAAAAGTTTCATGTTTCATATCGTTTTCGTCGATGTTATGATAATTACTGGTTATATTATGTTTTGATTTTTAGCAAATTAATAGTATAGTGAATTTGAATTTTTAGAATTAACATGCGTGAAATCGCTTGACAATTTACATGTACATGTATCAGTGTTTCCAAATGTAGTTGGCGATAAAAGTACTGTTTGTTTGAAACTAAAAGAATGTCTATAAAATAAACATGTGCATTATTTTAACTATGCCAAGACTGAATTTTTAAGTTATAAAAAAAAATGCTTATTGAATAGAAAATATTCGAGAATTTCATAGAAATAATATTTATTAAATTTTAAAATCATAACATATCTTTGGGTCTGTACTGTTAATTTTAATTACTGATATATGGGATATTGGTTTAAATCATAATCATACAGTGTACATGTACAAACTCTACCTGTTAAAAATCAATGACCAAAGGGAAAAAATAAATATGTACTAATTTTGGATCAGACAATATACTCGAGCAATTAAATCCCGGCTTTCAGTTCTTTCAATACTTTGATTCCTTTATTTCCCGATCATGACAAGGTGCACACGAGGGATGCTCACTCCTCCACACGTGATCCCTCCTCTGATGTTTTGAATGTCAGTGTTTGTTGTGCTCCTGATTTGCATTGTTTGAATGAAATTTCAGTTGAAAAACTTTTAGTCATCTCGATATATTTCATTCATTATCTATTCAATATTTTGGACAAAACATCTTTGTATGTTTTCGTATAATTTGAAATTTAAAAAAAAATCGACATTATAAAAACCGAAGTGTTAAACGCTTTGCAAATTAATAAATTTTGTTTAATTTCTTTATAAGAAATGTCAAAATGTTATATGCTCTGTGACTATGAAAATCCTGTTATTGATATTTATTGATTGTATGTTATAAAATGTCCCCTCGAGAATTTTTCGTTCATATAGAGACGTCACCATATACCGGTGAAGGGCTTTAAATTGACCATTACTCTGCATATACGGCCATTGAGCAGCGAGGGTTCTTTATCGTGCCAACGCCTGCCCTGACAAGGGACCTCGTATTTTAAGGTTTCATCCAAAGTACCCCCAAATTTCACTTCAAAGTGCGAAGGAACAGTTGCTTCCCATTTTTTATCGACTTAGGTCAGTCGCGGCCGAGACTTGAACTCACAACCTCCCGATTAGTTTCAAAGAAAGTAACTACCATCAGTCACATACCTCAAATCACCTGATTCGACACTAATCTAGTGTTGCGGCGATGTGATATATACAAGGTTTATGATTTTGAAAGTTTATTAATTAATTGCAAATCCGCCATCCTCAGGAGTCTATTTGCACATCTGTTTTTACAAATTATCAAATTAGTTAGAAGAGCATATCTATCATCGGATGTAACAAAAGCTTGTGAGTTATTTTTCTGTTCAAATTTAAATCTGCGTACCTGTTTTCCTAAAATTTGGTATGCATACTCAGAAATCTCAGACTTAACATTACAAAAAAAAATATTAAAATCCGAAAAACATCTCCCATTTTGGATTCTAAAACTTCCAAATGTTTGTGCAGTTTGCCATAACAAAGTAATTGCTAGACAACAACTTCCCTAAACAATTTATTTCAGAAACACGTGAAAAGAACTAATGACTGTTTTTTTTTTTACTTTTTCATATTTTGAAAGGGCCGGTGTTTTATATGTTCTATACCAAGTTCTTGAAGCCCGTGAACCATGTCTGCCAAGTAAGTACGGCTCCGTGTAAAAATCATGCAGACAGTACAGAAAAGGTGATTCATCGAACATCTTCAAATTCAATAAAATTGGGTTTAATATATTCATTTGGGTCTAAATTGAATATAAACAGTTGATTTTGTTATAATTCTTCTTTTTTCATATAGCCAGGGATAATGTACTTGAGGTGTAATTTTGTATAGATAGTGTGCAAATAATGCCTATTTCAGAAAAGAATATCTTTAAAACCCTAGAAGAAGTACAAAAACTTAATACATAATTCAAATAATGGAAGGCTTAATAAAAATTTACTTTAATATTTTTGTGCAAACGAAGTATTGAAAAGATACAAGGTGTTTAAAATCGAGAATTTGTCAAGATTCTTCAAATGAGTTATCTCCCTTTGCAATTTTACATAGGTGGCGCTAGTAAAAATAAATGGATCCGGGCCACAATTAAAGGGTGAAGGTCAAATGGCTAAAACGTAGCACATGTAGGAAATTCATATGCCTCCCTTTCAATGCTAAAAATAAATATAGATCACATGTTTTAGATACTTTTGGGGTATAGAATAAAAGTAGAGTGTCTAAAGTTTACAATGATATGCAGCAAGGTGCATTTCAAGCAAAAATTATGCCTAGAAATATGAATTGAAAAGAGCATTCATTTGGTTTGTTTACACTTTTTTTGCCAAGCGAGAGCTATCCTGAGGTCACGACGTCAGAAGTTTATTAATAACCAGGGAATTCCACATTCAACACCCCTATTTCTGGATGTGAATATTTATCTGACACATTGCTCTATCATGTGGTCAAAGATATTTTGGAAATGAAGATTTTTTAAAAAGTTACAAAGAAAATAAAACACATGTTTTTACTATATAAGTCTATATGTAAGCTATTGTGGTCCGGGTCCTTATGATGGCAGCCTCCATGGTTAGCTGCACGCTGCAAAGTTATTTTGATGCATCCTGTGATGTTTATTGCAAAAATATGTGTGAAGTGACATAAATTGGTTGAAAGGATTCTACAAGAACAGATTAGGCATAGTTTTCGGGCAAAAGTATAGCCATGACGTGTCGTGTTGATTAGTATATTGACCTTGTTGACGTTCTCTCGAAATGGTACTCGCCTACTGACACCGTTGTGATCTATCTCAGAAGTTTAAATTCTACAGTAATCCACCAGAGTCCAAGAGTAAACTCCCAGAGAGGGGTGGCAGTCCGATTTTGTCAGCTTACTCGACTTGGAGAGGAAGGATAATGCACATTTGAACAGTTACCAGGTCCAGCACAATACCCCGATAAAGGTATATAGCTTGATAAAGCTATATAGCTTTATCAAGGTATTTAAAATACCTTGATCAAGGTATTTTATGTAATGAAAATTCAAAAAAAATTCTTAAAAAATTAATTACTGAAAGTCGAGTTCTGAGTTGTCAGTAAATTCACCCATGCATGTAAAGTGCTCAAACATAAACAAATCAGTATAAAAACATGTCATGTGAGGAGACGTTATTTTATGCTTACTTTTTGATACCAGAGTGTTTTTCATGCACGAGTGGACACACTGACAAAAACTCAGAACTCGACTTTCAGTATTTAATTTTCAAAGAATTTTTTAGAATTTTCATTCCATAAAATACCTTGATCAAGGTATTTTAAATACCTTCATAAAGCTATGTAGCTTTATCAAGCTATATACCTTTATCGGGGTATTGTGCTGGACTTGGTTACATTTGACCAGGTAAGATCAGGTCCAGAACACTGCAGAACAATTTCTTGATTAAGATAATTAATTTTGTAGCTTGAAATAGCTATGTAGCTTTAATATGTTGACGGTGCGACCGTTAAGGCGAGCGCATATACTTATCCATTTTCATTTAGATTGGACATGTAATCCGCACGTGACATTCGGTGCGTATTAGATTCTGACTTCATATGACGTCGTTTATATGTTGCTTTACCAAACAGAAGCCTGAACAAGGCTGATTTCAATCAGTTTATGAATATCTTTCTGTAATAAACAGATAAAATCATTAAATCAAGACAAGTTTATTATTCGTTTAACTTTTGTTGTTATTCTCACGAGAATGTTGCTTTAGAGTTTGTGTATGAAGTGATGCATTGTGGGTCTAAGTTACTGCGGTAAAAAATTCTTAGGAATGAATGTGCAGTAGTGTGAATTTTCTCTTTGCCCAGGTGTTTTCATCAGAGCTCGCAGTTACGTGCATCGCTTTGCGACCCTTGCTGTACTCGCTATTAATCTATTCAAAATAGCTTGGTAAAGCTTTTTATATGCAGTCAAAAGTATTTTACAAGTCCTATATGACAATGTATTATGAGTCTTTAATAAAAAGGAAAAATCAAAGATACTTGTAGTATTGCAGCTGTTGAATACTTTAAAGCAAAAGACGAATTTCCATTTTCTTAAGAGCTCGGGAACACTACCGTTAATAGAAGGTAATTTTCAGCATAATGTTTTTGTCTCTACTCTAGCTAGCATTCTACAATTAATTGAATGAGTCCCAAGCATGACAGTCTACTATTTGTTGATACAAATCAGAAGCGACACATGGTTTTCGTCGATTTACTGCATACTTTATTTACTTCATCACCAAAAACAATAGAGTTTCTTTTTTACTTTATACAGCCAAAATTGAAAGATTAGTTTCCAAAGACACTGCTCGATGCTCACATTTAAAATTGTAGTTTTAGATGATAAATACAGTGAACCTTCAGATATCTGGATGCATTATATCCGAATGCTTCAGTATTCGGACGATTTTTCATCGGAACGAAAATTTTTAACATTATTTTGTCTTATTTAACTGATAATTCAGGTTTCCGGACACTTCACATGTTTGGAAATTTGACTAGGAACCAAAGCGTCCGGATAAATGAGGTACCACTGTAGTTGCTTCCAATACGTACTGTACAAACCTTGTGAAGTTTTTATGTCTTACTTTTGATATTTGATTGAAGGGTTAAATGATAATTGTGCACCTTGTGCTGCTGTCTAAAACTTTGTAAAGAAAACTGATAGCCAATTTACATGCTTTAAGCTTATGTGTCAACAGATAATCTTTAATTTCGTCTAGACCTGTTTAAGTTACTGTGCACTCCCCTATGTGCGATGAGGCATGAATAAGTATGATGGTATGGTTAAGGCAATGTTTGAAAAAACTGTTGCTCAACCGCCAGAGATGCACAAATTTTGTCACAGGCAAACAGATTTGTAACAGATTACAGATTTGACACCCAACTGAAAATGAAAAACTTTTCAAAAACTTGACCTTGGTCATGACTTTTGAATGAAAAATAAAGGGCTTTTCTCATTGGGATTCGAAACCAAGGTGCACATGGATCTTAAAAAATAGATAGAAAACTTGGAATGGTTTAAGTAACAATCTTTTAAAATCTTCTCAAGAACATGAAGATGATGATAGGGAAGCATTCTCTGGTGATGTAGTGTAAAGTTAAACCCCTTTTGGGTAGGATGGGGCCACAATGGGGATCAAAATTTCACATTGCAATATATAGGGGAGAATCTTCCCTAGAAAAGCCATGATTAATATTGTACTGATATGGAAGTTATTGGAAGAAGTCTCAAGTAATGTAGATTCTGTTTAAATTCAATAAATTGTACTAAAGTTATGACTGGAGACATATTGCAAATGATGAAAAATACACTAGTAGAAAATATATTTCACATACAGCAAAACTCATTTACTACGAACAAAGATATAGCAAATTCATCATGGATATAGCGAAGTTATTTTAGATCCCCAGCTATATAAATTTAACAAATTCCTTATATAGATACCGGTATAACGAGTAATTGATATAGCAAAGTAATTTCATAGGTCCCGGTGACTTTGTTATAACTTTGTTTTACTGTATTTCATAAATTAGTATTATTGTTTTTTAGATGAATTAAACTCCATTTTATTTTCACAGAATGTATGCGATGTGCTGCATAATTGATTTGAAGGAAAAGGTTACACTATTTATTACAGACAGCAAGGAAACATCATTGAACACCACCAACTAATAAGACTCCAAAGGTGGGAGAATATGTCATGCAACTATTTTAGATTTTTAATGAAATTACTGCATTATATAAACTTGATATTCCATGTAAAGTAATTTATAAAATCAAAATAACCATTTAGTACCTAAATAATAATGTAGCATAAACTAAAGAATTCTAAATTGATGAATGATAAGTTCATATACATGTATATTGTAATTATTATTTTAGGAATAATGGAAAATAAGATATTTAAAGCTGTCAAAAAGCAGAGATTAGAGTTCAGTGGATTCCATGACGATAATGTTAATTAGGCAGCAATTCTTTTCCAAAGGATCTTAAGTGCTTTTAGAAGAGACTAATAAAAAAGGACGGTCACTTACTACAGAAGAGAAGCAGGGGAGATTAGTGATATTCTGAGTGGCATGACTGTACCTTACAAAGATGTAAAACTTTAAAAATTGTGTTTACATATACAATGATTCTATGATAAATGTATCTAATAATCAATATTAATATGATTAATATTTTCAAGTGTTTTTACATTTTACTGTTCATTAAAGAAAAAAATAATTTGTGTTGTATTTGAATTTGGAAATGTAAAGGAATTTATTTTAAAATGTACCGTATATACTCGTCTATAAGTCGGTCCGCCTATAAGTCGGTTGTATTCTTTTAGGTTAATTTGGAGAGATTTGTCATTGACCCGGTTATAAGTCGGTAAAACTTTTTGCTAAAACCTTTTAACATTTCAAAGCAATGCTTTGATGGTTTTACTTGGTTTCCATTAATTTTTTTTTTAAAACGCCAATATTTAATTTTGATTCATTAAACAAATAAGCTCTTAATGCAGAGTTAAGATAAAAATAGCACTATTTAATTAAGTTAATACTTGTACTTTATGTATAATCTTTGAATGCATAAATGGTTATACATATGTATAGACATTGTTCTTCGATAATCGTCGGACATACATGTATATATAAAATGCTACATTTCACTGTCCAGAAAAACTTGTATTTTTATGACTCGCCTATAAGTCGGACATAGAGTTTTGGACCAAAATTTAACTCCCAAAATACCGACTTATAGGCGAGTATATACGGTAAGCTGATATTCTTTCATGTAAACATGTACTGGCATATGTACATGGTATATTTATTGGACTCTGACAAAAGATGATGCTTCTTCTTTTTTGGTGAAATTATTAATCGCAATGATATTTGTGCACATGATATTTTTTAATTTTCCATAGGGTATGGTATCTATGAAAACTACTCAGCCTTTTTGTTTTGCTATTTTTTAAATCATAGATATAATTTATTTCTTATAATAACTGAAATCCTCAAAAAATGATATTTTGTTGTTTTTTGTCAACATCAATTATCTCCCGCTTTCAGCTTGAAATTAGAAATAATACTGTAGATATAGATATAATTTGATTATTGAAAATAAATAATTATGTTGTATTTGGATTTGGAACTATAAAGAAATTGTTTTGAAATGCTATTTATAATTTAACATGCATATTAGATATATACTTTACATTTATTTGACCGTGATGAAAAAGTGAATTTTCCATTTTTTGTATAAAACTCTTCAATGGCTTTTGGAAATTAATAATCAATTGCACAAAAATATTTCTAATATTTTATTTGCCATAAGGTATGATGTCTAGGAAATAAACACTGCCTTTCTGTTTGGCTGTAGTGTATTTTTTCTTTAATTTTTTTATCATATAGCTGAATTTAGCTGTAAATCCTTTTAAAATTGAAAATTTCAGTTTTTCTCGACATGGATTATCTCCCCTTTTCAACTTTAAATTAAAGACTATTACTGGACGTGGTAATATTTGGATTAATTATGAAAAGTAAATAATTTAATTGTATTTGAAAATGGAAATATAAAAAAAGTGGGTTTGAAATGCTATTCATTTTTTACATGCAAACATATATGGCATATATTGGACTGTGACAAAAAAAGTGAAATTACCATTTTTGTACAAAATTCATCAGTTGTTTTGGGAAATTAATAATCATTTGCACAAAAATGTTTTTATAATTTTATTGACTTTAGACTATAGTCTCTATGAAACTAGCATGGCTTTTTAGTTTGGCTGTGAGGTTTTTAGAAATTTTTGATAGATAAAAATCCTAAAAAATGGATATTTACATTTTTGCCAATATGGATTATCTCCCCTTTTTAGCTTAGAATTAGAACACATTACTGGTCATAAAAATATTTTGACTAGATATGGATAATAACTACTTATGCTGTATTTTAATAAGAAATAAACATATATGTGTTTTATTGTTTAGTTTTCTTTTCATTTAATCTTCATTATTGGTATTTTTGCCTGTTTTTAGAGGAAATTTCAGCCATTTTTTGCGCAAAACAGTTTATCGGTTGCCATGGATACCAATGGCAGAATAAAAAAAAAATTATAATTTTTTTTGGAGTATCTTAGCATACTCTACCAACATGCAAAGTTTGAGGAAATTCTGAAACCCCCCATGAATCACCCTCTGCATGATTTTTACTCGGAGCCGTACTTAAAACTTAGAAATAATTTCCATGTACCCTTTTCCCTGTAAAAACCAATACAAATAAAGAATCACTGTCTAGCTTATTGGATATGCCAGGGCATAGACGTTAGTTGGAAACGTGAGATAATTTGCATAACGGCGACACCCTTTATAAGTAAATTATCCCAAATTCCCAACTGTTGTTGATGGCCCTGCCATAACCAACAAACTATAGACAGAGATTCCTCATATTTACATTTATAAGTGAAAAAAAATGTAAATATAAAAAGTGACTAGATCTACTAACAGATTCAAAATATTCGAGACCCCTCATAGTTTCATTTATTTACGATAAAAAAAAATAATAAAGTATTGATAATTTATGAATAATTTGATTAAAAAGGATATCTTTGTGTGTCAAGCAGGAAAAGTAAGATAAAAATGTGAATTATTTATTCCATTAAATGTTTAAGAAGAATACTAGTATTATAACAAAATAGATAATTCTAGAGTTAAAAAAAAATAAATATATTTGTAAATATTCTAGCTATGGATCATGCCGGACTAGGACCTAATAGCAATTTTCAAATTTCCTAACCGCTTTAATTTACCTTCAATTCACCCAAACACGTTTTGGGCTAGAGAAAATGAAATTGGCGCAACACTGAGAAATTTTACACAGGTGTAATGAGTCAGGGTTATTTCAATCAAGTTGTTACAAGGGATGTTAGGGTTTTGACATGGAATAACATGTCTCCCCTATCATGAAATAGACCAGTCTTATGCTATATATATATAGCGGGTGTTGTCAGAGAATCCGATCAGTGTTCGCTGCTGCAGATCTATAATTATCCAAGAAGTGGCCAGGTAAAGGTGATAGGATAAGCCGAATCACAATAAGCTTATTATAGGGCTGAATAAGCCTTATTGCGTCAACTGGTCGACCACTGTAGCTTTGGCATTAGAAACATTAGGACAGAAAGACGGACAGACAGACAGACAGACAGACGGACGGACGGACGGACGCAGGGGAAACCTATAGTCCCCCCCCGGTTTCACCGGTAGGGGACTAATAAAGACTGAATAAGTCTTTTCTAGAGGGCCAAAGTGAACTGGAGACGCCAGTTGTATAGAGAGCTTTTGTTTATTAGTCCCCTACCGGTGAAACCGGAGGGGACTATAGGTTTCCTCTGCGTCCGTCCGTCCGTCCGTCAGTCCGTCCGTCCGTCTGTCTGTCTGTCTGTCTGTCCGTCTGTCTGTCCCCGTCAGTCTGTCCCACTTGATTTTCCACACTTTTTTTCTAAACGCTTGCAGATATTGAGCTAACTGTTGGTATGTGAGTGTATCTTAATGAGTTACAGGTCAAGTTCAAATTTCGCTTTGCTTCATTGATTTTTGACAGAATTATGGCATTTTGAATATTTTTCATAATCGCTTAATTGAGATGGAGTTCGAACTGCGCTAACTTCCGATTGTCGACAAAAATATGAAGCGAGGAAAAGACGGTGGAGAAATGAGTTGAATTTTCGTCTTAATGTGGATTATTTTATTAGTTTTAAGGCATTTACAACTTGAAAATCTTTCAGGTTTACCTTGGACATGACTTTTGCATATTATAAAATGACATCCTGAAGAAAAAGGGGAACCCGGTAGGGGACATGTATTGCTTATGCAATACTCTCAGAATGCTTGTTAACCAGGACTCTTGGTTGGGGCAGTTGTCCGGGGACATTGGTGTAGGGTGGGACAGGTGGTCCATAGTCAAATTTTCTTTTGATTTTGTTATGATTAATAATGAGAATCAACCTGAATATATTGATCAAGTAAATTGTTTAAATAATCATCGTAAATATATTAAGGTTGTGTCCTAGTGGACAGGAAACAAATCATTGGTTTAAATTATTACACTGCAGAAATCCCGGGTGTCCACCTGATAACATAGACCGCTCTGTTGGGCACACGCGTTACATAGGAATCGTGCAATGAAGCTTTATTGAAAGAGGCAAACTTGACATAGTATATATTATTAGAATAATGATTAATTTGGAGTTCTAGTTTTTATTTAAAAGATACAATAATGATTTAGTTGTCTCGTTTATTATAAAATATAAATTAAAAAAGAGAAAAAAAAATAATGTTTAGCCAACTGAATACCCCCCCCCCCTTTAGAAGAAATTGATTTAAAAATTGGATGATATAAAAATCATTTACAGTGGACCTTCAGATATCCGGAAGCCAGATATCCGGATGCTTCAGTATCCGGACGATTTTTCATCGGAACGGAATTTTTGTAACGCACTTTGTCTTGTTAAACTGGTGACTCAGGTATCCGGACACTTCACATATCCGGACAACTTGACTGAAAACCAAAGCGTCCGGATAAATGAGGCTCCACTGTATACAGAAACTAACAATTTAAATCTTAGTAAGTCCAGAGAAGATCATGATAATGAGGATGATACAAGTCCGATTAATATTTCTTTCCATGCTGCGTGGCAGAAACCTGGAATCGGACATTGGTTCAATAGTCATTCATAGTGATTTTCTTGAAAAGGATCCCCGATTGACCCCTTTTTGATTTTTTTCAGCCTATAAAGGGAACAATGATGTAGTTATACACAAAGTTTAAAAAATATATAGGCATCTATCATTTACTAGACCTTGACCTTAAGAATATAGTTACTTTAATTTTAAGAAGATCTGAATAAGGATGATTTTCCGCAGAAGTAGATAGAAAAATAGTGATTTAAAGCCTAAAGGCTTCAAATTTTGTTCGTGCATAGTGTAAGCCAATGACGAAAACTTGTCTTCGTTTTCAAAAGTTTATTAAATAATTTCAATTTACAATTTCCCGTGATCGTATAGTCTTCGAATTTGAAAAGTGACCAATGCACAATAATGTTCACTAGATCCGTCCCAGAATGTAAAGAGTTTTAAGACTGAACTCCAAATAGCAAAATTTATCAAAAGTCCGAAATAATGATTCCCAGAATAATAAAATGCCAAAGAGGCGTAATAATTTGAGAATAAAACCGGGAATACTCTTTTCTGACTAAAACAGGGGATTTTGTGCTCAGTGGGTATCCATTGTCACATATATAAAAATGTATTTCATTGGCTAATTCACCATCACTAACCACCTACGCTTTGTCCGTAGGTCTGTCCGTTGACCTATGAACCCCAACATGGCACCACCCTCGAATACAGGTAAACACTCATTACTAATATTTATGGGCTCAATCCCCATCTCTGCAACACAGGAGTTCTAGCCTTAAGCATGTTAAGCTCTTTTACTTATTTACTTCAAAGTTCCCAATTTTATTGCTCTTAGTCAAAACTCTTAATAATACCATTGTATTTCCGCTCAAATTTTATTACTTACTATCGATGGGCTTGATTGGTCTATTCGGATCAAAATAAAGTCCTCTTTCCAATTATAAAGTCACCGAATTTGCGTCACTAATAATATACATTCTGATTTAATAAACTTTTATATCATTTTACTTTCACTGCTAATAACTAAAAATGATTATGATATTGATATTGTCTAAGTATAAAATGTTCAAACAATATGTCTGTGCTAAACCCTATAGGTTTACAATATATAGCTCAATCATGATTTGTATGAAACCGTTGCAACCATAGGGTGGTTATAAAAGAAACTGTACAAGAGGAAGAAAAGAGAGATCGGATACATGTCCCCCACTCTTTCTCAGACTAAATTGTTTTACAACTATTAATAATTCTGAATAAATTTTTGTTTCGTGTAGTTAAAGGGACCTAGAAACAGTTGCATTGCTGTTTTGTTTACAATTTTTAACATATATTTTCATTATAAATGGCAGGTAAGTATGTATGAAACTGGCAAAATAGTTCTGAAAAAGGTGTAAAATATGGAAATTTTACAGAGAGCAAAAGGTACACGACAGACAGACGGACAGACATAGCTGGACATGCTTCAATCCGAAAAAATCTGAGTCTTTAGCTCAGGTAAGCTTATAATGATATTAACATTTCAAATGATTTTGATCTTGATAAAGATAAACAAGGCCCAAACTCCTGTTATATCTTTAGACTTTTAGGTGAATAATTTATAAAATATTTTTTTTATCGTGAATTAAAAGTAAACAACGATTTCAACATGCATGGTCAGTGACCAAGACTTTGAAACCTAACCAATAGACATGATCTTAACAAATCAAGTTTAGCCTTCCCAATTGAATTTTCCAAAATTGCATTGCCATTTTAATAACTGTCGTTAAGACAGATAGCAGTGATTGAATTTTATGATATCTCGTAGGATAATGCAGCATCCAACGTTAATGAATTCACTTACTGTTGTTCTGTTAATATAACAAAGCGTCTCAGAATTTTGAAAGAAGTATTCTCCATGAACACTCCCGTACGAGCAGTCTTCTCTAGAGAGGTCACATACTTGTTCATCAAGACTTGAAAATAGATCCGGAGGAGCGTATCTGTCAAAGGAACAATCAGTTCCGGCAAATCCCTCATCACATGTGCAGTTTCCTGTTAAAGATGAAGGACAGATGATACAAACAAAAAATGTATGCCTGGATTTGTATTTATTTTTTGGCCTAATTTCGTTGCAAATGATGCAAAAAATAAATTTCTAGAATATAAAGAAATTGTAAACCCTCTGAGATTTTCAAAAGTCTGCTCTTCTGAAACCATCCTTATTAATCTATACAAATATTTTTAATTTAAGATTCCATTTTTATGCAAATTTGAATAAAAAATGAAAAACTACGCAGTGAAAGTTATTCATATTATTCATTTAAACATGGCCCAGGTAGTTATTTTCAAATACTTTGACAAAAGTCTGTTTGTATCATCTGTCCTTAAGATGAATAAATAATTAATTAAAAAAAGTAATGAAGAATGAATATTGAAACGAGCTTCAGAGTTAAAAATACTTTTATTTTAAAATTCAAGTATACATGTATTTCTAAAACTAATGAACATTTTAAATGATAAAATGAAGAATTTTCCATTATTAATAACTAATTGTTTGAAAATTTACAGATTTAAGAGATCGGGAATTCTAATGCTTTCTCTTCACGTTTCAGGCAAGATAAAATGATGCGTATCTGGAAATTTTACAGAGAGCAAAAGGTAGACGACAGATAGACGGACACATAGCCGGAAACGATTTATGAATAAGAGGTATTTCTCTGAGTGTGTTCACTTTTTCTTCACGTTTCAGACATTTTTTCAAGAGGCAATAATAATACCTCTTTTGATGTATATTCAAAACTTGTGATGTATATTCTATGATATGTGATGTAATGTTCAATATCTTGTGATCTATATTCGAAATATTGTGATGTATATTCTACATCTTGTGATGTATGTGCAATATCTTGTTATATATATTCCAAATCTTGTGATGTATATTCAATAGTCTTGTGATGTATATTCTATAATCTTGTGATGTATATTCTATAATCTTGTGATGTATGTTCGAAATTTTGTGATGTATATTCAAAGTTTTTATGTTTATGTTCTAATCTTGTGATGTATGTGCAATATCTTGTAATGTACATGCATATTCAAAATCTTGTGATGTATTTTCTATAATCTTTTGATTGTGGTCAGTGTCAAATACATACAAAATCATCTAATACAACTGACTCAAAAGCATCCTAATTTATATGCGTAAATATACTGTAAATCATTTTTACCCCCATTGCAAATTCCTTTTTCGCTACAGTTATTCAGACATTGCATTTCGAGCTCAGTTACCAGCTCCGGCTCACTAGATTGGAGAGTCACATTCTGGGAAGCAATGATAGTACATTCCTGATTGGCTGCATCTAAATGAAGCTGTGTTATATTTTCATCTCCAGTCCACTAAATCAAAGTCAATGATAAATATAACTATAAAGTCTTTAAGAATAATAACTCTTCAATATATCATTTATGTTTTGTTTATGAAAGTAAGGTCATATATGGGTGAATTAAAAAAAAAATACCAACCACATAGTTTTCAAAATGCACCAAAATACAGGTGATGGGAATAAATTTCTATGTCTCAGCATATGTCTTAAGATGAAATACATGTCAAATATTTCGTTGACATCTCAATTCACATTCATTTTTTATTCAAGTTATGACCTTAATCTCTTCATTCGTCGCATTGTGTTAGGGGGGTCGGGTCTGGGGGAATATAAGTCGGAAGTTTTCAAATTATCTGGTTTCTCCCCATCTGTCATCTAAGACAGAGGGCGGTTTGTAAAAAGCAAATTTTTACACATGTACGTATGTGTTTTGGAAAAGTGTGTCAAAGATTGGGGTCACTCAAGTTAGACAGTCTTGGTGCCCACTCCACCTCTTCACACAGGAGGGGAGGCTTAGTCCTGGAATACATGGTAAAGTACTTACAATCAGGTGCAATCACTGGGAAACGGGGTAAACGGATATTTTGAAAACTCTTCCAATCCCAAATGGGTGGTATTTTCATTGTTTGGGATTTTTTGTACTGGCGCTCAACGCCAGGCCACCGGTATGCCCGTAATACCTGCTAGGTTGGTATACTCGATATCCCCTCGGACCCTGGGTTAACACAATGTGGCCATTTACTTCCATTGTCCCCCTTTTTCTTGTCAAATTGTAAATTGATATAGTATGATATTTTGTCTAATTGTTTCAATAAATTTGGAAAAAAGAAACGTGTTTGTGACTGTCTCATCAGAACAGTTAAGAGAGTATAGGAAGTACAAACTTGTATGAAATACAAGAGTCTGAGGTTTCAAATGCGTTTATTTTGAATGTTCAATTAATTGTCTACTATGTTGAAAAGAAAGACTTTCCTGATACATGTAAAAATATTCAAAATATTGGGCTTAAAATATAGGCGTAGCAATTTTTGTTTGACCAATTTGTTTTCATGGATGATGTTAAAAAATGCTATACATTGTCAGGAATGCAACAGAAAAAATGAAGCGTAACAAAAAAAAATAATAAAAAAAAACTTATAAGTCACAGGGTCTGTCTATGTTTCAGATCTGTATATGTATGTTCAGGAGTGCAACACCATTTTTTTTAAAGACTCAAGTTATTAGATGAAAAAACGTCTATTCATGTTAAGAAATATTCTTTTAATAATAATGATCGATCTATTTGAATAATTTACAACTAAAAAACGACCTTCATGGTCTTTGCGAGGTGTGCAACAAATAGAAAAGAATTATTGCTGATCAAATATAAATTAAATTAATATAAAAAATGATGAGTACAACTGTTTCTGCTCACAGTACCTCTAGTTATATATTGAAGTATTGAACATGCTGAAAGTATGAAAAACTTGCCGTATATGAATAAAAATTCCAAAAACAACAAACTTATTTCCAAACTAACGATGGGTTATTAAATGTTATAATTTTCAACACATTGTTAAATATAATACATACGTTATCGAAGTGCAACACGATACTATAAAATAGGGTAACTTCAAATTCTAGTTTTATTTGTAAGATAACTTTATATCAAATTTCGTTTTTGACTTGGATTTAAAGAACTTACTTAAATGGACAAAAGGTGATGTTTGCGGAACTTTCGTGTTTCATATAATTTTTAATATCAAAACTTTTCAAACCAGAATTGAAAAGAAATCTACAAGAACCCTTTGATGACAACTTGTATAAATAAAGGAAAAGCAATTTTTAAAAGCAAATCTCGATATATAAAGGAAATGCGAAATATAAAAACAAATCTCGATATAAATAAAGGAAATCAAAATATATGTACAAAACCTGGATATATATAAAGGAAATAGGCTATGGAATAAACATATTGAGCAAAAAAGTTTCTTTGATTTAATTCTGTCACACACGTTTGATAAGTAAGAAAAACAGCAGTTCATTAGCTTTAGTTTTAATCATCATCATAATTACGATATACAAATAAAAAAAAAACATAATACATTATATACCATCCTGAAACTGAGCCACATCAACTGATTGCACTCAGAACATCAAATCAAAACATTAGATCGGCAGCCGCTTATCGTATGTTGGCGAAGTCCATGTTGTAATGAAGGTCATTAAACATGTTAATCATTATCTTTATATATATCGAAGTTTTGTTTATATATTTCGCATTTCCTTTATATATATCCAGGATTTGTTTAAACAATTTGGATTTTCTTTAAATATATTCAGGTTTGGTTATATATTTCGCATTTCCTTTATATATATCAAGGTTTGTTTTTATACATTGTTCTTCTTTATATTTTTTACAGGTTGGCACTAATGGGCTTCCGTAGAAATCAAATCTATTGGTATCGAGAACAATGAGCTCACTAAATAATGACCTGACTCCAATATGATTACATTGGCAAGGTTCCATGTTTTGCTATGGGAGACCCGAAATAAATGTCAGATAAATGTCAGTTTATTAAAATAAGAGGTGCACAATGGTATTATGTAAAAAAGCATCTGCGAAGTATTACTGATTTTTATTTAGTGGTATAAGAAGATTATTGGCAAGTTTATGAAACAAGAATGTCAGCATTCTCTTTTATCATTTCGTAAGTTCTGTGGTCGATACAATGGCCTTGTCAGCAAGTACAATTTATCATTGAGTCAAATGCTGACTTATGTTTTTCATACTAATTTTAGTCCATTATTTATACACTGAATTGACGACGGATTTTCCCGTTATTAGCTGATCATGACAAGGAGAATACGGCGGGTGTGACCAGTCAGCAGGGGATGCTCACTCCTCCATGGCACCTAATCCCACCTCTGATGTTTCGGTAGTCCGTGTCTGCTCTGCTCCTATTTTGTATTGTTAAATGGACTTTCAATAAAGGTGTCGATTTAATAACTTATATCCCTAGGCCTGTTACCATTTTTAAGAATAAAAAAATCCCTTCAGTAAGTTTTTTAGAAAGTCTCTTAGGGTAAAGTGATATTTTCTTTATTCAGTAGAAAGGTTTTACAAAAAAGCTGTAGCATTTTTTTTATTCTATTGTCTATTCAATTGCTACTTAAGGAGTTTCAACTAGAATGCATGTACTATATGATGATAAAAGTGAAAAATATGTTAAGGGTAGTTGAAATTTCCAAAAAAAAAATCAAGTTTGGTTGTCATTGTTTTTGAATTCACCCATATGTATACTAAGTATATTGTTATGTATGCTTAAGATTTGGAGAACAAGTAAGAAACAGGTATTTGAGAATACACGCAAAATTCTTACATATGATGTTTAAAAAATTCATTTTTTGATTTATTGTATGATAATCATTTCGCAACAACAGCTATTCTCGAATATCAAAATTTTACATTACCATAACATCCAACACACAATTTGAAAGCGACGAATTTGTGAATTCTGCAACTTTATTCTGACATGTTTGATACATTGTTGATCTTGAAAATGCAGAAAAACAAATTTCTTCAGCCTCCCCTCTTGACACCATGAATGAATTTCTTTTAACAATCTGAAAAGATATGTTAAAATATTTCTGCATTATTTATTTTCCCAATGTTTGATAGTAATATAAAGTGCAATCAAACAAAAGTACTTGTAATACATTCGTGATACGGATATACAGAACTTTGGAAAAAATGAAGGAAGAGAAAATCGATATCCAAGAGACTTATCTATCACTGCCTTTTGCATTTAACTGTAAAGGTGAAAAAACGTTACTTTCATACAAAAAAGACCTAAAAGGTATTTAATTTCATTTTAAAGCGATTTCAACGCATTGTCTCCAAATGAAACATATGGAGATAACGACCATTATTCAAGATCAAAAGTCCATAAAACAATACAAAATAGGAGCAGAGGAAACACGGACCCCCGAAACATCAGAGGTTGGATCAGATGCCATGGAGGAGTAAGCATCCCCTGTCGACCGATCACGACCGCCGTGTGCTCCTTGTCATGATCGGGATATAACGGAAAACCCGTTGTCAAATCAGTATATAAATAGTTGACTAACAATTGGTATGAAAAACGTCAGTCAGCATTTGACTCAATGATAAATTGTATTTGCTGGCAAGGTCATTGTATCGACCAGAGAACATACGAAATGTTGATTTTAAACGAGACAGCTGAAATTCTTGTTTCATCAACTGTTTGTCAATAATATACCTCCTATTAGAAATTGTTCATACGTAGAGCATGCTCTTGCGTATTTAATCAATTGAGCTATATAAACTCTAAACGTCTATCATAGATCTTGGTAGCTAGATAACCATTAACGTCCTTTGCAAGTAAAATATCCAAATATGAAACAGATGTATCAAACTTTGTGGTATCTTATATTCCGAGCTCACCAGGATATATCGTATCGACATAAGAATAAAAATTACATTAGTTAATTGACAATACATCGTCGATATATCTAATTGTCAAGTTGAAAGCCATAGCAAGTTTAAGATTTTGCACAAATTCTGCTTCATGTGAATACAAAATTAGGTCTGCTAGTAACGGGGCGCAATTGGTACCCATTGGAATTCCAATATATTGTTGGAAGACCAGGTCTCCAAAAACGACATTCTAGATATTTTCAATCAGAAACTCTTTTTGAAGTCAACTTCAGAGTACTTGTGTGTACAATAAGACAGTTTTTTAACAAATTATTTTGCAAATGACCAATGACAAGGTCAGTAAATTAACGAGTTCCATTTTAGTGAAAAAGCAGCTGTCAATGATATCAAAAAGACTGGATTTTAATTTATCGTGGGAATGGTCGTGTATAAAGTTGAAAAGTCGAAGGTTTTTTAGTTTTTAATTTCGGTAAAATCTTGTGATTTAAAAGTGTCCAAAAATTCCTTTGAATTTTTAAGTATCCACATCTGATTTACACCACTTCTTGAATAAAATGTTACACAGTACTCTTGGTGTTTCTCCTTCACTAGTTTATATCTTAGTGAGGTGTAAAGAAATAGGCTTTGTTGAACGTAAGAATGAAGACAAAAATAAAATAGTTTACCTACGTTGTCTACTAGCATCTCATTTTTCTCAATAAAATGCAGATTTCAGAAAAACTTAGAACTGTTTTAAAAAAGAATTAAATTGGTTAGTAGATAATAATTTTCTGTACACGTGGGGAAAACTGAATGTGTTTTTCTTGGATGAAGAAAGATGCGAAGTGTTGAGGACTTTAGCTTTGAGTTCAACTCATTCACTGAAAAAAGTGAAATATGAAGGGGGTCCTATCGATCAATTTTCAAATGGAGAATTTATTATTGAATCTATTGTACAAAAGATTAACAAGATTGCATTTTTTATACATTCAATCTTGTTTTTTGATAAAAGAAGAAAAATGCTATCATGTTCTGCTCTTGTACAATATCATTTAGATTATGTCTGTTGTGCATTGTATGCAGGTTTGTCACTTCTTTTGAAAAAGAAAAAGAAATTAAAAAACAAAATGGTAAAATATATACTAAATTTATCTCCTTTAAATTCCATAAACGGTAAAGTGTATTATTTTTTTAAATAGAGAATACAGGGTATGACAACTCATATAAACCCCTACAGCTCTCATTGTTGCTTGCCAACTTATCTAAGTGAAAATTGTAGTCTAAGATCAGCTTTGTCTGCATATACATGCAACACCAGAGCACCCTCTAATGAAGATTTTTTTAATTTCTCATGTGAAAGCATATCAACCAGTATGCAGTTGTTGACTGTTGTACACTGTAGAGGGAAGTAGTCGAGCTGTTGAAAAGGAGTGCAAGCTGTAGCCCAAGGCCGTAGGTCCAACAGATCAACTGTTTCCCAAGAACTCTGTCAACAGCTGTTTTGTTATACTCCTACTAAATCAAATCCATAAATTTAACAGAAAATAAAACTGTTTTCACAACATTTTTCGTACTTTTACTGTCCCTACTTTTAAGTATCGCTTGGATTTCATCCTTGTTCGCCGCAGCAAAACGAATATCGACCATTTCTGTTTATCTTAACGACATGTTTAAATTACTCGATACTCCTCGGCTGATAACATTCAACTCGAGTTATCCGAGGTTTGCCGAATGAGAAAATATAACTCAATTTAGCGCCATTTGACGTCAGCGGGCAACAGTCTTTATTTACAGTCTATTTTAACAGTTCCTTGACCAACAATCGAAAACAGTCGAAGTGTTGGACTTTTTAAAGTAAGAAATTATAAAGGGACTGTTAAGTAGGGTATAACAAATACTCTTTTATAATAATGGTGCCCAGATCTGGGATTTTTCATCATCTTTTATTAATCTATTATTCATGTTCTAAGAGAAATGGTACTTTTAAGAAACAGGTTGAGAGTTTTTTCTTACAAAAGGGCATTTTAGAACATGAAAGTGATATGTTTCACTATTAATTAATAAAACATAATATTACAATTGACGTTCAATAAATAATGTCATCGGTGCTCGAAAAGAAACGAGAAAACGCTTTTCTATGATTCAGTCTTAATGATTAAAATAAATATTCTTTTTTAATTAAAACACACGTCCATAATATTTTAATTCAATATTTACCGGTAATTGTTTTAAGAACACGTTTTTGAGTATGGCCCTTCGTATACTGAAATATGGCAGGCCCTATGATTACCTGTACATTTTTTCTTTCTGAAAGTTGCTTTTTCAAATTTGGGAAATGAAACGTCAAAGGTTGAATGTTATCCAAGAAAATTGGTGTGACAAAACATTAACTTTCTTTTTACCCAGAGAACTCCTTTACTCTTCATGGCCTATGGATTTGGACACTGTCATAAAGAAATTAAATGTAATGAATTCCTTATTTCGGCTTCTCGTTTCATAAACCTTTCACTTTTTTTTTTTTTTTTTTTTACAAAATATTTGTTTTCTAGACTCTTCCAGATATTGAAATTACTCCCCGTGTAAGAATTTGAACAACAGGACCACTGATATCTAAGAAAATAGCATATAAAACTGTTTTTGTGCTCTTGCAATCCTTTATTCTTTTGTAGGCCTTTGTTGTTTTGTCAAGTGTATCTCATTGTAAAATTGTTTTGAGGGTTTAAAGGAAAATGGATTCAAGTTTCATGATCTGTTTGAATTTCAGACAAACATGAATAAGTACAATTTTTTTAATCTTGAAAATAATTATTCAGACATTCGTTTCATTTATTTCAAAGTACATGTATTGGGTGACCTTTGGGCGTTAATCCTTTTTTACTATCAAACGTTTCTTTAAAACAATGTGAACTACCCCCAAAATGATGTCTATCAAATTTTCTATGTGTCTTAACTCTTAAAGTCAATCAAACATAATACTAGTAATTGATATTTTGTGGAATTTTTGCAAATATACATTGGATGTTATATGTCCTTGTCGCCAAGGACAGTACCAATTTTTTATGCCCATTATATCATTTTTGTTCATTGAAATCCACCTGCTCATGTGTGTATAAAACAGACATTGGTTGCTAGTTTTACAGAAGTTTTAATGAAAAGGTTTACTTTCACTCTTGTTTACCAATTCTTGACTATTCATTTTAAATGCAGTGTCTCGAATAGCCCTTATTTTCCAGATTCTCACAACGGAACTATGTGATGAAAAGTGGTCACATGAACTGTAATCAACTCATTAAACATACAATAATTAGAGAAAGTCAAGCTTAATGGCGTATAACTTCTATGTTGTATGTCATCGAACTGATGACATAATTTATTGAACGTCCCTCGTATTGATACTATCAATGTTGTCATACTTAAATCCAGTTTAATGTGTAAGCAACACAGTGCTTAAATTGTAGTGCTAAACATTTTTATAGTTTTTTTAAATGAAGAAACACTGCATTGTTGTCTTATTTAAGATAAGACCCCATAGGAAATAAGCCATCGAGCTTTAATGGGTTGGTATCAACGGTCACAGTGGAATTATATTTCTAAAATATCAGGATATGCTCCTTGTTATTTATTTTACTAACAAATCTATATAAAATTTCCCAAACATTGTCTTTCGAATTATTACGTGTAATTACATGCATGTGTATTTCTTTTATATATGATAAATTGATAACTAATAAATGACGATGATGATGATATAAAAAGATAACGTTATTTAATGTTGTACATTACCCTTTCTATTTGTTAACCATATTGTTCACCATTCTTTCTCTATAAAAGCTGATACTGAATGGACAAGCATAGAAAATACACTCACCTCATGCTTTACCGATACATCTTCAGATCGTGCATTGCGTTTCGTACGTTTTTTGTCATTGGTTGCTGATGATCTGCACGGAACTTTAGTACGATTTAAATTTCTACATCTTACAGATTCGTCATAAGAACAGTCAATTTTACCAGTATTTGTGCAGTCGCATAGTCGGATATTTGTTTCATTAATTGATTTGAGTTTGTCAAATAAATCAGTGTCTCGTGTAAAAAGGCTAGATTCAGTTAAATTGTACCTGGAATTGAAAAGATTAACAGTTTAAAAAACAAAACAGTGTCCCCTTATATAAAAGAAATGTGTGTGTGTGTAAGGGAGGGTGTATGAGAGAGAGAGAGAGAGAGAGAGAGAGAGAGAGAGAGAGAGAGAGAGAGAGAGAGAGAGAGAGAGAGAGAGTAAATAATACTTACTTAAAAGACCATGACTTTAAAAAATCAGAAGGTTGGTGATTTCCTTCAATAACAGTGTCTTCTTCTCCAGTACTTCTTGTAAAATCATTTGATTTATTCCCATCAAAATTCCCACACAATCCGGATGAGTTGTATTTGTCCGATATGGTAGGAATGATTGTTATATCCAGCTGTAATTTCGTAGGTGGCCAATTTCGTATTAAAACGTTCACAGTAGTACCACTTGGCATTCTTATCTGAAGTGTTTATTTAAATTCACCATTTATTGACTAGGCATGGGGGTAACATATCATTTGTTGTGCCTTGAGGTGAAAAATGTTGTCAATGCCTGTAGGTCCTGTAGACCATTTTCATCATCAAGACCGACAAATCATATAATGTCTGAAGTAAAGCTACAAGTCTTTTGTTATACCCTTCACTTCATATATACCCAGTATGCATACCGTTCACGGTAGTTCAGTAGGTAAATCGCTCGTTCCGTGATCGGGAGGTCGTGAGTTCGAATCTCGGCCACGACTGGCCTAAGTCGATAAAAAATAGATAGCAACTTTCCTTCGCCAGGCACTCGGTATTTTGAAATGAAAGTTTCGGGTCCTTCAGATGAGACCCTTAATACCGAGGTCCCGTGTCACGGCAGCCATTGGCACGATAAAGATCCCTCACTGATCAATGGCTGAGTGTCGAGTAAACGTCAAAATTTGAAACCTTTCACCTGTATATGGTGACGTCTCTATATGAGTGCAAAATTCTCGATTGAGACGTAAAACTACATACAATCAATCAATGCATAATATATTTACATAATATAAAACAATAAAGAAAATACTTTTAAACAGAACATGTACAAATATGGAAAAAGGCTACCCTTAACAATTTTAAACAAATAAGTCGTGTGAGAAGTGTTACTTAACTGGAATTAATGTTTTAGTTTTTTTTGTTTATCTGAAAATGTAATAAATATTTACATATTCCATTGAGGAGAAATATATTATTTAAAAATCGAAAGAGCATATATCATGAAAATAATTGAGATACTCTAAACTAAATGTTACTTACGTCATATGTTTTTTCGTTTACTTCAACAGGATCTAGGACTTTATCATCACACAAAATAAAACCAATATATTTGTGGTTAGGTACATTAATTCCGTCAATTTTATCACAGACATTTATGACGAAAATGTCTCTTCCAGAACGAACAGCTACCGCACAGTTACAGTATGGTGTTCCCTGTCCATGGCACAAATGTTGCCTAACTTGAACCTATGCATTAGAAATTTGTTTTATATAAGTTTAAGGTACGCATTTAATAATGATAAATTAGTAATCATAGTGATATTTTTACCTCTTGATTTTTAGCTTCATTTCTGTATAATACAAACGTGCCATCTAAGTGGTTTTCATATTTCCTAAAAGAATATAGCCATTAAATTAATAAACTTATTACATTATTTATTAGTTAAATACCCCAGTTTGCCCCGGGGGTCAAATTGGGATCGAAAAATGACGTTTTTATGCAAAAAGCCCCTCTTTCCTGAACTCCTCTTACTTTTGACTCAGTAGCCTAATCATCATTTGAGAGATGGTTGGTGGTGTCATATAGATGTGCAGTAAGGTTTAGGAATTTTCATTTTTCCCCGGGGGTCAAAAAGGGGTAGAAAATTTAATCACCCCACTTTCAAGAACTTCCCTAATATTTTATGCATAAGCTTTAAACCATGATCATTTTTTGAAAATGATTGGTTTGTTTTGTGTATGTGTAAAATGGTTTCAAATTCTGCATTTTCATATGGATGGCAAAAAGGGTCAGGAAAAAATGGCACTCCCTAACCCAGGGGGTCATGATTTGTACAAACTTGAATCTACAGCCCTTGAGAATGTTACCATATTAATCATGCTCTTGTTGTTCTTGAAAAGAAGAATTTTGAAAATTTGTTTCCTTTTATTCATAAATAAATGTTTGATCCTAAATTGTGACCTGTTTGAGGTCATGATTTGAAAAACTAGAAATATGTCTACAGCCCTTGAGAATGTTACCATATTAATCATGCTCTTGTTGTTCTTGAAAAGAAGTTTGAAAATTTGTTTCCTTTTATTCATAAATAAATGTTTGATCCCAAATTGTGACCTGACTCTAGTGTTTGAGGTCATGATTTGAAAAACTAGAAATATGTCTATAGGACATGAATGTCCCGCCGAATGTACATTACTAATGCTACATGAAAATTTGTATTAGGGTATAAAGTTTAATGAAAATATCTTCAATAGTTTCTTTAGAGTTGAAACTGAAATCTAAATAAATTGGATATAGATCATAAAGGAGGGAGGTCAAGGTCGCCGGAATGTGCAAGGTGAAATTTTTGATGCAGTTGAATAGCTCTCACTTATACATATCAGCATATTATGTTTGACAAAAATATCTTGAATGATTTAATGAAACTGAGCTTAACACTTTTTTGAAGAAAAGAGAGGTCAAAGGAAAGGTTGGGGTCAAAATGTTTTTGCAGTTGAAAAAATTACATCAGTATGAATTTATTATTAACATATGAAGTTTAATAAAAATATCATTAATGGTTTATTTAAAACTTAGATAAACACATATCTTAAAAAGTGAGGTCAAGTTCAAAGGAACATTCAAGGTCAAAATAAATGATGCATTTATATCTCTCAGCAGTATGTATCAGCATAAATTATGAAAGTTTGATAAATCTATCTTGAATTGTTTATTCAAAACTGATCTAGACATTCATTTTAGAAAAGTGAGGTAAAGTTCACAGTAAAGGTCAAGGTGAAAAAGATTAAAGCATTGTATAGCTTACATCAGTATGTATCATCATGTGAAGTTTCATTGCACAGCTTGAATGGTTTCTTTAAAATAAAGCTAAACACTAATTAAAAGAAAAGTTAAGAGAAGGCCAAAGGAAAAGTCATGGTAAAAAAATATTGCTTCAGTTGGATAGTTTACATCAGTATGCATCAACATATGATCTTTAATAATAAAAATATCTAGAAAGTTTCTTTGAGCCCAATGGAAAGACAGACGGAAGGTTGGAGGACGGACATGACAAAAACTATACATGTATTCTTAATCATGGCGTGGCATAAAAAACTTGAATCTACATTATATGAAATTTCCATATCAAGATTATACAAGCAAATTCAAATAATCGTGGTCGTCTGCTTTCTGTGTTTTAGTGATTGGGATGCCATAATTTATGGCAGATTGTGTGTCAAATATGCACCCCTATCATATGTCAATTTTTGAAAAGTAAGTCAAAGGGGGAAAATCATTGCATGCTCGGAATATTTTGTTGCAGGTAATGTACATGTCAAATATGAAAGCCGTACCTCTTTTCAATCAAAAGTTATATATATATATATATAATATAATATTTTTGAAAAGTAGGTTAAATTTCTAGGTCAAAGTCACAGTTTCAAAATTCATTTTATATTTAGAAAAGTCTTTTTTTTTTTTTTTTTTTTTTTACATATAATGTACATGTAAAATTTGAATGCCCTATCTTTTCTCTTTCAAAATTATCAATTGAAAATGTTATTTTTTTGAAAGTAGGTAAAACTTTAAGGTCAAGGTCTCAATTGGGTTAAAAAATCATAGTATATTTAGAAAGTTTTGTCTTAATGTACATGTGAAATTTGAAAGCCCTATCTCTTATTATTTAAAAATTATGACGAAGGTTATATTTATTGTGACAGATGCACATACTGTAAAGAAGATGGGCAGACACACTGACAACGGAAATTGAATGTCCCTCCCTTTACCAAAAAGGGGGGACAATAATGCCCTTGCTGTTCTTGAGAAGAAGATTAATGATGGAAAACATTCTCTGCATATTTCTTAACGCAAATCAATATTGTGTTTTTATGTCATTTGTTTGTTTGTTGTTAAACATCCCTCTCAGGAATTTTTCACTCATATGGAGACACCACCACTTGAAAAATAATGAGGACAAGTCAGATTTGAGGACAACATTCATTTTAGGAGTTTTCATCCATTATGACGCAAAGAGATATTAACTCAATTCTTCCCCTCACCCCTTCCCATATCTCTTTTTAGTCATGTATGCAAACTACTACTTGTTTTTTACATATTAAAAAATGTTAATATTTACAAACAGGTTGACACAAATTCATGAATGAATGTCAAGCAGTCTTATCATTGATGCACATTTTTTTGATTTAATGCAGTCATATTGTGAACATTTCCAGTTCATTAGGAGAGTGGGGGTGACCTCCAGGGGTTCATAACCTTTATACCATTAAATTTACACAACATAATAACACTAGAAACAAAATTATGTATAGTCAAATGGAAAGAGTTTCCTACTATTTAGGAGTCACATGATCATTTGTCATTGCAGGGACAGGGAGTGGATTGAGAGATCAGAATATGCAGGACTATAATATATACTGAAGCAAATAAAATGACTTTGGATGACCTCCACCCTAAAAAACAGACCCCAACATAACTACTTTTTTTGCTTCTCAGGAGATTATGGTTTGAAAATCCCCCTCCCTCCCAGGAAAAAAATTCTGGATCTTGTTACTGAATGTAAGGTCGCTAACGGTGGATAACTCTTCAGAATGTGAAATTCGTCTATTGTAGTATCGGATGACCTTTGATCCTTTAAACTTTAACATAATCATATGCATTTCAGACTATTTTACCCAAATCTATACCAAAACTTGTACTTACCGACTGTCATAGGTCATGTCAACTTTATGAAATATAATCCAATTAAAACAAAAAATGAAATAATTCCTACTGATATAAATGCAATGAAGTGTACACCACACTGCACGTGCAGTGCAATCTAAAAATGTTAATGGTAAAACTAGTACATGTACTTAAGTTGGCTACGTGACGCAAGCCCAATGTGATGCAGGTGTTCAGATACATGTAAAGTACAAGAACAAATTTAAAACAAGCTAACTCGGAGAATTTGTGTCCCCCGTTCAGGGAAAAAGTAAACCAAGCGCAGTTCAAGGGGAGGGGGGAGTCGGATCCCCCTGACTGAATTTGTAGAATTATTTAATGTATACATATATCTACTGAAGCAAATAAAATATGCCAATATGTATATAAGGATTTGATTGCTTATTCTTAATTATGTGTTTTATTATGTGTATAGAAGATTCTTTATATTTGGAATATTTATCACACTGTAATGATGATTTTATGAATTGTACAAGGCAGAC